ACGCCTTGGGGTTAGAGTAGTCTTTCTTTCCTAGTTTTTAGATCATCACCACCTCAGTTACTTTGAATGGTTTAGGGTGGTGTCTAATCTGTAGGTAGGTCTGGAAAAGGGCTCTGATATGTTCCCTAATGACTGGCCAGTAAGCTTTTAGAATCCTTATTGTGAGGGTGTCTACTCCTGGGGAGTTGCTCTTGGTCCCTATAGTGCACCCTTCAGCCTCTTCCAGTCCGACATAGTATTAAAGGGGGATGTGTGGCTTGGGTTGTGTGATCTCAGTGGACTAGGGGTCGATAATATCGTTATCTGGGGTACTTTGGCAAGCGTGGCTGAGCGTAGTGCATTTGCCTTTCTCTTTTGTGATTCAAATATTTGGTCTCCTATGATGGTTAGAAGAGAACGCAATCCTGCCGACAGCTTGTGCCAAGAAATGATTCTGTACAGATCCTTCGGTTCAGTCGATGAATCAATTAGAGTCTGCCAGTACTCTCTTCTAGCTTTCTGAACCACGCGGCAAAAGTCCTGTTAGGCTGAATTCTGCCTTTCTTGGCTTGCGGTTTGTTTAGACAAGACCTTATATGTCTGAATAGCTGCTTTATATTCATCATTCCACTAAGCGGTGGGCCTAGATTGTTTGGGCTTCTTGCCTACTGTTCTGACACAGCCTTGGATTATGTTGATCAAGTTCTGTGTAAAGGCATCTTTCTGGCCAGGGGATGCACCCAGCCGGTGGAACTCATGTATCTTATTTTGGATATTGTCCACCAGCTCTTGTAATTTATTGTCCCGGACTACCCCCGATTAGCCTTGGGGACCTGGTCTAGGTCTCCATGAATTGGGACAACTATTCGTAATGTCTTGTGATCTGAGGTGTACTGAAGTGCATCATTGACTGAGGCTTTAACCATGGGCACATCTGAGAACACCAGATCTAGTACATTTCTGTTATCATGTGTTGGGACATCTAGTTCAGAAATCAGAACCAGTCCATGGTCTTCCATAGTCTGTGCAAGTATAACATTACCATTGTATCCTGGATTGCTCGAGTCCCAGGATGTGTCGCCAGCATTGAAATCTCTAGCTATAACACAGCCAAAAGGTGGAGTCCATACTTCTAGAATGTCATCCACTTCCTGTGGGTTGTCACATGGCCGGTAGACACTGGCAAATGTAATGCCTTGTACCTTGACCCAGGTGATGTCTCGTGTAGCATAGGGCCGAAGTTGATCCGCTTAAAGGTGTTTTCTTACATAGATGAGAGATCTGGGCCGTGTACTGTCGCTGTCCCAGGAATCCACTGGAGAGTATATATCGTAATTAGGATGTGTCTTTACTCCTATTCTCCTGCCTGGTGATATGCCAACCCAGGGCTCTTGCATCAGAATGATGTCTGCTTGTTCTCTTTTGTAGTCAGCCAAGTTGATGGCTAACTCTGTAAGACCTGCACTCTTTTGTCCTCCTGCTATATTTACAGAATGGATGACTAGATGCCTGTGTCAATGTGTTTTATTTGATGTACCTAGCATTGACTGACGACAATGGTGTCGGCATCCTTGGGATGAGCTGTATCTGTTGTGTCGATTTGCATTGTGGTGTCTTCGTTATCATTGTTAGGTGTTGACCCAGCTTGGTTTCTGCCTGTTTCATTGAAGGCCCTGGATCTGGCTCTTTCTCCGGCCAGCCTTATTTCCTGGATTGCTCCCATGTGTGCTTATAGATGATACCTTTCACGACTTTGGGGCGTACAGGGCATTTGTCGAAGTCGGCAGCATGAGGCCCCTTACAGTTGACACACTTTAGGATTGGTTTTTTGCACTCCTCCTGGTGTATTGTACTGGCGCAATGTGCACATATTTGCTTTTCACATCAGTAGTTTCTATCATGGTATCTGAAGCAGCTAGTACACTGGTGAACCTTGGGGGTGTATTGAATGTGCTTCGAGGTCATTGAGTGAGCAAAAAGCGTGAATGGTTTCTTTCCTACACGGGGCAGAGAGATCACCCATGTGGTCTCTAGATCTGAATCAACCGTGTTCCTTAAGAGTATGTACTTTAAAGGTCTGTTGCCTGTTTGGGCTTCAACCTCAACAGTGACAGCAATGTTGGTAATGTTGATTATAACCCTTCCGCACTGATGACCTTCCTTGGGCATCCATCAACCTTATAGTGATATTAGACCGTGTGGGTTTCGATTTTTTATACCGTAAGAATGTCGGCGATCTCTTCTTGGAAGGCCAGGAGCTTAATCTGAGTTGGCTTGTCCCTTTGGTGTAAGGTAAATCCGAAGGGGCACCGCGTCACCTCCTTAAGCTCCTGAAGATAGAGCTTAAGGAGGTGACTACTGGTCCAGCCGTTATCTGACGTTATGTAGTACCAACCCGCGATTTTGCGGAATTCTTAGATGAACCATTGGGCCTGGAGATCTTTTCCTTTGAAAATTATGCTGTCACGGAACAGCTGGCAGCTCAGGACGAAGATGCCCATCTATTACTCCAGATGAATAAGAATCTACTGGTGAGGAGGGAAGAAGGATCAGAACCACCAGCCAATTCTGGTGGGGGATTAGATCTTCAATCCTGCTCCACAATTATCCATAGTGAGTGCAGCGGGGCAACTCATCCACCCCACCAGATCACCTGATGAGCGCACGTACCACCGTGAATGGATGGATGGATGTCAGATCCATCATATATGCCTGGTTTGAGAACTTTTCCCGTGGCTGAGATGGCTTCGATAAAGGAGGTCCAGCCACGCCTATAGGGACTCTTTAGGAAGGCTTTCGTAGTCTCAGAACTTTCTAAGACTAGGGAATCAATGCCTATAGGGGTTAGCTAGTTAACTGACAGGATAGGGGTGAATAAGGGGTTAAAAGACTAACCAAAACCCGACATGATGCCGCCCTTATCGACATTGTACATATTTTCTGGCTTCACCCGTTGATAATCCCCCAATATGTCAAAGAACCAGTTGACAGACTTAGAGGTGAACCCCTTAAACCAAGCGGATTCCATCCGCTTACCGATTTTAGTCTGGATGGTAGCGTTACGGCGTTTATAGCCCTCCATATAATTTGGGCCCAGTGGTGCAAAATCCCCCCCCCTTTCTCAGTAGTTGTACAATAATCTCCCGCACGGCTGTGTGAGAAGGGGCAAGCTCTAGGGACTCCTGGCGCAATATCCATTGAGCCACCTTACTCTCTTGTTGAGGGGAGAGTCTCTGCTTGCTAACCTGGGCCTCGGCTCGGGTGACTCTGCCGTTGGTGCGTGCTGACAGCGTTTGCTTAGGGATGCCGTGTTTTTGGGCGGCTTTTCTCACAGACATGCCGTTATCTGTCACATCTAGCCAGGCATCCGCCACATTATCTTCAGTGTACGTGGGTGGAGGCATCGTGGCTGGCTTCACGATGCTGTGGTGGCATAAGGATCAGGGGCTCAGAGAATGAATTTTACAGCAAATTTGCATTTAGGTGCGGGGCACAGAGGCTCCTAATCACCGATACCGATGGCTGAAACTTCACTAATCTACATCCGGCTAAACACCAAGAAAAGGGCTATCTAACCATCTAAAGAGCGTATAGATAGCCTCAAAGGGGGCTGTAATCCATGTAAGTGAGGTAGGGGACTTTTGGTAGTGGTTGTGGGGTTTGGCTGTCCCGGTGGGGGGTGTGTCCCGTTAGGGGGTGGGGGATGGTATGAGATCTGGGGAGACTCGGTGGCGGCAGCAGAGTTGGCTAGGTATTACACCAATCACTTGTCAGGAATCCCTGGCCTAGAGAAGAGCGTCTTTATAACAGAAGAGATCATCAGCCATCTGACTATAATACAGTACGAACTAGCAATCACTAAACAGCAGCAATAGGTGGCGTTAGCAAAGCCGGACAAGAAGCTTAGTGCAAATGTGCTTACTTGTTAGGGTAAGAGTACCGTTGAGAGTGCAACCCAGTGGAGTAGAAGATACCGATCTAGGAAGTAACTAAAGATAAGAGAAAGCCCACGCCGAAATAGAGCGTGTTCTCTTAATATGGTCTTATCTAGGTATAGCTTTATAGCAAGATTAAGGTAATTCTTAAGAATTATATTCTTTTTGTGGCGTGTCTCTTCTGTGAAAACACGAGCATGCAATCCGAGCATTCGAAAGACGTCCAATAGTTCATAACTCTAATCATAAGATTTAAAGTGAGCCCACAGCAAGGAGAGACATGTTGGTATCGACGTTAATACTGCAAACCCAGGACAGCTGGCGTAGAGAGTTCAGACAGCGTGTTCAAGTGGCCCAAAAATGCACTATTGGCCTTGTTAGTGCACTGCCATCTCCCTGTATGTCAAGGTGGCTTGCGTGCCATTCAACAGATACGGAAACCCGATCTCCTCTAACACTTTTAATGATTCAAGTGGCGCCCAGCCCCGGATCCCACCGCTGTCAATACTAAGAACCCGGACACCAGCAGTAGGCGGCTTTAGCTGGACACGCGCTCCGCTTGTAGTCATACCGCAGAGCACGCAGTTTTTAAGACATTGAATCCATTGATTTGCATCGCCCTGTTATCAAAGATGTTGAACCGAGTCTTTCCTTTCTTTATAAAGAAATCTTGATATTATTTATCTTGTTGAAGGTCCATACGGCTGTGCGAATTGATCGGCGTACGATTGAAGATGTGAAGTCTTCTTCATACTCAATGCACAACATGAAGTCTGCCCGCGCCCACACTGGGTATATGGGAAACATCTGGGCTTACAGTATTGCTGATGCAATTTTGAGCGGTGTAGAAACATCAACAGTGCCAGTGCCGTATTGTGACTGTATAACATCACTATATGCGATCAGCCTAGTTCATAGGCACAGCTGTGCCAAGCCTTACCTTGTAGGTATCTCAGGTCTTGACCACGGATATGATGGAGGTGCACGTTTAAGCTGTTGAGGCCAATGGGAATCATATTAGAACCCTTTTTGCAGATGAGGAAGTAATTCACTAGCCTAGGGTGTTGGAAAGACAGGTGCAAGCCATTATGGAACAGTATGTGGGTTGTGCTCGCCGAGTGAGTTCAGATTGATGGTCTGCATAGTCAAAGGGAGCGTAAAATAGATGCTGATATGAGGCTTTGTCCAAGCTGAGCCGAAGTCAACAAGGATCCCGGCCTGGTAGGTATGTATATCCCACACAAGGATGCCGTGCTTGTTCATCCAGCTAAGGCCTTTGATCATCTTCTCCATGGCTCGCGAGTCAATGACTGGATCATCTTTGATGAACTCTTTCACTATGACACGTATAGGGCTGCCTTCTACCCTCTTGCGGTACTTGTTGCCTGGGGAAACGTCCCAAAGGTTGGTACCTAGCTCATTCTCGACATATACTGCGTTCTCCTTGTTCAATCCTAGAAAGCCGTGACATTCCGCGAAGTCACAACGTTTAAGACCATGTTTTCGCCGTGCTCTTTGTAGGTACCCGTATGGGCGACATTCGGCAAAGAACGGATCCGTGTGGAACTCCAACGTGTCATGCAATACTTTCTTTCCGTCTTCTAGGCTGAGGTAGGTTGATGGGTCGAAGAATCTAAACTAGCGATTTGTAAGATAACCCTTGGTTTAGGTTTAGATTTTATCTTAACTTACAACCCTTAAGGCGTACACCTTTGAGTGTACCTTGACCCTGAATACACACGCTTAACGACTGAAATCTGGGACTTCTTGGCTATCAGCCAGAGTATACGCGGCAAAAACAATGGGTTGAACGCAAAAATCAGGGTTTGTCCCGCGAACTCAAAGAACTTTGAGACCAACAAAATCTCGTGCAAGACATCATCCGAGCTCAGAATCAGCTGGTCAAAGTCCTTGAAAAGAGATCAGAAAACCAGCTGCGGTCATTCCAGACAAAAAGAATCAGTTCCAAAGCGCTTAGCAAATATCAGAGGTCGCTGTCCCCTTCACCATCTCCTTCCACCTTTCTCAGCAATATATAAGACTACAATGATCGCAACTAGGACGCAAGACCATTAAACCATATTACTTTGATATTAAAACCGCCAGTGACGATATTTGGAAGTACCAACAGTTTGGCTGATGCGCGGCTGATGCGCGGCTGATGCACAGCTGCTGTGTGGCTGATATATAGCTGATATAGTATTCGCAACCAGCATTGGTGGGGCTTAATGCCAACTAATTGTAGCACACTTATGTTGTTGTAGTACCAGCTGAAATTGTGATTATCTATCGACCTATACTTGCTTTTATACCTCTGAGCCCGACCAAGAGGTATTGCTTCCAGGAAGCTGATTCCAAAGAGGAGGAATTCGACACTTGGCGAGGACGAAAACAGCAGTTGCCGCAATAAAGCATATAGGAGGCATGGCTGGAACTGTCATACATGCGACAATCAGGTTGCGTATGATGAAAGATCTTGTCAGAACTGCAACTACAAGCCATGCCAGTTGTGCTGGTACTGAACAGTTCACTCATCTTTGTACCGTGAGTTATCACTTCTTCTCATCCAATAATGTTGTGGGGGGCTGAAACCCCATCCAGGTGTCGATTAGCATAAAGTGGAGGTGACGACTACTTTATCTATAAGTATTTGAAGCAAATGGCCGTGATACAGGGCATCAGGAAGACGCAGTTACCTATATGTAATGGTGTGTGTGGTGTGGACAAGCCACCTTCAGCCATCCATACCAGCTGCTTTGTGTACTTATAAACTTGCTACAACTCTCACTAAATCTGGAATGTCATGTCATTGTTACAAAGCGCCTTCATCTCAATCAATCAATTATCTGCCCTTATATAATATTTATAATTTTTCTCCTACCAAATCTCATGGTGCAAAGCGGATATTTCTAATGCCTGTTTTTGGCTCTTATTCAATAATATCTCCTGCTATCATATATTGATAGGACTGCTTAATTAGAAGATTACATAGTAGTTATAGTCGATTTCGTGCGTGGACTTTACGGAAGCAAGGGGCTTGGAGGCCATCCAGACCGAATTTTTCCCAAGCAGTAAAATAATGGTGGCAAAGTCGGGACAGAAACGTCGAAGTTCTCATGACCTAAAGGCATTTTCCAGCTCAAGATAGTTTAGTTTGTGTGCTGTGGGCATAATCCACTGCTGCCTGCTCGCATGCACGATGTTCTTTTTGTAATACATAAAAGCCAAATAAAAGAGAACAATGCTGGCTAGAAGAGGTGTGGATCTCAGCCATTGGATCCAGCCACCAGCACCTTATCGGATCTCCTGTCATCAAGGGCGTTCTACGATAAGGTTACCTGGGATGGCTGCCCAAGGTGACAGAAACCAACCCATTGTAGTTTATGTATTTATATACTTCTCGAATAGGATCCCTTCTCATTCGAACATAACCAAGCACCAACCAGAATACAGATCAACCCAATTAAGACTTGTGATAGATCTCTGTTCTGGTTCCGCTACCACAAAGGCATAGAGGGTTTAAAGACAGTAGGTCCATTGAGATTTGTGCCAATAGTGATTGGCTGCCAATCATGCTATAATGAGATGAAGAAGAGAGGGTCTTTTAAGGACTGAAACCTATTGATAACAAGACCTTACGAGTGGGCCCTAAAACTATAAGCAATATGCTGTATGGAGGTGCAGGCTAACATGTTGGCTATGTACATAAGGATGTCGGTTTAGTTGGGCATATGTGATATATATAGGAGACCTCGCCTTTTTATTCTTATATCATTGACATGATTTGCTACATGTTATGATATTGTCTTGATAATTGACCTGATCTTAGCCTATAATGACTTAAAGACTGCGATTAGCATTGAGGCTTTCAATGAGACTCGCTATGATTACAATGAATAGTGGCGTTGTCCCTTTATTCCCGGGACGATGCCTGAGTCTGTCGGACTGCCCAGGAGGTACCAAATGAAAGATGATCTTGGGAATCCGGCACGGCAAGAGCAGTCTTTCACCTCGGAAGGATAAATGTTCTTTAACTTAACTTTTACGATTGTGTTTTTGTGGTAGCAGAACCAAAATGGAGATCTATCACAAGTTTTGGTTGGGATGATCTGTATTCTGGTTGGTGCTTGGTTGATTTCGGATGGAAAGGGATCCCATTCGAGAAGTATCTAAATACCTAAATTACAATGGGTTGCTACCTGTCACCTGGGGCAGCCATCCTAGGTAACCTTATCGTAGAACGCCCTGAATGACAAGAGATCCGATACATCAAGGGAGAAGATTCAGACAAGGAGAGAGATTATGTATGCCAATTCATGCCACGCACATATAGGACGGACCACAAAAGGTTTCGGGGACATGTTCTATACTTATAGAAAAACAATCAAACCAGCCAATCAACAGACATTGTTGGACAGTGGGGAGCAGTGGGGAGCAGTGAGGAGCAGTGGGGAGCAGTGGGGAGCAGCGGGGAGCAGCGGGGAGCAGTGGGGAGCAGCGGGGAGCAGCGGGGAGCAGCGGGGAGCAGCGGGGAGCAGCGGGGAGCAGCGGGGAGCAGCGCTGCTATCAGCTGCAGCTTTCTTGACAAGTGCTGCCGTCTGGCAGGTAGGTAACAGCTGGCATATAGATTTGAAGAAAAGATTCAAAACCTTGACTTACTATGAGAGGAGACGACTAAAAAGGCGCCTAGGGCCATGAAAAGAAACCGTAGCACTAAGTGTATTAAAGTAACCACCGATAAGGTACTGGTGGCTGGATCCAGTGGCTGTGATCCACAGGATTGGATTTTCATATCCTTGCTCTTGCCGGGGCGCTAGACTTGTCGGGGTTTGTGTATCCTATCATCCCCATCATCCCCACCATCCCTACCATCCCCACCATCCCTACCATCCCCACCATCCCTATCATCCCCTCATCACCATCATCACCATTGTCCCCATCTGTCAGATTTGAGCTAATCGTCAGAGTGACGTGCGTGTGTGTGTATTCTCTGTCTAGAGTGTCTTTGTGCGACCATGGCAGTTTTGTGCCAGAGGGGGCTGGATTGAGACGGAATAACTAGGTTCCGTTGTCTACCTGTAAGGTGCCTTCTACGCATACTTTTAATCCAACTGTCAGATTCAAGGGATCTCAAGGGGTGTATGCCCTGTGGAGTGCTGGCTAGTCAGGTGGCTAGTCAAGGAGCCTGCCATGACTAGCACCCTGAATCGTACGTTGACTCAGGAAAAGGTGGGCCGGAGGATCTTCTCTAACATCTCCAGAGCTGTACAAATAGGTGTAGATCCACCCAATTAGGATAGCTGAGAAATGACAACAACGATTGCAGCTACTGCTCAACACCACTGGCTTGTCAACCTTCAATAATCTGACACCAACAGTTATGATATTATCTTGATAGTCGACCTAATCTTACCCTATAATGACTTAAAGACTGCGATTAGTATTGAGACTTTCAATGAGACTCGCTACGCTTAAAATGAATGGTGGCATGTTTACTTTGTTTCTGGCACGATGCCTGAGTTTAGCGGACTGCTCAGGAGTTACCAAATGAGAGATGATCCCAGTGCGGCAGTGAGAGCACAGTCTTTCACTTCTGGAGGACAAATGTCTTTACACAGCCAATGGTACAGCCAGCGGTACAGATGGCGGATGAGCTGTGGTAGTTTCTAGGAGAAGATCGTCATCAAATGAGAGGTATTGCACTAGGTTTTTGATAGAGTTGAGGTTTTGCATTGTCTTGATGTTACGGGTTGACCGACGGAGAGTGATCTGGTAGACTTGATAGAGTTTAGCGTCAGTTTAGAGGATGGTGGCCGGGCCGCGGCTTGCTTTAATCGATACAGTCAGGCATTTCAATATCAAGTCAGGCTCATATTGCCCTAGTTTGTGTATTTGTTATATGCCTTTATTGTTATATCTACTATTTATCTCTGGCTTTAGCCCCTTTATAGATAAGACTGTGGCTAGAGCCAGTCATCTTGATCGCCTGGTCATTGTGGTACTAAGAATACATGATTATTATCACCGTCCTTCTTATCTATATCTAGGCATTGCTTTCCGTTATCGATGTAACTGTTATTGACAATCAAGCTTGCGCCTCTTTAGAGATCGATATAGGGACAGAAGAAGACAACACCACCGCTGGTCAGTACGTAACTGGCGTGGGTGGCATAAGCGCTATACCACTGATGAATGAAGTGCAAGGTGTTGGGGGTGCTCTTCCTGTCACTGCTGTGTTGGTGGCGGTTAGAGCCTGTCTTCGATATTCTGCCAATGTTGTGGAATCTGCGTTGACAAACACGTACCTTTTCTGCCAAACCCCACCAAGGTACGTACTGATTCTACCAAACCTAGCCGTAGGTACGTACCTTTTTCCCCCATTCTATTTTGCCCATTTTATTCTACCAGCATGACAACGGTACATATCCTTTGTGCTTATCTTATTCTGCTGCTATATGGCTTATAAAATCAATCTACTGACTTGTCTTTCCTAATAAAGTCACGCCAATTAAACGTGTATATCATAGAACACACACTACATAACATCAATATATATCAAACAAAGCGCCTTTTAAACTACAAACAAACGCAACAAAGACAATGAAATGCCTTATGGACAAGGCTCTTATAAGATACGGTTCACCCTGTTATACCTCCTAGCCTTCTTTTAACATGATAGCCTAATGCTGTGAGACGGTCCTTTCGCTTCAGTATAATTTCTTTGCAATCTATAACCATCCCTTTCCTTCTGTAACCCACCCCTGCAACTGGAGTTCTTTGAGTTTTAACCATTGACTTCTCTTAACCACTGTGTTATCCTCTTCTCCTAAACTGGCACTTTAGTCTGAGTTAGAGTCATAGCTACCTGCCTGGCTTCCTACATCGCTACTGCTCTTGATGCTTTTGATGCGTCCGTTTTGTATGCTGTTTAGAGAAGTTGGCGTCATGGAAGAAATAACAGAGGGGCTGCAAGTCATAACATCATAGGAGCGGTTTATATCTGCAGCCTGCCCGCCTTGGGCAAGCTTCTGAGTGGCATGACCGCGAATAAAACCAAGAAACAGCTGCATTATAGTCATAATGACTTCTTTGTTATAGAGAGCTTCAACTAAGTTGTATAACTCAAGGATATGTCCAGTAGAAAAGCTACAAGTCTCACAGCTTGCCGTAAGTGGTTCTGAAACTGCAATAGTAGGAGAGGCAAATTTTTCCAAGCCTAGTAATTTGTGACCAGGCCTGCCACTATTTTGAGTGCTCGCATAAAGTTTTTTGTATTGCCAATTTTGGCTTTGAACTTCATGTGACTGAACTCGCGTGGTGTCTGCTACGCACTTCGAGATAGGCGTTCTCTGTTTGGTTCGGTCACAAAGGGATTGTTGACTGGCCAGTCGCTTCTCCATTGAAAAGTTTGTGGGCGGGCTTTCTGCAAGCCGCTTTCGAGCATTGGATGACTGCTTAGTTTGGCTGGAGACATGATAAGAGATTGACCCGCCCAGCTTACCTGCCGGCTTTTGAGACGGCAGTAAGCACAAGCTTCTTAGCGGTGTTGCCTTTTCTGTAATAAGGGAAGGGGCCGTCGGTAGATCCATAGATGATTCAGCCTGAGGATGAATTTTGGTTCCTTGAATGTATTCCTTTGTCTGACCAGGGCTCAAGATAAGGTTATTAGAGGACCTACCCCCATCAGATTCTGGATAGTTGTCACTGCCACGTCTTTTGACGCTTATAACGACTATCTCAGACCCAATAATACCTATCCTAAACCTAGTCTTGTCAAAGTTATAAATATCTGCGTCTTGAATACCATGTTTCGCGAGTTCTGCCTCAAATTGGCAAAAGCACGTGCAATACGTGTCTGGATCTTTGTTCAAGACCCTTTGGTAGTCTATCCTCTTACAAAAATGCGTCCGGAGGCCTAGTGTGCGTAAATCTTCAATATAACTATGCCGGGGTAGAAATGCTCGCGCACCCAGGTCGAGAATAAAGGAAAGAATGACATTCTCTTTAGAAACCATAAGTTTCAAAGTATTGGGCATGCTGTCGCGTTGTGATGGCATTCCTTTGATTACATTGCTCAGAGTGGAATAAGGGATATTAAAGAGTTTTACAAGCTGAAATATAGAAATATGAGGGTCATGTCGTTTAGCTTGAACAGCTAGCTGTAAGTCTGATTTGTTATAACGCAGTGCCATTGTTATTGATAGAGATATAATGGTTAGAATCATGTTGGTTGGAAAGTTCATGACGAGTGCCAACTCACTTGTAATGTCAACTCACTTATAGTGCCAACTCGCTTGTTAGCTATATTATTTTTTATATAAATATAAGTTTAAATTCATAATAATTCCTTTATTCAACAATTTAAAAACATCAATCTAAAAAATATTTATTAATTTAAGGTTATAATTATTAAATATTAAAGATAAATTTCATATATTTAAAAACGTTATATTTTAATATTTTTCATAGAAAAATATTATATAAGAAATCTATAGTAAAATATTATAACATATCAAGAGGCTCTAAATGCCCTGCTAGTGCACTGCCACCTCTTTAACAGCTACTGTGCCTTGCGTGCTATTTAATAGCCACTGGGTCCTCACTTTAAGCTTGAGGATCTAGAATTAGGCAGCGTGCCAAGCTACGGGGTTTTCTAGGACGCTAGTGCAAGTGATCCCGCGCTCCCCACTACAGTTCCAGATGGGTCTAGATAAGCGTGCCCCGCCAGTTGCCCATCCGACCGTTTGCTAGACAGGTGCCCGTGTTCCTTGTGGTAGCGGTATCCAGAATAAGGACCAGGGTCACGAATGGTGGCTATTGGTCTGTATTCTGGAAGTTGCGTGATTGAAGGAAGGGATGGGTGGTGTCCCCATCCTAGACGTAGCTATCATCCCAGTTGGGTACGAATCTGGTACAAAAACGGGTACCAGTTGGGCTCCAAGGTACCTTGTACCCTGGTCCGTGACCCATCCGTCATTGTGGCTGGGAAATGGGTTGAGGAGCCACAGCCGGGTCAACCGTCGTCATCCCACCCTCAATCCGCATATCATACAAACGGGAACTTCCCAATTGTCATGAGCTGAAAACTCCACGACCCCGGCGGCCGGGCTCAGACTGTCTCCTCTCGAGCATATTTATCTTCAGTATCGACCAGGCAAATTTTATGAAGGTTTTCCAATATTCTGGTCGCCGTCATGAAGTCTTCTCAATCCTTCGCAGCCATGCAATCATCCCAATCAGCGTCCTCAGCTGCCAGCACGCCGACCAAAATCCCCACCAATGGTCTCTTTCAGAATGGAGTGTGGAAGTGTGAGTAGCTTTCTAGCCATTTCCAACACCTACCCACGCGATCCACGAGAGACTGACTTTGTGCCTGCCCAGGTAACTGTCAACCCCGACTCCCCGCGGTCCAGTTCACCGTCAAAAAGGACACAGTTAATCGGGGCCGCACCTTCTACACCTGCCAGCAGGACCGCAACAAGGGCAACCAGTGCGACCTCTTCCTCTGGACCGAAGATGCGCGCCTGCGCGAGGAAGGTGCCGTGTTGAGCAACTCGCGCAACGAGGTCGGCACACTCAGCCGCAAGCCCATGAAGCAGTCCACGCTGCACGAGGCCATATCGCCGCGGAAAGACAAGAGGAGCTGGAAGGAAAGGACGCCGATCACGCCGTTCGGCGAGCTGGAGTCTGGTCCTGCGGCGGCGCCGCCCGGCACTAGGAGTACCATCCAGAGCTCGGCTACCATGCGGGCGAGCGATCCGAGCGCGCAGGAGGACGACGAGACCTCTTCCGACGACGAACAGGCTGATATTTCCCACATTACCAACATCCAGCCCAGCGCGACGCAAAAGGCTGAAGCTGTAGGCTCCAAGAGGAAGCGGCCGGACGAAGAGGACGAGTACAGCGATTTCTCGTCTGGCGCGGAGGAGGAGCTGGCCTCGATTGCAAACAGCTCGTCCCAGCACCCAGGATCCCAATGCAAGCACCGCGATGCGCTTGCTACGCCATCGGCTGTGCGATCTGTCGGTATGCAGGATGGCATGCCAACACCTCTTACCGAGAAGCCGGTTCGCCGAGTGCTCTTCGCCGACCCCGAGGTCAGCAGCAACCCGAAGCGGCAGCGCACAGAAGCGGGTTTCACGCATCCTTCCAGCTCGCCCGCCTCGACGCCGTCGTCGTCGCAACAGCAAGAACCTGGCACTCCCGGCATGGACTCCGCAAACCTCCCGACCGAGATCATGGGCCTGCTCAAGGACCAGAACATCGAGGTGTCGGTCTTGCGCGCGGTGCGCAGCAGTCTGGAGAAGCACGCCGCGACGGCGAAAGGGCTTCAGCGGGGGCGGGATGCCTCGCGTGAGGCTGTGAAGAAGGCCGAGGGCCGCATTGCGCAGCTGCAGCAGAGGGTGGCGGATCTGGAGAACACGCGCAAGATGATGAGGTCGCAGCTATTGCAGGTCTATAGTGAGAGCTAGGGGCTGCGCGGAAGTTGGGGTCGGTCTGCTGGGTTGGAAGGTGGACCGATGGGAGCATTTGGGCTCTTGTTGGGTGGGAGTTTCAAGGGGCAAAGATAGCGAGTTCGTGCTTGAGTTGGTCCGCGTTACGTGATATGAAGATGGATGCATGCGGTGGTCGGTTTGAGAATTAGGATACCCATTTCGTTTAGCGGACAAAAATCGAATACGTGGTTTACTCATGGTTGAGCTCGAGTAGCATGGATTGGTTAGACAGTGAGTGCATTGCAATGAAATCTCAGATCTTAATCATCATCGTGCAGTGTTCTTGCGCTTTGGAAAGCTTGCCTTCGAGGCCTTGTGTCCAAGACTGGGCGAATAATTTCTCTATATGGTGCCCAAGCTTGGTATTTCGATGCAGCAGTACATCAAGATGATGTACACGAGTACGTTGAGGGGGCCAAACGACCTGAAGAGCTCCCTATGCCATGTTGCAAGCCGAGTGGTTGTATAAAGAACTTACTTACATAGGTACGGCACGGGGTTACACTACGATTATTAGTCCGCTATTCGTATAGGTGACAAGCACACTTCATCTCGACAACATGTCATTACAACAAACACTCACGACCCGGGCGAAGAGCCCGCCGCTCTGTGCTTGGTGCAATCAGCTTACGAGCTCCAATCTGGTCGCCCGGACCAAACCAATAGTCCCACTGAGTCACACAAGAGCAGCGACGACAGCATCGACAGTGTCGACTGGTGTTCCGTTGCTGGACTGGAAGCCGACGAGATCCTGCGAAACCGGAGCTCGTGCGCACTATGCGGCATGGTGTACAACGTCCTTCAGCGATCCGGCCAAATGTCTGGTGACGTCCGGCGGCGAACATACCTGTACTTTGTTACCAAGTTTGGATGGCCAAGCAAGGGGACACCTTGGCAAATGGTCGATGTCGATGCAGACCCAGACCCAGGTTTTCTACGCTCCTTGAAGCAAGGTGCAGCCGTCAGCATGGGCTCGATGGACTTGTGTTCTGGAATCGCTGGTTTGGCGGTCAGCATTGGCTCGACGCAGGTACCGGGTGAAACCCCCACGCTATGCCCTTATGGTATGCGCGTGTATACCAACGGAGGTGAGCCTGTCGAAATCGCTGTCCCGAATTGATGATCATGCACTGACCAAGACAGGTGGTTCGGCACATGCGGGAAGTATCTGTCCCCGTCGCAAGCCAAGCGCATCCTGCAATGAGCATACCTTTGCTATGGCGAAGGAGTGGTTGAAGCATTGCTCGGCCAAACATCTCCTTTGTCATCACACCCTCTCTGGTACGAAAGTTCAAGATGGGCCTGGTGAGACGCAGCTCCCTCTACGTGTGATACGTGTGGTTGGGCCGGATCCACCACGTCTCGTGGAAAGTCGACAGCACATGGGACAATTCATCGCTCTAAGCTACACTTGGGGACCATCACTCGACGACGAAGATTCCACTGTGCTCACGGCTCGGAATTTCGACGAGTTTAAGCGCCGTATTCCGCTAGACCGCATGCCGCAGACGATGCTGGATGCCATGGAAGCGACACGGCAACTGGGTGTCGAGTATCTGTGGGTAGACTCACTCTGCATCATCCAGAAAGACAATCGGGACTGGGAGCAGCAATCGGCATTGATGCCTGACGTCTATCAGAATGCGATATTGACGATAGTGGTACTGGGCGAGCGGGACAGGTGTACTGGCTTCCTCGCCCGAGGGTCTCCTGGTGCAAGCGTTGCTATTCCTTGGTACGAACCGGGAGAATCCGGCCACCCGATCCAGTGCGGCCACATCATGGCAACTTCTGCTCTCCCCTTCCACAAGCCACCAGCTCGACGCACAGCGAAGACATGTGAGGTTCAACACAGCAATTGGAATTCGAGGGCCTGGACTTACCAAGAACGTGCGCTGTCTCGACGCATACTGTACTTTGGGGAGTATCAGATGTACTGGGAGTGCGCAATATGCGTTAGGTCGGAGGATGGATTCGATGAGAAAGTAGCGCCGGCGACTGGCAAGGAAATGCAGGTGATGAGCCAAGTCGCTGCGGAGCGAGGGTCTGGTTCAATCTGGCGCCTTTTCGCAAGGTTGCATGACATCTTAGAAGAATCGCGAGAAGCGGCGGACTGGAAGGTCCCTCTGTCGGATCAGACGCTCAAGGACCAGATGCTCGAATATTACTTGAAGACTTCGCAATCCTCGCTTGTGGGACGGTCTTTGGATCATTTGGATGGGCTGTTGCGGCGCAAGTTCGACCTTTCGTCCTCGAGCCTCGGAATCAGTGGCAGCGGACTCCTACGGGAGTACTCGTCCCGAAGCCTGAGCGACCCAACCGACAAGCTTGCTGCTTTGCAAGGCCTGGCGCAAGCATTAGGACAAGCCAGCCAACAAGAGTATTTTGCCGGCGTCTGGACGAAGAGTTTGGCAATGAGCTTGTTCTGGCACTCTCCAGAAGGCAACCTCGTACGACCAGCTGTCCAAAGGGCTCCAACGTGGAGTTGGGCTGCCTGGGATGGGTTGATCGAAGGCTACGGCACCAATCCAGACTTCTTTGATGAGACGATCGATCTCAAGCAGGACGAAATTCAGAAGAGCAGCGGCGACCTTCGGGACCCGCTGTTCCTAGAACAAAACCACTCGATGCAGAAGCAAAGAGGTGTGCAACCCGTATCGCTGCAGTGCGACGCTGCTATGTGTACTGTCAGTCGCTCTCCGAACACCTGCCTCTCCTACCCTCGTGTGTACAAGCAGTTGGTGGAAGACTTGGGTCTCTGGCCTCGATGGTACAGGCCATGGTCTGCTGAGTCCTGTCATCTACTGTACTTCTCCTTCCCAGACCTTGTGGGCACGCCGCGGCTGGGACAGAGAAGCGTAGCAAGTTTCTGTCCAGGATGTCAGGCCCCGGTGAATTGCACTGACGAGAGCGTGGCGGTCGAGCACCTGGAACGATGCCCGAATGCTGGGCCCTCGGCACCGGCTGATATCGGTAGGCGGCAGAAGCTTGTCGGCATGGCGTTGTTTGACGAGCCTACCAGAGCGGCACGTAAGATATACGCTCTGGTACTCTGGAGAAAGGGCGATCCCGGCGTAGCGTTCCTCGACCCTTCGACCATGTCAAGCTATGACTATGTCAGGTCTCTGGATTGTCTGGGGCCCGCCGATGATACCTCATCCGGGCCCACGCACGGCAGTATCTTGCCAAGTCCTATCGCTCTCTTACCCTCTACAAACCATGTCCTCGGATTCCGACGCGCTGGACGAATTAGGTTGGGACGCCGGGCGGTGCTGAAGCAGACTTGGCGGAGCAGGAGATCGTATTCCTTGCTCCTAGTCCAGCCTACACCGGTTGCTGGCACTTACAGGCGGGTAGGCATTGCCATTGCGTACTCCCTGCCCAAGTTAGCAAACTTGGGAGGCGTCGATCTTGACGAAATGACCATGCGGAAGCGAGTCACCCTGGTGTAAGCCCATCGTGAGCGAGCGGTCTGCAATGCATCGCAGTATCACAGCACAATCCGCCAGGTCCAGCTGGTTTTGTTGGTCAACAATGGGCGTGGGCTCTGTCCTATTCATTGATATGAACTTGCCCATTAGCTACCCAACAACGGCGTCTCTACATTCCCAACTATCCTCGATGAGGGGATCATGCCCTTCACCCTTGTACGTGCTCCTGGACGGGTATCTGCAATGGCGATGTTGGTACGCCACACCCCAGCTGACAGAATCGTTTACGAACTTGGTACCCGTAATGGTATCTGGTGGTAACCCTCCCTCAACCCAGTCTACCACAGCTGCCAGGACATTATGCGCTCTGTCAAACGGAATACCATACGCTGCATCACTGCCGCCCTGTCCAATAGTCCATGCACCAGGTCCACCACTACAGTGGTTCATACCGGGAACACGGAAGAGGCGGTAGAACTCGTCCATCTGCTCCTGTGAATACCCCATACCGCTCGCCAGATGCCCATAGAAGCGCGCCGAGTTGAAGCTGCTGATCTGCTGGTCCTGCTGTCCGTGAAAGGTCAGGAGCTTGCCTCCGTGACTTTGAAATGCGGCAAGTGAGGAAGGCCAGGTCCGTATACCGCCAAGGTTTTTTTGTGCAGCGATCAGAGAATCGTCCAGTGTGTAAGTTGCTGGACGCCACGAGGGGTCTTCGAGTACCGCGAACCTGAACCAGTCGGTTGAAGGGCCAAACGCTTGACCGGAGTAGAGCCCATCTGCGGCGAGTATCTCGCTACCTGGTTGCATCCCTGGGTACATGACGGTACCGTTTGGCCACAAGTAATTGCTGAAGATCGTCTCAACTTTCTGGACTTGGGCTGGGTTCAGGCAGTCGGCTGTAGTGTTATCGGTTGAGCCGCAAAGAAGCCTTTCGGCTTGAAAGTGGCATAGTGTCGGATCCTCAATGATGCCATCGAGGACTCCATCAATGCCATCACATTGGCTGAGTACCTCGGAGTGGATTGTGGTCTTCCACGTATCTGCCGCGATGAAGTCTTCCGAGGCTGGAGCTCCTGTGACAGTGAAGAATCTGGCCCGCCAGGAGTAGAGGCTGTTGAAGTTAACCGCTGGCGACCCTGCAACAATCCCGTCGAAATCCTCGGGGAATTTTTCTGCGCTGCCGATGCCTTGTCGTCCGCCTAGGGAGCAGCCTATGTAATACGATTTCTTCGCACTTTCACCGTAGAAGAGGGTCGTGAGCCTCTTTCCAACATCTACCGAGGTGTGAAGCCTGCCAAGGTTGGTTAATTGTTCTCGTGAGTCGACTAGGCATAGAGTACTTACGACACCCAAGCGTAGTCAATGACAATATCTTCATTATGATAGAAAGCATTGCCGTAGGTGCCGTTGTGGCCGTTGTTCGTTCCAAGAGCTGCTACGATCAGTTTCTACTACTCGTGGTCGCAAGTACAGTTTCTTTCTACTCCGCCGACGGGCGAATGTAGTCTTACGTACTGCAAATCAGTTAGTGCTCGTATCATGGTAGCTAGATTCAAGGGATTGCAAAGTGAGGAGGATCGATCGCATAGAAGAGTGACGAACCTCGAAAACCCATTGGCTGTACCGTACGCTATATCCTCGTACTTGACACCTAACAGAACGACGATCAGCCAAGGTCTGCCGCCGTCCTGGGCTTTAGCAGGCTCTAACTGCATCATGTTGTCTCCCAGATGAATTGAAGTTGCAAAATGGAACAAGTAAGCGATCCTTTCAGATGCCACTCCACCATCTGCATCCCGTACCCTCAGGAACACTCTCAGCCCACTTACAGCCATCGATACCTCCGTTGCCAGTCGCCAATGTCCGTCCTTCCCAGGACTCCGGAAGCCACATCTCGAACGTGATACTTGACCTGTTCGAAGTCGGGATCGATAGAGCAACGCGACACAAGTCGGCGTAAGCCATCTGGCTCGCTCGAGCGCACGTAGGGTCGTTATCCGGAAACGTAAGATTAGTTGCTGACGGTACATACTCAAGCACATTCAGCGTCGAGTTCTGGACGTAGATATCTGGCTTGAACGAGAGGCATCTCTCCTGAAAGGTCTTGGTGTCGTTGGCACCGTAAACGGTAGTGGCAAGCGCAGACAACAACAAACCGGAAAGCCTCGCTCTTCGTGTCATGGTGGCTCACTACAGCCGGGGCAGGACCAAACAGTGCTGGAGGGAGAGGTAAATATAGAGAACATCTCTTTGTGCCTGTCTGTGGGCACCTTATAGTACGGGGCCAACCCCCCTCTTCCATCTGTCTGCCATCTGCGGGGTGCCGAATCCCGGCCAGCGTACAGTCGCATTTGCTGTCATTTCGAGTTAGCCGAGGAGACGCGATGGACCGGTGGGGGAAGTAATTCAATTACTTTGCTCAGCAGTCGGCGATACAGCTGACGATCCTTGTTGCTTGATGGTTCTCATTGTAAACGATATTGTGTGACGTTAGTCCTTGCTGCAATACCTAGTTGACGTTCCACCGAATCATGTCAAGGTGGTGTGAACCTCCCTGCCTCCTCGCCAGAACAGTGGTATCTCCAGAGGAGTTCGGATGGAGATCTTTCGTAGGATACTTGGTATTATGTTCGTGTATTGCAGGACTGACAAGAGTTTGAGACGGCGAAGGGCTAGCCCTGACCCGTGACTAAGGAGGCCTGGAAATACTCACGCTTGAGGAGGCACCGGACGTGGTTGTGAGAAGCGAGAAATCCCCCATTAGGGCTAATGATCTGGGAAACGACGTCAACAACCAATGTAGCCTCACCTCGTGGACGCTCAACTGCCAGAGGGGGCTACACAAATAGGATATATTCTTAACCTGGACGCGCTTTGATGAAATGACGGTAGTTAAGTAGCACTTACTTGACCTGACTTTGTCGAATCCCAGATAGATTACTCATACTAGACCCGTACACTCAGTACGTTTGGTTACATTTCTTCTTTTTATTACTACATGTGTATGGAGACGACAAAGCGGCATCGAGCAGAGATTGTAGAGATATGAGGACGACAACAAGATACAAACAACCCTTCTCAAGTCTCATCAGAGTATCCACGATTTCACCTTGATTGTGTGGACATCACAGCCCTCCGGATATGTTTCTTCTCCAAGCCATAGATAAGTAGTATAGCGAGTCCTACGCTTCCTGATTTGGGGCGTTACTTTTTCTTGCTTTTTTGCTCTCTGCTATAGCGCGACAATCAGAGTCTCGGCGACATCCGCCGCGCCATCACCCCAGATGCCGGTGACGGCCATCATGAAGCCGATGCTGGCCATGGCGGTCTGTACCAGCTGGTTTCGGACGAAGAACTCGACATCGCTGCGCACCTCCTCGCCGTTGACGTCCTCCTCAAGCTCCTCACCACTCGTGCTCGCGGTACCCTCCTCACTATGCGAATCGCCAAGAACCTCGTAGCTGGCTTCCATATGCCGGGCAGCTTGCTTTTCCTTGCGGGCTTGGACGGCTGCGCGTCGTTGCGCGGCGGCGGAGGAGCCCGAGGTCGAGGTACCGAAGATAAATGGGGTCACATAGTCGGTCAGGCGGGTTCCGAAGCAGAAGAGAGACGTGTAGAGGAGGAAGGGATGTCTGTAGCCGCGTGGTGAGAGCGCAAAGGCAAGGGCGAAAGCTGTGCCGGAAATGCTCGTCAGGGCGGTGAGGTGAGTCGCTGCCGTCGATGATAGGGATCGGAAGGCCTTGGCTGCGGTCGAGGCAGACGGAAGCTCGAGGAGGGAGGGAATCGTCAGCGTAGAGAGGGTATATGATGTGCCCTGGATCGCGTTAGCTCCTACGTCGCAATGATGATCTGAACAAGTTGTTGTCCAACCAAGCTGCAGCTTGGACGACCATGTTGGAAGGCTGAGCGCGGGGTTTCGTCGAGGACCTGGAGGGGTATGGGTATGTCCGAGAATGGAGAAACTTACTGTCAAGAGACCAAGGGAAATAGTCCCAACAAACTTGAGGGCGGACACCTTCTTGGATGTCATGGTTTCCAGCAGGTTAGACAGATGTGATATGCTGGAGATGGAGGTTGCAGGAGATGCACACAGACGAAAGATGGCAAGAAAAAGGCTTGGTGGTGTGGTGAGTGCAGGTGGGGAGTGGTGACAGGTATGACGGCGGCAGGCGGTTAGGCGTTGAGCTGATAAGGTAGGTACCTACCTAACCGACGGGGATGGAGTGGAGCCGCTACCGTGCATGTTTAATGTTATGAACCGTTTGGGGAAGTGGGGATTGCGGGGTGCGTCATTGGTCGGAGTTACATCCGAGTAATAACATCGGACAGGCCAACTGCTGACGGCCAGCTCGCAGCTGTGTGCTTTAAGTGGGTCATCGATATGCCAGCCGAGGCTTATTGCGATTGAAGGTTCGCCTGCATCCTGGTGTCCTACAACGCAGATCGCCGCAGTGAGCTTCATCCAGACGTGGTTGAACAGCGCCTCCTTCCCTTGACAGAGAAGTTATGGCATTGACCTTGCCTCTTCGCCCTTTGCATTATATCCTGCGAACATTATATCTTGCATAGGCCGTGACATCTTGACAAGATATTCAGCCTCGCAGATCCCGTCAGGTCCGTATCCGGAAGTACGCTGAAGTCTTGTGCTCCTCCATCAGCAACATGCCGATTCCCGCGTCCGAATACGTCAGCAGCGTCTGGAAAGATGGCATATTCGGTCAGTCGCTCCGGCATAATATAAGACATCTAAGCGACTAACGCACATTCTCTGCAGATGGCCGTGTTGTATTCGTAACTGGTGGTGCCGGCACCATTTGCAGTGCTCAAACGAGAGCTCTCGTCCACCTCGGAGCGAACGCGTGCATAATCGGGCGCAATGTAGAAAAGACCGAAGCCACCGCTGCCGACATCGCTACATCAAGGAAAGGCGCAAAGGTGATCGGCATCGGTGGCTGTGATGTTAGAGATGTGGGTAGCGCCTTTGCGCGAGCCAATGTCACGACGAATGCTGATGTTGTTGTAGCCCGAAAGCCTGCAGAAGGCCGCCGAACGATGTGTGAAGGAGCTTGGCGCTATCGACTTCGTTATGTACGACCTCTTCCTGGGGAAATGACTTGAGTAGTAAACTGACGCCGCCCGCCCTTAGTGCTGGAGCAGCAGGCAATTTCGTAGCACCCATCACAAGTCTCAGCTCCAAAGGTTTCAAGACGGTCATGGACATTGACGTTCTTGGCACATACAACACCGTCAAAGCGACGATACCATACCTCATCGAGTCTGCACAGAGAAACCCCAACCCAAGTACGAACGGCTTGGCTGGAGGCAGAATCATGTATGTCTCTGCTACCTTTCACTACGCCGGAATGCCGATGCAAGCGCATGTTTCAGCCGCAAAGGCTTCGGTTGACTCTATCATGGCCTCGGTGGCCTTGGAGTTTGGTCCTTTCGGTGTAACATCCAATGTGATCGCTCCGGGCGGAATCGCTGGGACTGAGGGTATGGAACGGCTGTCGAGCAGCCAGGTTGACCCCAAGGTATATGGGAGGTCGATCCCATCCGGTCGAATGGGCACCGTTCGTGATATCGCCGATGCGACGGTGTACCTCTTCAGCGATGCGGGTAACTACGTCAACGGAGAGATCCTTGTCGTAGATGGAGCCGACTGGAGAAATAAGGGCATGGGCGTCGGGCTCGACGCTGATATGAAGTATCCTGATTATTTGCTGAAGGGCGAATTTTCCAAATTTGTCAAGAGCGGTCGAAAGGAGAAATCAAAGCTTTGATGGATGATAACATCAAGACTTTTCTTTCACGCTCTCCCAAGGAAGTGAGGGTCCAAGGCTCTTGCATGGCCCTCTCCGTTCCCACAACCAACTCCTCGCTTCCTATGCGAGGTTGATACTGATGGTCGCATCAGTGTTTCGAAATGAGTACATACACCTTCAATATGCTAGAATCCTTTTACTCGAATTGCGTGTTCAATGATGAGAGGAGAGTCCATACTCGCCACCGCGGACTGGTTCTGAACCCGTTCTGGCAGGGTAAGCAACATACCGGTACGCACTCGAATCGCTCAGGGTTCCGATCACCTTTGAGTTTTCCGTGAGCCCCAACGAGCACTTCATTCTCTACCCTCTTTCCCCCGATCGACTCCTTCTTGCCGTGGGGGCTGAAGTTTGGTATGTTTTCTCATTCGCAGATGTCTGTCAGGGCGTAGTACGTGGTATTGTCCACACAGTCGCTGAGGTGAACACGTACGACCCTCACGAGACTCGAGTAGGGCCAGCGATTCTAGCTTATTCGCTTCGAACCTTCTGAGGACCTGAATTGCGCCCAGCTCATATGTGCTGGCAGTTTTCTCGGGGATACCTTAGCAGGATCGCGGACGTCTTGTACATGGTTCTGGAGGAGGACCACATCACAATGTACAGCGCCATGACTATACAAAATGATATGTGTCGCTGTCTTTGTCTTGGTATAGACCATACCGGTTTACCTTTACGAGGTGAAGGGATCGCTGTTCTAGTTTTGTGGTGTCGAATATACCTCTGGGGAGCTCGTTGTCTGCAAGAATGGTGCGTCTTGGCGCAGAAAGACTTCACCCAAGTCTCAAGGGATCGATTTAGGATATTTCACAACCCCAAGAGGGAGCACAATCGGAGACCGAGCGCCTAGATCCAGACACAAATCGAAGACTGGGATGCATTGCTGTAACCAGGGTCCTGTCCACATCTCAGCTTCGTGCGCTGGGCCAGTACTGTAACTCAGAAGGCTTCTATGAGTACGGATTCAAAGGCAGGGACGGGGTCAGGCACGTATTCCTTCGCCCTGAAGAGTCAGAAATCTGTCATGCCGATGACTCACCGTCGAAGTGTACCATGATCAAAGAGAGTAAAAAGTAAAAGGGGTATCTCAAGGGCTTGGCGCGAGGCAGGGCGACGCATAAGGTTGACTTGAAAGGGGACAGAGTCATCACCACTACAAATTTACACGAGAGGAATCGGGGAAGTTGTGTACTTCTATTAGTCTATCAATCTAAGTTGGATCACTGTATTGGAGCTTTGGCAGTACCTACCTAGCGCTGAAAATAGTGGGTCAGGTTTCGCGCCAAGAAGTGACAGGTTGTCCAGGACAAAGGCTGCCCCCTGAATTGGCCAAATTAGAAACAAGCCGGAATCCTGCCTTGGTGTAGGCGATTCCCGTAGCTAGTCGATCCGTGACAGAGAAGATCAACTCTCCTTCTCATCACTACTTGCCTGGTCTTTGGAGTACCGATCTTCTTGTGTTGAAAGATCCCCTTCATCTGAGCCGTATGCCTCACTCGGGGCATATTCGTGGTCGGAACCAAGCCCATCACTCCAGTTAAAATACTCTTCCTCTAAGTACTGTTCATCCAGAGTTTCTTCTCCGTCCAAGCTCCTCTCATCTCCAGCTTCGGTCTCCTCGTCACTGTCTGTGCGAAGCTTGCGGTCTCGACCATTTTGGCGGATTCTCGATCTGACGCAGCGACTTTTAGCATTTGTCCGCTCGTCCCGCGCTCCACGATCGGTGCAGACTTTTGCCCCCTCGGGGATCTTTACTGAGATGGAAGCTGTTGCCTTTTTGGACTTGGTGATGTGGGTAGTGTTCATACCTGGCGCAGCTTCCTCCACCGAGAAGTCGGAGTCGCTTGCGTGAGTAATCTTCGTGTTAGACATTCTGTTGATGTTTACTACTCCGTAACTGGGATTGAATAGAGTATGTAGGGCAGATTATTGGTATTGGTGTCCAAAGAACTGCGTAGATTGTCAGTGAAGAAGGGTGACCTGGTCGATTCAGTCAAGCCGGAACCTGAGCTGGCATACCCTCTCTTATATATTCAAGGTCATAGTACCTTCAAAACAGTCTATTGCAATGCAGTTCAAAGAGAAATTGTGCATGCCAAAGACTTCGTTACGAGTGGCCTTTTGTCTGCCATGCAATATGGGGTGATTCTGCTTCATGGCCATTGTTGCTTTGCCTCACCAGGGATCTATCCTGTAAAATTGCTTTGTCGTCTCTCGGAGTGAAAGGAGGAGTTCCTGACAGATCATATCCACCAGGTAGTTGTGAGTTGTCCACCCGTCTTTCCCCGAGCCTAACACGCTGCTGCTCATCGTTCTTCCCAATTTTCTGGGAGTGAGCTGCACAAACGCCTGAAAAGTGGTACCACACTGCTCAGCTCACAGCGAGCCGTCTAATGAGGCCATCTGCGCCCATCACGGATGAATTCCCATGGAATTCGCGTAGGGGTGTGCGGAGCAGTGAGGTAAAACACCACAAGCTCAAAGGGCTCCATTTCGTCCCAAGATACACGCAGAATCATCGATTACTACTGCTATGACTTGCTGTCAAAACGAGAAGTTATGTGGTCGACTTTTGCTTCACTTTGCAGATTCCGAGTCTTGACGAAAACATCGTCGCCGCCTCCGCGCGACGGCGAGCACGGCGACGTTGGCGATAACAAAGAACCCCCTTCCGCATTCCAACACTTACGGACCGTCGCCGGTAAAACGAGTGGACGATGGAACGCGAGCAGTTGCCTGCGAATTCTGCTTCAATTGGTATCATACTACAGCTGCTAATTGATCGCACTTCACGGCGCTCCCTTACAGCACTCCCGGCAAATATGCACTTCCCAGAGGGCCAGCCACAATTACACTCCCGCGCTTCGCACGGCAGACCTCACTTCGCCTCGGGGACGAGAACCGTACTTCCCTCAGTCTCAGCACCCTTCTCCCTGTCCTCATAGTGCTTGTCCAGATCCGTGACGACCTGCCGACCGCTGAAATTGGTCATGATGGTCTGGCTCTTGGTCCGCAGCCCATACGAGTACCAATGCGGCAGACCTTGGAGACACTGCAGAAAATGGCCGAACAACGGCGTGATGACCTGTCCGCTCTTTCCGCTGAAGATCTGCTTGCAGATAGCGTCGGCGACGGACTCGGGCTCGAGATTGGGCACGATAAACGGCGGGGCCGGGTTGTCGTAGCCTGTGAAGAGCTTTGTCTTCGTGTAGCCCTGATTGACGATGATGGTGCGGACCTTGGGCGCGTTGTACCGCGTCTTGAGCTCGGCCGAAAGGCCGTCGTGGAAGGCTAGAGAGGCGGCCTTGGAGGCCGAGTAGTCGACCATGTTCGGCGCGCTGAGCCAGGCGGCGTAGGACGTCACGGTGACGACCATGCCGTGGTTCTTCCTGACCATGAAGGGCAGGAACTCCTTGACCGTGTGGAAATGCGCAAACGTGTTGACGTCGAAGGTGAACTTGAGATCTCTCTCGCTGGTCTCGAGGATCGTCTTGCCTCGCGCCACACCGGCGTTGTTTACCAGGATGGTAGGCTCGCCCACCTTGGCCCGGACCTCCTTTGCTACTTCGGCCAGGTCGGCGGGCGAGGTGAGATCGCACTTGAAGTAATACACGTTGGGTCCTTCGGGACTGTCAGCGACCTGCTCAGGAAACAAACAGCGACGGAGAGCTGCGACTCACCTCCTTCATACGTCATCGCTTGGATATCCAGCACCGCAACCTTGACGCCTCGCTCCACAAGAAGCCTCGCGACATGTCCTCCAATTCCACCGGCGCCACCTGTCACGACGGCGATCTCCTTCGGCCAGTCGTAGGTATCGCGGGTCCAGTTGTTGACCACGCCCTGCGAGTAATAGCTGCTCAGCCAGCTGGCCAGGCCGGCGTAGAAGAGCGTCTTGATGCGGGAGAAGGCTGTCGGGTGCAGCATAGTCATGTCCTCGCCCTTCTTGGTGAACTTGGCGAGCAGCAGCAAGGGCAGCAGCACCACCGGGTTCAGCGCAGTGCGGCCGATCAGCCTGAAGATCGGGTCTGCGGTCAAACCCTCGCGGGGCAGGAGGCCATTGTGAATGGGCATCTTGAGATGGTGATGCCGGTAGTCTTGCAGAGAGGGCTTCTTGAGCCAGTGATAGATATCTGGGCGAGAATGGTGGGGTTGTTATCAGCACAATGGAGCTGAGCTAAGGCCAGCAGAGAAGAAAGAAGATGCGGAGTTGGTGAGGACGATGAGTTCCAGCTCTTCAAGCTCTATGTCAGGGTGTCAGGTTCATATTCCAATGGTCTTGACCAAACCCCGTTGGGGTCGCCATGAGGTCAATGGTCGAGCTACCGAGGCTTCTGATAGACCTTGGCCGGCAATGAGTGCGGGGACGCTTCGGACGCTTCGGACGCTTCATTGACAGGGGACCTCACATTTGAAGCTCCACTGACGACACCTGTCTAACGGTTTTCGTGAGAGGCATCTTATTGTTATTATTGGGATATGCCCGTTTGAGAGGGGCGATCGGACGAACCTGGTTGACAGGGTGATTTATTATTTCACTAGGGGCACAGATATACCAGTTCGGCGGGCAAGCTCTCATCCATAAAGTATGCACGAAGCCGATGAAAGCAGGCCGGTAAACTCTCTTGATTACCCAATCGCCAGGTGGGGCACCCGCCTCGGCTTTGCGGTGACCATTTCTGGTTCCAGAGGGGGACACCGAACCTACTTACTCGAGTAGCAGGCTCGGGGAGAACGGACGCCTGAATTGCTGCTGGTTATAAGAATGGTGAATTGAGGGTATCAAAGACTAAACACGCAAATTGCAGCAACTGCTGATATCCAAAGTACGGCAGATCTCCATGAGAACTCGAGTGCGCCAGCGCCGCTTCCGAGTCCGTTGGCCGCATCTCCCTCGGGCTTCAGAGGACCCAAGCTGTCGCCATCGCCAGATGAGGCTTCGGCCTGCTGCACCACTGTCGCATCGCCCGGTGCGAACAGGATGCCCACGCTATTGGCGGCATGGGCGTCTATCTCTTCTGGTGTGAGCAGGAGATTGTTGACCGAGTCACAAGACGGGTTGTTTCCGACAAACTCGACCTTGTTGGTGACTGAAATGGGGACATCGAAGATTGTATAGTGCTCCTCGTTGTTGAGACGGAAGTTCTGGCGAATCGATATCTGGCGAAGCATTAGCGATCGCGGCCTTGAATGTGCCCAGATTGTATCTTCCTTTACGCACGTTGTACTCCCCATGGTCGCTGTCTTGGCTTGTCGGCTGCCCAACGCCAATCAAGCAGTCTGGCCAAGTCCACTTCACATGCTTGACAGTGCTGCCAGGCTCCGAGGCCATGATGTCGCCCAGGCTGGCATTATTTGTCGAAGCTGTCCCATTCGTGATGGTAAAATTCCGTCCCGTGTCGTAACTATAGAGGAAGATGGTGATGTTGTGGATGAGGCTGGGGCTGTCAGCATCGTAGGGCGGCAGGTTCAGCTTGCCGTTGGCGGAAACATCAAGCGCAACCTCGATGGTGTCTGTACATGCCGTGCATTAGATCTCGACCCGGGTTCCTGGATATCGAGTACGAACCTCCGCCTAAAGGCGTCCCGGGCTGTGGGGCGTCAAGCACCGCGAAACCGGGTGTGAATATCTGGCCGCCCGCGGTAGTGAAGTTGAGAGCAGATGTCCAGTGGGAACAGATCAAGAGACAAACGATATTAGGCACAAGAGATCTCATTTTGGCAGTATTTGCCTCAGTGACACGGTCGGCAAAGTACAAGGAAACTGCGCGGGAGAAATTGCGGAAGCACCATCACTCGACGGAAGACGTCGAATATGTAGCCAAAGGAAAGCGGACTATGTACTGTTGTTGGTGATCGACTCGAGAAGCAAAACAAGGAAGAACGGCACACTGATCCTTTCGTTATGCCACGCGCAGTTGCTTATGCCATATGGCTTGAGATGACAGAACCCATACCCTGGACAGCAAATAATTTGTGAGAGATCTCTGGAGATTTTACCGGGTTCTCAGAAATCCAGCACGCTTCGAGACACTCCCTGTCGCTACTTGAACTTCATTCTATGCTCAGCTCTGGGAGTCGGGATGGGGAAGGATGCACAGAGACGGCGCGGCTGATATCTCCCCCAAGACAAGATAAATATCATCATGCAAAGTCTGCGAATACTTGGACATCGCGGAGACTTTCAATCTGCAGTGTCATGCCGAGATCGTAAGCTCGCGTTTGGAGACGCAGATGAATCCAGACATACGCAGGCGAGGTTTCAGAATGACATGCAACATCGAACCAGAAAGGACGGGCCCCGGCAGGGAGAATGAGACGGACCGTGGCCCCTGGAATTGCCCATCCAATGGGTGTTCCCAGCCAATCAGACCGAGCTCAGGGGAGCCAGACTTGGCCCCGCTGGAAGGGCGCCAGCTACCGTCAACCGGCTGGAGACGGGACCGGGACCTGGACTCTCGACCTTTCCAATGCGCCTTTCGCTATCGACACCAGTGGACCTTGTTCTTCGAAGGGCTTGCACCAGCATTCCAAACAAGTTGATTGGCTGCACCTGAGTATATGCCAGGTCTATAAATGCACCGTGCTGTCACTGGTTAGCGATTTGGGGCTAAGGGAGCGCAGTCGATTCACCTTTCACGAATCATTGACAAGCTTGCCATCGACAGCAACGAATAGGCTCTCCGTGGTGTTCATGCTTCCGGATCTGGCCCGAGTACCCTTGTTTAGGTCATCAGACACGTTCGGTGGAAATCCTTTGCACCAGGACAGGAGGAAGCGACGGTCATGAAGGCATTACGGACATCATCCGCCCTAGCACGGCAGACGTGTCGCCGTCAGCAGCCTACCGAGAACTGCGGCCCTTTATCTGCCCGGGCCACTACAAGCAGACCATTCTCAACGTCCAGAAGGCATTTTCAGTCGTCTCCTACCGGCAGCTTGGGAGGCCTGAAAGACATCTTGAGAGTGTCCGAGGAAGTCACTGACGCATTGGCTACGAACAAGCCGGTAGTTGCGCTCGAGACAACTATATATACCCATGGAGCACTAGGCCATAGCCTCCCGTCTGACCTGGAGAGTGTCATCAGGCGCCATGGCGGCGTACCTGCTGCTGTCGGTATCCTCAATGGTGTCCCTACAGTTGGGCTCACTCCTGAGGAGATCGCCCGCATGGTCGAGGGTGCCCCGAAGAAGGCATCTCGGCGGGATCTGGCCTACCTTGTCGGTATGGTATGTTAACGTGCCTGCAAACTACTCCTCTGTCCAGAGGCAATCGCTAACGTGATACATGCGTAGGGTATGACGGGGCGAAAGTTCAACGGCGGTACCACTATTGCAGGCACCATGGTACTATCAAGGCTTGCTGGGATCCGTGTCTTCGGCACTGGCGGTCTCGGTGGTGTCCATCGAGGTGGCCATGAATCATTTGATATCTCCGCCGATCTGACCGAGCTCGGCAGGACCAGAGTGGCAGTGGTCGCTAGCGGCTGCAAGGGGTTCCTGGACATTCCGCGGACATTGGAGTACCTAGAGACTCAAGGTGTGCTCGTCTCGACCTTTGCTGATGGCAGAACGAATAACGTGGAATTCCCGGCATTCTGGGCGAGGGACAGCGGCGTCAAGAGCCCCTTTGTGGTCAACGACGAGGACCAGGCCGCTGCCATGATACTGGCGCAAGAGAGGTTGAATATAGAGACGGGCATGCTATTCGCCAACCCGATCCCGGAGGACTTCTCAATCCCCAGAAGCGAGATGGACACCATCATTGAGCAAGCCGTACTCGAATCAACCCAGCAGGGCGCGCTCGGCAGCGAGAACACACCCTTCATCTTGAAGAGGATCAAAGAGCTCACTGATGGCAGAAGCGGGCCAGCGAACATAGCTTTGGTACATGCAAACGTAGAACGGGCTACCAATGTGGCCGTTGCGCTTTCCGTGCTTATCTCAGGAGGTCGTCTAGCTTCTAATAAACCGTGAGCTTTGAGCTCTTCCCGGGTTTCCCTTCTTTGTGCCTAACATGTATGAACTAGGGTGAAGCAGTGGGCTGGCTCTGAACCGTTGAAAGCCAGGAGCCGTCCCGTATATGAGTCATCGAAGAAGACTGAGGTAAGGAAATCCCCGTTGCTCCTTGCCGACTAAATGTCCGTCTGGTTCGATGAAAATTGCCCTAAGTCCCTGGCGTTAGCACCCATTGGTCGAGATCTGAGCTGAAAGCTGACCATGAAAGGTCACTTCGCAAGCTGATATCCTTGTTGCTGGATCGGTTGCTGTGGACTTGAGCTGCGACTACGTTGGTGCAGACTCTTATGAGAATCCGTCGCCTCACCTCCATACGTCAAACCCAGCACACATCGCCCAGTCTATTGGAGGCGTTGGCCGCAATGTGGCACTCGCAGCTCATAGGGTGAGCCAACACACCAACGTTCGATTATGCAGTATCATCGGCGATGACCTGTGAGTCCCTGATCTGCAGTGCTGAAGTTGCGTCTACTAACCAGGACAGAGCTGGCTCGACAGTTCTAGCATCCCTGCGGTCGTGCGGGATGGACACTTCATGCATACGACAGTTGAGCCACGAGAATTACCCCGGCAGCCGGACCGCGCAATACGTGTCGGTCAACGATGCCAACAAGAACCTGGTACTTGCCATGGCTGATATGGCTATACTCACATCCCATGCATCTCCTGCTTACTGGAACTCGGCTCTGGCGGCGTCATCGAAGCCTAAATGGCTTGTTGTCGATGGAAACTGGACTGCCCGCGACATCCGAACCTGGATGCAAGGGGGTAAGCGGAACCATGCCCAAGTTGCCTTTGAACCAGTGTCAAAGGAAAAATCAACCCGTCTGTTCAGCGCCGAGAAAGGACTTGCAGGACTCGGGGTCTTCCCCAGCGTCACCGTCGACCTTGCAACACCAAACCAATTTGAGCTGGCAGCTATGCATGCAGCCGCGCAACAAAACGAGTACCTCGACGACTCACGGTGGTGGGAGGTCATTGATGCCTTTGGGATGAGGGGAGCGAGGGATCGCTTCGTGAAGCTCACATCCTCTAGCATGACCGATGCTGGCATTCCGCAGCAAGCCGTCCGACTTCTGCCTTATATCCCGACAATCGTCACGAAGATGGCAAGCCACGGGGCCCTGTTGACGACTATCCTGAAGAAAGACGACCCACGCTTACACGACACCGCTTCGAAGCCATTTATTCTCTCAAGATGTGCCAATGATCATGCAGAAATTGGAGGTGTTTATATGAGACTGTTCCCACCCGTCGAACAAGTCGAAGACGTAGTGTCCGTGAATGGGGTTGGCGACACGTTCTTGGGAGTTCTGATTGCAGGACTTGCTCAGGGGGGAAAGGTGGAGGATTTGATCGATATTTCCCAGAAAGCTGCGGTCCTGACTCTTCGCAGTCCTCAGTCCGTGGGTGAGAATTTGGGTATACTGGAGAGCGAGCTTATGGCTGCCGCTGCCGCTCCATCCTTTTAGTCATTGTAACTTCTCGTCCTACGACGAATAGGACGAATATTTGGAGCGTGTAATAGAACAGTGATGGCAGCTACCACAATATTGGGACTCAAAGGTCCCAACTGAGTTCACGAGTTCGAGCTGGTCACGCAGACTTAAGGGGAAGACACAAACTCATTTAGTTGCATAAGCGTAATTCCTGCATAATGCATCGTCTGGCTGTAAGGCTGGCTTAGTGGCCCCCACTGGATAACAAAAATAGCGGGGTCTCTGCAAGGCTACAGGCATCGAGAAAAAAAGTTCCTGCAGTCGCAATCAGGGTAGTAATTTACATGAACATTTTCATGCCGACTAGGCTTGATAGACCATACGATGGCCCCTAGACGACCCGACCTAACAATGGACGGCGACTCCACGTCGTCGTCCAGTCAAGATGAGTCAGAGTATTCCAGCGACGAAGAATCGAAGCAGCAGGCCCGCCAGGCGCACACTTACGAGAAGGACTCGGACGAGGAGGAACTTGAACGGTTCGTCCTTGGAGATACTGCCAATTTTCGGGAGAACCTATTCAAGGACGATTCACGAGATGACGGCACGGAGTCCGAATTCGGTGGCTTTGGCGACGACGGTAACAACGCACAAGTCACCGGGCTGGAGGACCTGGACGATGCCGACCTCTTCGCCTTCGACGTTGGAGGGACACAATCCGACGACCAACGACTTGTGGTAGCCCCAATAGCAAAAACATCTCAAGTTGCCGACGAGTATGCGCCGGCGTGGGAAGACAGCGACGACGAACGGCTGACCGTTTCCCTTTCGAATGCTACGCAGTTGCGGAAGCTCCGAATCAGTGAGGCAGAGGACGTTGTGACGGGAGCCGAGTATACCAGACGATTACGGCAACAATACCTGCGACTGAATCCCCTTCCCGAATGGGCACAAGAACCTGCGGAGCGGCCGACAAAACGTAGACGGCGTTCATCTGCTGCCTCCAACGACTCTGAGACCTCGAGTGACGCTGCTAGCGACGACGACACCGAAGTCTCTGCACTACCTCTGGACAAGTTTCTTCGTGATGCTGGCGCACTGCAGGGTGGCAAGATCGCGAAGGTCAGGAAACTACGGCCTGAAGTTATCGATATTCAAAGATCTCGTGACATACCCGATACCCATAGAGACGCAGTGACGTCCATCGCCTTCCACCCTGAACACCCTATTCTTCTTTCCTCCAGCATATCGTCGGTATTACATCTCCACCATATTGCCCCGACTGCGCATCCGACCCCGAACCCACTCTTGACATCGGCCCAAGTCAAGCAAGTTCCCGTCCGCAGAGCAGAGTTCTTGAATACGGGAGACAAGATATTTTTCGCCGGCCGGCGCCGCTACATCCACTGCTGGGACTTGTCAACAGGGATGGTACAGAAGACCAATAAGATCCAGGGGCATCAGCTAGAGCAGAGAACATGGGAGCGGTTCAAGCTGAGCCCGTGTGGAAGATACCTGGGGATGATCAGCACTTCGAGAAAGGGGGGTGGTTCCGTCAACATCATCAACGTTACGACCATGCAATGGATAGCAGCCGCGCGACTCGATAGTAGAGGTGGTATTGCGGAGTTTTGCTGGTGGAGCAACGGAAATGGCCTCACGATTCTGGGCAGGGGCGGCAACGTGGGGGAGTACAGCATGGCTACGAGGAGGTTCCTAGCTATCTGGAACGATGAAGGGTCAAACGGTGGCACTGTCCTGGCACTTGGTGGCCGCGGCGGCCCTGTTTTGCTTGGCGGCGACCGATGGGTGGCGACGGGGTCGAACAGCGGTGTCGTGAACATCTACGACCGCGCCTCCTTGATTCTACCGTCGGCAGAGGACGAGCTCAAGGTCAAGGAACGGCCGGAGCCAACGCGCACATTCATGCAGCTCACAACACCAGTCAGTGTGATAACCTTCAGCCCCGACGGGCAGCTGCTGGCCTTTGCCAGCAAATACGTCAAGGATGCGCTGAAGCTCGCCCACCTTCCCACCTGCACAGTCTACAGGAATTGGCCGACGGAACAGACTCCCCTTGGCAGGATATCGGATGTGGCGTTTGGTAGGAAAAGTGACATGTTGGCTGTTGGCAACGATGCAGGGAAGATCAGGTTATGGGAGATTCGTAGCTAGACAACATGGAGATGTAGAGCATCATGTTACATACAAGCGATATCTGTCCAACGCTCGGTCCACCACTATGATCGTCTGTCACTCCACCACTGTGATCGTCTGTTCATCTATCTTCCTTCACTCTTCAAGGCTCAATCCCATAAGCCGATTCGTCACAATGTCTACCGGGCCGTCTCTAGCTGACCGGTTCCAGTTAATGCGCGCCATCAGTCGTCGAAGTGGGCTGCCCTTGGGGATGCCCTTATTCGGGTAGAACTTCCGTTTATTGATGGTGTACTGCGAGAGCTCATGCTCGCTCTTGAAGCGACGAACCGGCTTGTTGTTCTTCACCGCGTTGAGGAAGTCGTGGATGTTCACCCAAACTCCCTTCAGCGCCTTTTCCCAGTTTCGGTCAGTATTTACTCAATGAAGATCGATATACTGGGCATATCCCGGGCAAAGGAAAGAAGGATAATGGGGAGGGAGAGAGATGGGTCGGGGATGTGGTGCTGTTGCGGCTCACCTTTCGACACTGGTTGACGCTGGGAAAGTCCTCCTCGAAACCCAGGTCTCGCATCAGGCGTCGCCAGTCCTCGAGCTCGCCGCGCTTGAAGTACACGTTCCACCGCTCGACGACATCGGGTGCGGCGACAGCCCCTTTCCCCTGGCCGGGGACGGCGTTCGCGCGTGGGCGGGCGGTGGGGGTTTCGCTGGTGTTGCCGCCACCGCCGCGCTTTCGGTGCTTCTTGGACTTCTTTCCCATGGTCTCGGGAGTAAATATCCTGGTCCGTCCGGGGTCTTTGACTCGAGCTGGTGTTGACGATGGGGTAGAAGAGTGCGTGGTGATGTGATCAGAGTCTGTGTGTCTCCATCCGACGAAACAGGGTTTGTGGGAGGAAGAAACTGTCTTGAACAAACCACGTAGAGGCAGAAGTTACCTTTACGGAAGTATCGCAAACGGTGCTATACGTTGTATGCGCCATGCCTGTTGCCTGGGTGGTCAGCCTGCCCCTTGTCAACAAACGAGGCCATCTGCAAGTATCCCCTTTAGCGTGAGACACTGCGAACGGCCGCGTCCGAATCTCATGTATCCTTCAAAGCCTACTTTATCTTAGTTGGGATACAGAGAGTCAAAAAGACCTCGATCAGAGACAATGATATGCCGTGAAAGACCAGCGATTTTCGCCAGCTTCCCCTGATATACGGCGACACCGGTTCGAACCTCACTATGGCAGGTCCGGATTGTAAGCAAGCATCCGACTGGGTGAGCTGTCGAGGACAAAGCTTCAATGAACAGGCGTGATCTGAAAAAGCGTTTAGCTTACTTGTGCGTTGCTCACTCAACTGGTAGCGTAGAAATGGGCATATTACCTAGTGTGAATATTCGCATAGTCAAGCTGGCAGACTGTAAACTTATCGTATACTTACTTCAACTACAAGCACGTACCCTGAGGGCTGGGTTTCAGTAAGGAGGCGCAACAACGTTACTCAAGGTCTTCGGGGTGTAGCGAAACGCTTTTGAGTACAGCTCTACAAGGTCAGGGGGCACTAAACGAAGCATTACGGCAACCAGATATCGGTCTCACAAATAGAACCAGATATTCTTTGGGGGAGTAACCGTCGTACCTGGGATAAATAGCCCAGGACGATCGCTTGAGCCTCGGAAAGCTGCGTATAGCACTGCTAATGCCGGACACATCACTTGTCCGGGAATACCGTAGACGAGGATGAGAAAAGACCACATTGCTGTACCACGATCTCTCGTTATCAAGGCCTCGTCGGCCCTCAGAAGCCGGCATAATGCCTCAAGAAATGTCCTCGAATACCCCAGCTAGCCAGTCCATCGTAACCTGAGCGAGCTGTGATTCCGCCCCCAGCTGGCAATGCTCTCCAGCACCTAGCGCAGTCTGGAACTCATGATAATAACCCTTGTCGCCCAGGATATCCGCCACCTCCTTCTCCTGACCGCCCGCCGTATCGTCATCCTGACCCCTGCCAACGAAGACCGGGCAGGTAATGTTCCCCAGAACTTCCTCGTTCAGGCTGATCTCCCCGAGCCGCGTGAACCAGTCGTAGGGGCTGTCCGTGTTGAACGTCCACAGGCCTTGCTGGATAAACCACTTGAACTGCGTCGGGGCTTGCGGACTGGCCAACACAGCGTTCATGTAGGCGTCGAAGGCTGTCTGGTTGCCGCTCTCGAAGAGCGCTGTCAGGTCTGTCGGGAATTGTGACATCGTTGACTTCTGCAGACTGTACAGTCCATCGATGGCTAGTACTGCGGCGATGCGGTGTTCTTTGGATGCAGCAAGGGGTGCGAGTGTCCCGCCGAACGAGATGCCTCCCAGTGCTATACGTTGGTTGTCTACCTCGTCCCTTGTCTCCAGGTAGTCGACCACCGGCGTGACAACGGTCCACCAGTCGTGGATGAACCCAATGCCTTGGTCACGGCGGACTGTAGGCTGCCCGGGCCCTTCGTACGTTACGACGTTCCAGCCGCGGTCGAGGATTTCGCGGCCCAGCTCGTGATAGGACTCCTCCTGGGGCGCGTCGTATCCGTTCCCGAGCAGGATCGTCGGCACGGGCCCATCAGGGGATTGGGGAGACTTCCAGAATATGACGGGAATGTCGAAGCCGTCGCCCTTGACCACCACTCTCTCGCCTGGAATAGCGGACAGAGACTGCGCGATATCGAAGTCCGATGTTGCGATGTCCCAGATGTCGAAGAGCCTGGGGTCCGTCTGGTTGCCGACCAGGAAAAACACCGACGCTCTGTAGTAAGAGGCAGCCCGCAAGTAGGCCTCACGTGCGGATACGGGAAACCGGGTGACATTGATCGACGTGGCGGTACTGTGCAAGGAGTCGGCCAGGAACTTGAACTCGGTATAGACGCTTTCGAAGTCACCGGGCGTAATCTGGGCGGCGGCTCGCAGCACTTCGCCTGTTGCCGCACCACCGCTGGCGGACATGGCGAGCATCTCCTGGAGGAAGAAGGAGAAGAAGTCATCGGTGCTGAGAGGATATATTGCAGGGCTTGTCCCGTTCGTGCTGTTGGTTTGACCTAGGGCGGCACCACAGTGGGCTCCCAGTAGGAGCAAAGTCTTTGAGAGCTTCATCTTGGGTAGCCCCTTTCGGTGATGAAGTGTAGAAGACGAGAATGAATGTGTTCGTGTGTTCGATCTGCTGCACAGAGGATGCTGGAAACACCTTGGAGGAGATACTCAGCAGCCTTTAAACACAGACCCATCTCCCTTTCGTTCAAGACGACGCGCGGTCCGCCTCGCTATGCAGAACGTAGGGAGCAGCATTTCGGTCCTCTCTCTAGTCACCAAACCATATTGAGACTGCTCATACAGGTACCTAGCTTGTGTGTGATGGTGAACTTCCCAGTCAGAGTCCGGTTGGGGTACTGGGTGAACTCGTTCTCGTTCTCGTTCTCGTTCTCGTTCTCGTTCTCGGTTAGGCCCGTGTCGACTGGGTTCTCCACTATGTATGTAGAGCAACGAATTCGCGGCTTGCAGCGCAAAGAGACGTAAGCTGAATCGACTGCGCCGCTGATGCTTGCGAAGACTGACTCCGCCCGACACTGCGGTAAGGATAGAAGCCTCGCAACAAGAAGGCGGCTTTGCAGCTTTCTGAAGCGCAGCTCTCGTTGCAGAATAACCCTCGCATGAGTGAGACTGATCCTTGGATTGCATATTAAAAAAGGTGAGCTGTCATGGGTAGGCAGTGTTGACAATCCGGAATTATGTAAGCAATGCGCCTCGTAGCATACATGCAGCTAGCGGCTTGGGCAGCTTGGGGATGCGGAGGATGTGGCACTTTCTACCTAGCAACGGTGGTACGGCGACGGTACTCATTAATGTGTCCTGTGTGTATGACTCTGGCGGGAACCGACGCAATACAGAAAGACAGGCAACCCGAGCAGCCCGAGATGGAGTAGACTGGGCGGCGGGCCATTATCGTGGCTGTCAAGGACCCGAACCATCGGATCCTCATGAGAATCACACCACCCCCTGTGGTCTTAGCACATGCCTGATATCAGTCCACCATGGACAACGAGGAATGCTGTCTGAGCTGTCTCTGACTCGCCTCATTGTTACTGCGTCATCATTCATGGACCCGACGGCGGGTCCCGGCTGTCTCGGCGCGGCACCAGCTCCCAAGATTGGAGAAAGGCGTGAAAGGATTTGAGGAGGAACAAGACGTCGCGACTCGCCGGAGGCTGGATACACGCGCTTATGTCTGTGTTCAGTGCAATTTGCGGGCCAGTCATCGATGAACATTGCCCATGATTGGACAAAGCACCAAAAAAGCACCAAAACAAGGAAGCCCGTCCACATAAAGGAAGGTCCGCCATGATCCATCTGCGCCTTGATGCGCCTTGACGGGTCAGAGTCTCGGTGGTCAGTGGTCTCAGTGGTCTCAGTGGTCAGCGCAAAACTTGTGACGAACGAGCGAACGAGTGAACGACACAACAAATCACCCCATCTGCCCGTCGCATCCGTCTTCGGTCAGCTACGCGTGTTTTTGTCTTTCTCCTGCGTCGTACTAGAGGATCCTCGAGAAGATAATAATCTCTGATCCGCCATGGCCCATGTCTACTTTTCATCCGTGCTTTCAACCACAAACACTAGGTAGAATTACTACCAACTAAGTCCATTTGTCACGTGTTTCACGCCAGGATACCTGAGAATGGTGGGGACCCCAAATAACAGCAACAAACGAAGGTCGGGAATCATCCCTGTCCGACTCCAAGGCTTTGTCAACGATATGAAGAGCTTCGCCAAGGGCCATCGCCGTGGAGTGAGGAGTGAGCAGGTCACATTGAAGCGAACCAGAACCCCCGAAACCCCGGGCCTACTCCCCAGCACCTTCAAAGTCCCCAAAACTCAGCCTCAGCCTGCTTCTGACCAAAATCCACTGTTTCGGGATGCGACGCACAAGGCGAATTTGACTGTCCAGCTCACGCTCAGCTTCGGCGACCCCCTCAACTATTCATATAGCCGTGACTACGAAGGATCACCGGCACTTCGTCCGACAGATGAGTTATGTGAAGCTCTACTTCGGCGCATCGACCACTGCTCTGAGGAGCTCATCACCAGAAAGGACTCGAGTGCTCTAGAGCGCACATCAGGTGATGGCACACCAAAACCCAAGAGATTCGAGATTCACGTGCGGATGGTCCGAGAGAAATCCGAAGTCTGGAGCTCCAGAACTTTTGTGTCTTACCAGCGTCAACCGCTTGGCGCAGAAGCTGCGAAGGAGTTCATCTTATCAACACATCACATGGTCGGCCTCTTCCTGCGCCGTCATGACGAAGGTTTCGCGTGGAAGGATGGTCCGGTTCGGGACGACATCTCACAAGAACAGGAGACCTTTCCTTACCGCCCTGGCCGAGTGCAGCCCATGTCGTGCGTCCCTCTGTCATATTTCCTCGAGAAGTCACAAAACTTTGAGACAATACCTGGTTGGAGCATCAGGTTGTCCCTCACAAGCCGAAACAATCGCCGCAGACCTCCGGAATGGCACGATACAGCCGAGATCAACAGCGGCCAGACAACGCCATTGAATTCGGTGGGAGCCGAACGTCTATTCTTTGATGCCTCTTACGCGATGGAGTCAATTTTCCGGACCGAGAGGCAAGCTTTCGAAGGAAACCACCATTCTTGCCTTGGTTCCGATGGATGCCGAGACTGCAGACAGCACGAAGGAGAAGGCATGGAACTGAAACTCACCATATCGAACAATCTCGGGCCTCATTTCGATCATTTGGAACGCACTATGAACTCTGGGTTCAACATGTTTTCACACCCTCAAGCACAGGACTGCGTTGAGTTTCTCACCAAGATGAGGAGCGCCCTGGTGCAGGTTCGAGATAGCGCTGATGAGACACTCTCTCGTGTCAACGACATTGAGTTCAGGATCACAGAGCTTCGCGGCCATGGGTGGGCGCTGAATAGGGATGAGCCGCTTCTGTTTACTCTCGATCCCACAAACTCGTATTCCCGGCGAAGCACTGAAGCATTCTTGGACCGGGTCCAGACGGGTGTTGCGGACATGTTGAAGGGAAATGCGATTGCGGTTCGGATGACGGCGCATAAACGAGGTCACTTCATACTTGACAAGACTCTTGTGGCAAGGGAACCCCTTGACACGCCAGGCAAGAAATCGCCACGGAAGTCCAAAGCGTATGTTCTGGACCGTTTAAGACAACGCATCCAGCGGGACATCGATACGATATGTCGAGATACCTTGTCGATCAATGACCGAAAACCGGAGGCGGCGATGACGAACAAACCAGACGAACCTCTTGGAAATAGCCCAGCTCTTGGAACACCATGCGCCCGGTCCTCGCCTAAAGGATTGGCTGATACTAGTTCGCGGTCGCCGGACCGCCCATTGACGCCGCAGCAATCGCCACCCACAAGATACAGGGCTGAGGAAAGGCAGGCTGAGGAAACGTACTCTTCATCCAGCGCCAGGTCACCTACTATGAAGCGCCGGCGGGCTCCTGTCATCTACGATCCCGTCACAGGGGCCCGATCATTTCCGCTGGGGAGAGACATAAGAGATCAGAGTAGTAGGAGCAGCAGCAGCTGCTGCAGCAGTTCTGGGGACGATAACGACGAAGGCGAACTGCAACGGCGGGTATTCAAGCTGCCGATTCGTGAACACGGGATGGCCATGTCCCCACCACGGACCGTCTCGGTTTCCAGCACTGGTATTGGTACTCAGGACACTCAGCCCAGCGGTCCACCAACTGTCGCTGATGACAAATCCAATCAGGAATCAGACAGGGCCTACGAACCATCGACAGCATCGACAGCACCAAGTCTTGTATTCGGGGGATCCCCTCGTAGCAGCCTTTTGGCCACCCCAAAGGTGTATGGCTCAGTACCGAGCACCGAGTTGGATTCCTATAGACACGCTGCCACTGATAGCGATGCCGAGGATGGCAAGGAAACTGAGACCATCGGTGATGATGGCCAGCGGAAATCATCGAGGACTCTTCCCCTCTCTCCACCGACTTTTCGCCTGGCCTCCCGGAGGCCCGGTTCATCACCGCTACATCAGGATCAGACTGCGCGCGAGCACAGTACTATTGATATCCGAGCTGCCGATACCTCTGGATCAGAAGGCAGCACCTTAGTAAAGGAGGACCCCGAGCAGAATGCCTTCTCCAGAGTTGAGAAAACAGTCGCCGAAGAGCCAATGCAGCTTGCATCTGGGATCGATTTGGAGGAGGAGACGCCGCCTGTTTCTCATTCGGTACCAAGCCTTTCAACATATGAGCCCAGTGCCACTGATCAAGTCACGAACGAACATGAAGCCTTCTACCAACTATCAGATGACGAGATCGCAGGCACCAGCTGTCTCGAGCCATTAGGCTCAATTGTTCCCGAGGTGCGAGATCCAGAACCAGTGGGGTTTTCCCAATCCAAGCTAGACTTCGCGTTCTCGTCGCCGCCGACGGCCACGCCAGCGGGCAGCTTGGCAGCCGATCGTTCTCCCACTTCGGAGTTCTTTGAGCTGGCGAGTCCAGACCCGTCCGAAGACTACGATTTCTCAGATTTGTCACAGTCGCCTCGGACTCGATTTGCGCTAATGGCACAACGGAAGTCGTTCGGGAGCGCCGGCTACCTCGGATTCCACGAACCGAGATTCGGCGAGGTTGGCTTGCGGGCGTTGATTCGGTCTCCTCCTAGGTCCGTCGTCGGCGATAGTGAGTAGGACGAGAAGAGGCCTGGGACAGCCCCTAACCTCCTCTCTTGATTATGAGATAAGACATCGATGCATTCTTCCTTTTGTATATAGCTGCAATGAAGTGTTTTGGAATTGGGTGGTTAGGAAAGGACTGGCCTGAGCATACAATAGGGGCAATGCATCCGGATTTGAGGCGTTCATATCTGATGAAGACGTTATATACCAGCTGATCGCAGCGCAGATTGCACATTCAGACATGAGACAGAAGATAGAAGACAGAAGATGACTTTGTCAGATGAGGGGCATATTGAAAGTGTATATCTACTATAAGACAACCATAATCTACACTGAACCCTCATAAGTCTCCGTACACGACCCTTCCACGGTAAATTCACCAAATCGGAATAAGCACACCGGAATAAGCAGTTAGATCTGTATTAGCCATCCCTGACGCTTATTCCAGGGTGCTTTATTCCAGTATTTCCAACTATCCCACTGGTTTGCTGGGATATTGCCAACATGGGCGTACGGAGACTTATGAGGGCTGAGTGTATCCATTTGCGCTATGTGAACACGACGCATTGCTTTTTTGCAACGGCCCGTGGCTATGAAATTCTGTCTGGTTATTGCCTACGGTAGCTGTGCCATCAGGACCCCTCTGGTGCAGTTTAGACTAGTGTAGTGCTTTCTAATGCAAAGGCAGAAGTTGCGAGAGGAGGACCTCGTGGTTTAGGTACATTTCCCAGGACTCCAATCTGACTGCTATTCCCCAGCATACTTCTCGTTTTCGTCAAGAACGTCTTTGGTGCATGGGTATTTTCAGTGAGCACTTGGAAGCACTACTGAGCCCAATAAAGCTGTGACTTGCTCACCCAGAATGTTCTGTGTGCTGCAAATTGAAAGGGTCTAGGCTTCCAAAGATGATTGAAGTGGAGAATCAGCTGGTGACAGCCTGAACTGCCTGACAGGGGGATCGACGTTGTAATCGACAGCCGCAACTGGCCCGAGCTTCATCAAGCGTCCCGAAGAAACCAACCATCAGCTCCAATGCGCCATCATCCGCCTTGAAGTTGCAACGGTTACCTACCTCAACTTTTGTGCACAACTAAAGTACTACGCCTAAGTTTTGGATCATTGCCCTGCATACCGTCACTTATTCTCCGCACCGGTGCTCTCTCGCTGCTACACGAATGAGGACCTCACCACAGCATGTGAGAGCGACGTCCAACTCTCCCCGGTGGCTACTCGCGTCGAATGAGGTGGAGCTATGAGCGATGATTCCTCCCCTCCTCCCGCGCCTCCGGACCTCCCTCCCTCACCCGACCGTCGACAACACGAGGATGATGATGACGACGCCGCCGGCGACGAACCATCCCAGTCCGCAGCCGCCGCGGCAACACCAGAACAACAGCGGCGGCGGCACCGTGGCGGCCGCGCCAATGGCAGACGACGACGGCAGACCCCCTCGCTCTCTAAGAAGGCCAGGGAGGGACTCACCAAGAAGCTGGAATTCCTGACGCTGATGGCTTTCAACCTGGATGCTCTGGTGTACGCTGAGCTATGTGTATTATACTACATGGAGTACGCCCACCCCGCTTGCTTATGGACCAGGTCTCCGGGACCATGATAGACTATACGACCCGTACTGACCGAAGCCTTGTTGTGTAGTTGCTCGTTCGTACGGCTGATGGTGCGCTGGCTTGCGCAGTCGCTCTTCATAAGCCCAAAGACCGAAGACAGCATCCTGATAGTACCGAACTACCACGTCTCTGCGATCGTCGGCCCGAACCTCCTGTGCCTCCTGCTGCACCTCTTCAGCCCGGTGCTACAGGCCGGCGAAGCGACACGCGGCTATCTCCACGGCGGAATCCTCATCGACTTCGTGGGACAGAAGCCGCCCTCGTCGCGGCTCGTGCTGCTCCTGCTGGACATGGTCGTGCTGGGCCTGCAGTGTTTTATGATGACAGTGAACGTGGAGAAAGAGAAGATCCGCAAGGTCGTGAGGCCGCCTCGACGGAGCGCGGGGGCTGGGATCACGCTCAACGACGTGCCTGCTACCAACCAAGACCATGATGCCGAAGAACGTGGGATTCTGAGAGACGCACCCATGATGGACGAGACCAACGATATTGAGATGCAACCGATGGGGAATAATGAAGGCGATGTCAACGATAATCGACGCGACGGGGGAGAAGCCACAGGGCTATTGAGACCCGCTGCTGCCCAAAGAGGCAGCGAGTTTGAGGCTCTGGCGGATTCCCTGATTTCAGGAAATGCCGTTCTGGCAAATTTCGATATCCGACAAGCACTACAAACGGCCTGGCAGAACAGGGAGAATACCCCCGAAGGCGCAGCAGCCTACGCGATACAGAACGTCGGGTATAACGCTACCCTCGCGGCTCTAGCGGCTCAGAGAAGAGCCAGGTTAGCTTCAGCGCAGCGGAGGGGTTCATGATACATAGTCATGAGGCTTCATTGTACAAATTTCAAAGGATATTATAACAGTTACGCGACTTTCCTGCCGACGTTGCCCACACCAGTTCCCTTCACCGAGACTACGATGTCGTCCGTGTCGTCCTCGTCAACGTCTCTCAAGCCCCAGCTGCTGGCGCCAAATTTCCGAGAATCTCGTGCCAGATTTATGACCTCCTCCCTGCCTATTATGTCTCTGCCGAGTCTCACACGTCCCACGTCCTCGGATCCCATGGCCATTAGCGTCAGGATCGTGCCTGTCGCCGCTCCGCTGACGCATCCTCCTAAGCTGAGTGACTCCAGAAGTTGGTATGCGCACCTCTTGCCGATATCCTCGGGCACCACACCTCCTTTGGGTGGCGCCACCACGTCCGCCGAATATAGTACACCCGCAGCACTTGACTCTGCGACTAGACTCAAGCCAAAGCCAATACCCATCCTCCGCTTGCCTCCAGCCTTTTCTGTATTGTCGGCGATTAAAGGTGCTTGGTCGTACTGCGCGGCGACGTGAATGTCCGAGACGAAGGGGTTGAGCACCTCGCGGGCTGCATGTATCATGCGCGCATTATTCGACGCCGACACGCCCGTCGCGTACGCCACGCCGCGTATGCGTTTTATCTTGCCGGGGCTCCTGTTGAGGTGCAGCGTCTTGGGTAGGCGGACCTGGCTGGCGAACCGGAGCTCGACCTCGCCGGCGCCGCCGGCGCCCTTGAGCCCCGCGCACGACCGCTGCAGCACCTTGAGCTCGATGCGCGCGGCGGGGATGCCGAACAGATCGTACAGCGGCAGGACGGCGGTGCGGAACGAGTCGACCGACAGGTCGCCTGTCTCGGTCGCCGAGGTGATGACGCCCGGCCCCGTGAACCGCACGTTCATGTGCGACTTGGAGAAGGGCGCGAGCAGGCAGAGCGGCAGGAGGAAGTAGGTGACGCCGCGCGCGCACGTGGCGGGGAGGCTGTGCTCGACGATGTCGCCCTCGTCGCCGACGGCGCCGTAGCCCGGGACGGCGCCCGTGATCAGGCCAGGGACGAAGGTTATGGTCGTGCCCGTGTAGGAGATCTGCATGGAGCTGCCGTTGGTGACGGCCTCGAGCAGCCGCAGGAACGACACCTCGTGCGGGGCCAGGCCCGGGTTGGTGGGGGAGTTGGACCGGATCTTGGAGATGTGCACGGGGCGCCCGGTCAGCGTCGAGAGCACCAGGCGCTGCGTGAAGGACTTGTGGCCGGTGAACTTGAGGAACTCGGGTCGCGGGGCCGACATCGTTGCGACTGGGTTGTTGTTGAAACTTGTATTGGTGTGCTTCGCACGGCTGGCTGGCTGTCTGTCGCAAATGTCTAATGGAAGAAATTCTGCCGCTACTGGTTACGAAAATTAAGGCGGTGAATCTAGCACGGTCGGAGGTATGGGGTGTGGGACCTCCGATGGCCAAATTTAGATTCAATCTGGATTGACCCATTGTGCTGTGGCGGGCAGCTCCCAGCTGTGGCTTACATCGCTGCAGCGTTTAGTGGGTGCTGCACCCTGTACCTCTTTTGAAAAGTGTCAAGATCTGGCATCGGGTGGTTCCAAAACGGGAACACATCGTCAGTCCTTCGCTCTTTGCCATTCTGCACATCTCACTCTCCTTCCCATCTCCCACACAACCACCACTCAACCGGCAAGATGTTCGACAACTTATTCGACATAGACTGGAAGAGCCTCGCGCTCCCGTTCGCATACATCACCGTTCTCGGGGTCTCGCTATACACGTTCTCGACCATTTACAGAAAGCGGAAAGCGTGTACGTATCCCTGGCGATGTCCAGCGGGTGGCAAGTGGAATAGCTGACACAGTTCACAGCGCAAAGCGCCAACCTGGAACCATGGTTCCCGCCACACCTCCAGCGCAACATCTACCTGTCGCTCCTGCACATGGAACCCGAAGCGGGCCAAGAGAAGGCGCCCAAGATCCCCGATAGCGTCGTCCGAGCCGCGCTGCTGCGGAGAGCCGTCGAGGACATCCGCCGCATCATCCAGATCCGAACGTCGAAGCAGGCACTCAACACGCTGCTGCTGCGGGGCAGCGTCGGCGACGACCTGAACCAGCGGTTCCAGCGCGCCGAGAAGGAGATCGAGGAGGAGTTGCGCGATGTGGTATCCGAGGTGAGTTTCTTTGACAAGAGGCTACAGACCGGATGGGGGATCGGCTGCTGATGCGAAGTCTAGGCAAACGCCCTGGCACCCGGCTGGGGAAACTCCATCTTCCAATCGGCGAACGAGATCGCGGCCAACCAGGCTCTGCGCACGAAGCTGGATGCCATCGAGGGGCGCTCCGAGTCCGAGAAGCAGTGGTGGGAGAAGCGGCGGGAGACGATCAAGAAGGACTTTATGAAGGAACTCGACGGCGAGTCGGTCAAGGGGTCTGTCAAGGGCAGCGATGACGACGGTGTGCTGGTCGACTCGGGTACGCCCGCGGCCACGCCCGGCAGTGCTAAGAAGAAGAAGACGGGCAAGAAATAGTGGTTTCTCTTTGCGAAGCAAGACTGGCGAGGCTGTACCAAAATGGCTGGCATTTATAGGGGCATGGTTCTATGCGTCCGGCGTTCAGGCATGGAGTCATGGCGATGGTGCACTAGACGCTATCAGGTGTATTTCCTGGATGACTCTTGGGCAGTTGTCCGTAATGGTACGTACTAAACCCGAACGTGTACTTCCTGGAGCCTACAACCCCGAATGTGTCGCGGCAAGTGAGAGCAGTCTCACAGTTCATACGTGCAAGTGTGTATCGAGAAAACGCCCAACCACCGTAAAACGCCAGGTTTGGTACTTGACCAGCACCTGATGTATGCCCGATTCTGGCAGACCTCAGAGCTGGGGTGATTATTACGTAGGTAGAGCAGACGGCGTGGATGTCGGTCTTCGCCCATATCGGATACTTGTTGGTGCCATCTCAGAGGCTCGTGTGATAACGCATGATATCTTCAAGACACATGTATATCAAAATTCAGCGAGAGGTTCCAAGTACGTATGTACTAAGGTCACCGAGTTGAAGCCTGCACATTGGATCCAACTTGAACTGGAGGGTATCGTTGTACCCCCCATCGAGTTACTGGACTTCGGCTGCTAATCGATAAGCCACGACTATACAGTAGTAACGTATCCACCCAGCCGCTACCAACTTGAGAAGTGAGGCTCTCCCAGGCGCCAGAAGTTGAAATAATAATTGCCATATTCACCTGGACTGAGCAGTCATTCGGAGGCATTTGATGGAATAATCGCGAACTCGCTACTTACGCCACTGCACGATTGTCGTCAACGGCCGACCTCAATCAGTACTGCGATCCTTCTCCCAGTCACCATCGATCAGTACACACCACAGCAACCATGGCGGAAGAACCAGCGCCAGGTCTCTCCTTCCCAACCGACCCCCGAGACTTCCATACAGACGAGCGCATCTCCTTCTCGAAGCTCGATAACAAACACATCGGCGTTCTGGACGACGGCACAGAGTTCGAGTGGGACGCCCAGCTGAAGCGATGGATCCCGACGCTCGACGAGGAGCTGCTCGCACAGCAACAGTCTGCTTACGCCGGCGGCGCAACCTCAGACGACAGCAGCAGCAATAACCAGACGAATAAACGGAAGAACGGCGCATCCTCCGACCGGCCAAGCAAGAAGCAGAAGGCGCCGCCGCAGCCACGCCAGAACACGGCGATATACGTGACGGGGCTGCCGCTGGACGTCACGGTGGACGAGGTGGCAGAGGCGTTCTCGCGCAAGTGCGGCGTCATCGCCGAGGAGATCGATAGCGGACGGCCACGGATCAAGCTGTACAACGACGAGCAGGGCAGCTTCAAGGGCGATGCCCTAGTAGTGTTCTTCAAGCCGCAGAGCGTCGATATGGCCATCATGCTGCTAGACGACACGGATTTCCGCTACACGGCCTCCGGTCTCGCAAGCGGACGCATGCGCGTCCAGGCTGCCGACTCGAGCTACAAAAAGACGACCTACGAGAAGGAGAACGGCGACAAGGCAGGAGGAGGCGGAGACGAGCGAAACAAGCCCTCCAACGGCGAGAACACGGCGATCACAGGCGGCGGCGGTGCGGGCGCCCCCAAGCCGGACCGCGCGCGCGCGCAGGACAAGCAGAAGATCATCAAGCGCACGCAGAAGCTGGACGCCAAGCTCGCGGACTGGGACGACGACGACCCGTACGGGGGCCAGCTGGAGACGGCGGCGAAGCGCGACCGCATGGTGATCCTGCGGCACATGTTCACGCTGCAGGAGCTCAACGAGGACCCGGCGGCCATGCTCGACATCAAGGACGACATCCGCGAGGAGTGCGAGAAGCTCGGGCCCGTGACCAACGTCGTGCTGTACGACCTCGAGGAGGACGGCGTCGCGAGCGTCAAGTTCAAGACCCCCGAGGCGGCCGAGGCGTGCATAGCGATGATGGACGGGCGGGCGTTTGACGGTCGGACTGTCAGGGCTGCGATGGCGGTGGGCAAGCAGCGGTTCCGGCGCTCGGATAAGAGTCAGGATGACGCGGAGTTGGATGAGGGCGAGGATTGAGGAATGGTCTAATTACCTGGTTGGCACGACGAATTTGTGGAGAATTTCGCGGAATAGGCACCGAATTACTGCTCATTCCATCGAAGTATCCTCACCTTGTGATGGCATGGACTTGTACTATTCTGCGAGGTCGAGTCTGGCCAATGTCTGGTCTGGTGTGCGATGCATTCATTTTACAGCAAAGAGCTTGATGAGCACTTGCTCCAAGACCAGAGCTGGGAATGATTGGTCACGGCTTCTACGACAAACGGGGAATCATTCAGATGATAAATAGTGCGGCTCGAGACAAATGTAATATCCATGGAATCATGAATGCAGATGTTCATTCACACCCGAAGGTCGATGCTGACCGGGACGCAGTGCGTGAGGTATGGCAATAATAAGCAAGATAACAGGGATTGCGATGACCGAGTTTTCGAATGATCAGACCTGGGCATGCTGGTCTCGGTCGCTGAGGTTACTGAGCTGGCATTCGTTGTTCTACGGCTGTGATAACATTCCTGCTCTTCATAGTGGGAGCTGGGAATAACGACTACAAGCGACTTGCTTGCCACCACAGAACTCACATTCCTCTTCTATCTTCCCATTCTCGAGTCTTATCTGGGAGCCAGTTTGTCAATTTGTCCTCTACGAGTTGTTCGAAATTATCCATCGGGTTTGACCCCTTGTACACACACATCGTATAAACGAGGTATCTAAATGAGCCATAACGAGGTATCTGATTGAGCCATCGCACGTTGGGAGAAAAGAGCTTGCTGTCAACAACCCAAGCCAGCAAGCTTACCCAACTCTTCAATGCCACGCCCATAGATCGAAACGCGCCATTCAACCATTTGGTATTTGCTCGACTCAAGATCCGAAATGACTTCCTTCCTAACGCCAATCGGCTGGCCACCATCAAAGACCCCCTTTCTCAAGATCTCAGTATATAGGTGCTCCATTGCTCAAGATCTCAGTATATAGGTGCTCCATTGCTCAAGAACTACAATTCCTCTATCGGTCGCTTAGCACTACCTGGACGGGGACTGCTATTGCCATTTAAAGCTTGATCTTGACTGAAACCCAAATCCAAGGGAATGCGCGGCCTAGAAAACTTAAGGAAGGCGCGACTGACCCGCTGTAGTATAGCTTGATAATTCGCTTCTTCCCCATCAATCACAACCAATTAGGGTCGCTTAGCTCAGTTGGTTAGAGCGTGGTGCTAATAATCTTGAATTAGTTAACGCCAAGGCCGCGAGTTCGACCCTCGTAGTGACCAATCACCACACATTTTTCCTATTCTGGAAATGGAAGGGAGCCTAAAGTTTTGATGGCGATTCTGGTGGGTGGGTGGCTGCTATGTTAGCTTTCGTCATAGACAGTCTTAGAATCAGCTCGAGGCAAGAAATGTTGAATCCCTTTTTGTCAACTGGACGACACACTGCTGTCAGGAGGTAGGGGTCCGAGTGTCCGGTCCCAACCGGGGGAGCCTGGGCTGAAGCGGTGCTGGCGTAACTGAGAAACCGCCGGAAGTTCGTTGGTTCGTTCGGAGGACGCGGCATATGACCTTTATCGCCACCCTTGAAAATATGGCGGCGGTACATCTCGTACACGCGACGGCCCTGCAAAAGATGCTGGCTTCAAGAAAAGCTACATCAGTCTCCAACTCCAGACGAGCGTGTCAGGTCACAGGTGATTAACCGTATGGTGTCCAGTATCTCTAGCCACTCCAGCAGTTGCAATATCAAGGTAGTCTTCAGAGTCGTCTGATCAAAGAGAGGAATCCTGCTGTAGTCGAAAGAACAGGAATAATAAGTCACAAGGCAGGAAGAAGCCCACCTGAACCGCAGTTCGAGCCCAGAAATTGTCTTGACGTCAGTGCTTTCAGAGCACCAAGAATGTATGTCCCGTTCATTCATCAGAATCTAATCCTTGCTGTGTACATTCCAATACCAGTGTATACCCAACACGCAACGCTTGCTCTGCAATGGTCCATAACACCCATGTCTCGAAACACTAAATCCCCGCGCCAAAGAGTTTGTGCGCAATCCTAACGAAGCTGTCCAGCCAACGCCTCGAGCGCCAGATCCCATATATATAATAGACCATGCCCAGGTCAGGTCAGGTCCAAGTCCTTGCATCAATATATCTACTCTACCCTCCCTTTCCAGCCAAGACAATCTAGGCCCCTGGATCAGATTCGGGGATCTCTACCACCTCCGGAGCTTGCTCCACCGGTAATTCAACATCCTTTACGGGGTGGAGCAGCATAGGGGGTAGGCACATGCGGCCCTCGCCGCCACGCATTTGGTTGACGCTTGTGCCGTTTTTGCTCTCGTCCTCGACCAGCTCGAACTCCTCGCCACCGTCGTTGTTTACCTTGAGTCCGAGCCATCTTCGGTACATGTTTGGAGCAAAGCCAGAGTTGTAGAACCAAGACAGACCGACGAGATTATGCTCACGCTGCCCAAAGACTGAGGTTCGAGAGCCACCACTGGCGCCATTCTTGCCATTGTTGAGGGTTTGCGCGAAGACCTCAGTCGGCCATTCGCGATCGACATAGATCGGGTGTGGTACGAATACAGCTTTGTAACCGTGTTGCAGCGCGACAGTGGCAGGCCACATTTCGGGGAAAGCGTGGTGCTTCTTGAAAGCTGTCTCGCTGTGCATGGTCATGAGGAGACGGCGCGACATACGTGAGGCCGTGATGATCTGTGCCCGCCGTGGGGGATGACCGTTTCCATCGGACGTGTTGTAGCCGGTGATATCATCAGATAGGCCCCAGGTAGTGCCCTCAGGATCAAACATTGGGTTGAACGTGATGTAGTCGGCCTGTTCACCGGCTCCCCACACATACTTGTCCTTTTCGTAAGTCGTCTCAGGCATGGGGTCATTGTCCGGCTCGAACCAGTCGTTGGGATCCTTGGGTCGTTCAGGACCCCAAATAACCTTGTCACCGCGACCAGACACAGGCTTCCTGCCGTTGGCAGCGACACCCTCCCAGACATTATCGGCTCCCTTGGTACCCATCTCAGCCTGCACTCGTGCCATCTGCTTGAAATCATCCCATTCACCATGTACTGAGGGTAGGTAAAATCGAGCATTGCGTTCCCAGAGTCCTTTCCTAGGTTGCTCCTTGGTCCAGTTCTCGATCTTGGAGAAGAAGTCGTAGTAGTGGCTCGTGTAGCGGATATCCATTTCCCACTGCCAGTAATAATCGTACTCGGGATGTTGATAGGCGAAGTATTGCATCGCCATCTGCAGTCCACGATACACGCCGTGGACAGGTAGGTCTGGTCCACGCGCAAAGAGGTCGAAAATGCCCTGATAGAGCGCTAACATCTGCGTCTCCGTCCACAGAGTGACTAGGCCCCGGAATTCGGCTGGGATTGACTCTTCGATCCGTCGTTGGTAGGTATCAGCATCCGCCCAAATGGGGTGTGCCGCATCGTTCTTGACTTGGACGAGAAGATGAATATCATAGCGACCACCAGTAGCAAGTGCTAATTCGGAGATGAGAGAACGAAGGTTCATGACGTCCTCCTCTCTCCAGGTGTACTCGTCCCAACAGCGTATGACGACAGCAGTTCTAGACTTGGGTTTCCCAGTAATCTTTGCCCCTGCGGCTGGTCCTACATTCTTCTCTTTGACGGTCTCTACCGCGGCAGAAGACTGAAGTGGTTCATTCTTCTCTGTGACGGTCTCTTCCGCGGCCGAAGACTCGAGTGTTTCGTCAAGCATCGTATCGCGCGCGTTCAGGTTCATACTGGCAGTCGCATCGTCGATGAAGAATCCGTGTGGCGTTGGTTGCCTGGGGGGTAGGGCCTTGTATCGTGCAGCGTTTGCCTGGTAGCATCGTCTCTGTATCTCGGCCCAATTGAGGTTCTTCCATTCAACTTGAGGCACCTTACCCCATGTCGACTCGGATCCTTCCTTCTCGCCATGCTCTCCAGTACCTAGGCCGCCTGCCCTCACGGAATATCCGAAGCCATATGGTCCGTATCTGCCGTAGCGTTCGAAGCAGATATCTTCAGGAAGCCCAAGAAGCCCATAGGAGCCCAGTATAGCCTCGGGAAAGCCATTCGGGCGACCGTCGTAGTAGCGAATAGGAGGTACTCGTACTTTGTTTTCCTTGTCAATGAAGCATTCGTTGAACTCTTCTGGGGCGGCCTTGAAGACACTCTGAGGGTATCCAATGAACTCCTTGCTGGCAGGCAAGCCGCGTTTCAGTACTTCGGACTCCTGGCTGTTTGTGACAAATGCCAGCTTGTCCAAAGGAAGCTCGTCCTCTGCGCGTGGGTACTCAGGGATGTTCTGAGAGAAAGGCACCAAATTCCGGATGCCGCCATAATACCTCGTGAGAAAGCTGTAAGATTCCCATATTTGAGGACCAGAGGGTGGTCTCTCTATCTTCCCTTCGGCAATGGCCCTATTCTCGTTGTGGCTTGCTCGAATCAGAGTGAATATCAACAGAAGCATGAAGGATATCAGGCCGAAGCAGAGATATCTCACGATCTTGTTGGGCAGGCGATAGAATAAGGGTCGCCCTGGTTTGTGAGGCATAGCGAAGTTCTTCTGCTTCGACATGCTGGGTCTGCCGAGGGCGGCAGAGGAGGTTGATGTGTTGCGGGAGTTGGTTGTGCTCGGGGAGGATATGGTAGAGTATTCGTCATAGTCGGAGTCGTCGTAAGAGTCGTTCGAGTCGCGCTCCTTGCTTGGAGAGGTGAGCTTCTCGTAGAGTGGTAACTTGGAGTTCCGGCCCTCGCGCGAGCGCAACGCGTTCCAGGAGAGTGCCCCCATTGCTCAGGGGACCGCAGAATGCTATTTGCGGCAAGGTTTAGTTCATGTGATCGATGCCGTACCGGGAGAAAATGGCATACCGGTTGCTTTGCTTTGAAGATTGTCCACCGACGTCACCGTAGTACTAGCTAGTGCGCAGAAGCCAGTGGTCTAGGGATCATTGAGCAAATGGATTGCAGCAATTCAACAAGATTCGAGCGGCGGCTATTGGTTAAGGTACAGCGTCGTAGACGGTGGTCCCGAGAGAATGCGGAAGGGACGTAACGGCGACAATGTGATCTGCTGTGTGTGATCCAAGTGTATCGCGGACAATAGTGTCAAACGACAGAGTGAACGAACTTGGAAGTGCAGAAGTCGAGCTGGTGGTTGCTTGGCCATAGTCCAGACCCAGGGGGGAAAAGTGGTTGTAATGATCTCTCGGCTCGAAATGGCAATCGCTACTGCGGATCCTCTAGCAATCTGGAGTCGCCCCGTTGCTTCGAGTCTGCGGGTCCTGTGGGGCAGTACCCGACCAATGACCCGCCCCATTGCGCTGGATTCCGTGTCAAACGCCCCTATCGAGGCGCCTGTGCCCCTGTCATCTGTGCTGACTGGATCGGGGGCGGATACCACCCTGGCAGCCTGGATACCAGGGGGCAACGGGCAATCGCACTCGACATATTATCAACAACAGCGCCGTCTCCGCAGCCACTCACGATGGCGAATTGGCCCGTCCTCCCATTGCCAGGAGCAACCGTGAGATCCCACAGAGTTTGTGATGCATCAGCCAGCCAGCCAGCCAGCCAGCCATCAGCAGTGCATGTCAGCTTGCACAGGCACACAGGGTCTCGCTCCCGTCGTCGAAGGCTTTTGTCGCACAATCCTCGCTGCAGTACCACCTACGGGCATGACCCTACCTTTTCTAGGTTCTCCTATCTTCAATGTTTGTCTGACCCGTCTCGAACCCGCGATGGCTTCGTGAGTGTAATGTCGTTCACGCTGCGAAGAACCGAACAAACAAAACCCGCACGATGATCTGAATGCCGCCGCGGATGCATCCGAGGCCAGTGCCACAACGACGATTGCGTAAAGCAGCAGCAATGACGTTTTCCGTGTCTCTTTTGATGGTTGAAGATTTCAGACAACAATGGGTTTGCACGTCTGCACCAATCACCGGCTGACTGCAGCGGTGTGCTGGTTCCTCCTACGCCTCCTACGCCAGGCGGCCTGCCTATTGGTGTTGGATCGGAGTATAAACTCCTTTTTGCCCCACACTCCAATACTGAACCTGAGTTCTTCGGTTCTTCGCGCGCATGACGCTAGTCGAAGCAACCAACATGCGGTATACCGACAACGGAGCACTACCATATATGGACGATCTATAGTCCTGAGAGGATGGTGATTGGTCTGGCTGGTTTCGCTGCCATCGTCGATCGACGCACCATCTGACATCGTATTACGGGCACCTTGTGCCTTTCCTGGGCACAATCATGAGGCGGTCAGAACGATGAATAGTCAACGGCGGACGCTTCACTCTGGCAGTCGGGTTTACCTACATATACCCCTGAAGCCGGCGTGCACCTCCGGCCGTCAAGTTGGGGCTGTTAGCTGGAGGTGTTTGTACGCCAGGTACAGATGGAGGCATTGGGTGTATGTCACAGGCACAGCCAACCGAATTGCCGGAGTCGGGATGCTGATCGTTCAATGTTTGATTCAACCGCCTGCCGGTGCTTGCCACGTGCAGCCTCAAGTCCTCCACTTGCCTACCCGCATGAGTAAGTACGTGTTGGGCGAAGTATGATTCGGCATCACTCTGACGTCGGACGCCGATGCGTCAGTTTGTACCTATCGATGCAAGCGCCCTACTGAGGGCTATCACTGAACCCATGGAAACACCACGCATTTCTGCTACCTGGGTCTACATGTAGGTCTACGTCTGCGGCTACGCCCAACTGTCCCAAGATATGTCACTGGTTATTACCTGACCTTCGCACGGACCAGTCTGGGCAAGAGTAGGACAACCTCCTTTCCTAGACTATAAAGGGCCTCTCACGAACGCACCTTCTTATGCAAGGCACGAACCTAGTCCCTCAGGTCCAAAACTCGGTTCTTTTCCAACGACGCAACCAAACCCCCTCGCGTCGGGTCTCTCGTTCTGCAACCACTTTACCGGCACATGGCATTTTGGCTGACCTCTCTATGAAGAGTAAAACATGGCCACCCTCTTCACGCAGGCTGACGTGTCTACTCCATCAGTAGGCGTCGAGCATCAGGCGAGCATCGATGGCGATCCCATGTCGATGAGTGTGACCATCAGACAGGACCCTCTATCTGTCACACTAGACGGCCCTGCCATATTCGGCCTTTCTCTCTCCCTAATACTGGTTATACACCTCCTGCAACCTAGGGTTGCCGTCTTACTCATCTCCTTGGCCACCGCGGCCTTGTTCATCCACAACGACTTCCGCAACTACCTCAAACTCGGTCCGGGAGGCACCCCGCCAACCTTTACCGGTTACCTCAAAATCAACTGGCTCAAGCTCTGGGCGCTACGGAATCCCTTCGATCCTCTTCCAGCCGACCCAGATGTTCAACCATCAGCCGGCGTCCTTCACAGGAAGCCCCTCCCCTACCGCTGCGGCGCACGCCCAACAGTCGTCGGCATAGCACCGCAACGCCAGGTCGACCAGCTCGGGTCCCCGGAATGTTACCTGGCCCTCCGCCGCATTCTCGAGAAGCACGGCGAGACGAACCACGACGAGATCGGCCTGGGCACTTCCTGCTTCGAGAAGCACGGTCTGGGTATATTCGCCCGCTATCCTTTCAACAACACGTGCCAGGGCGAGATCTGCCACGTCCACGGCTCGGACCACTCCATGCGTATGTACATTTTCGAGTCTCTTACTTCCCCATATGGCCATGTCCAGGGCGCGAATTTCCTCTTCTAGCCCGTGTCATGCTCCCGAGACACGCATTACGACTCCATTTTACTCCACAAAACATCTAAAAGAAGTAATTGCTGACTCTAATTTGCTTGACGACCTGAGCCTACACCCGGACGACGTGAAGGAAGTGCTCGAGAAGGGCTGGGGACAGCGGTACGTATAAAAACATCCCGTCCCAAGACCCTGAGCCTTGTATTCGGGATCAAGCTTTGTTGTTCCCTTTCCTTCTTCACCTAGAAAATGGCCGTACGGGTTCAAAGACAGGATGTTAACGTACACACAGTCACCCCCTGACGAGCCAGGGCCTGCTGAAAATGCCCGTACCGAAGCAGTTCACCATGGTCTACGCACCGCGGACGATGGATGAGCTCAGGGTCGTCTGTCAGATCATCGAGGCGGCTGGGTACTGGGTGATCGGAAAGGAGATGCGGCTGGATCTGGAGGGCGAGCTATAGAAAGATGAGGGATATAAACAAGAGGGACGCTGTGGAGCGGACAACAAGCCTTACATCACAAGCTAAGAATTGCCAGCTTGAGAACTCACAGCCTGGCCGATGGCCTCTTCCACATGGACAGTGGTGTTCAACCAGCCGGAAGCGAGCGATTCTGTTGCCAGGCATCATCTCCGCGTGGCGATCGGTCAAGAAAACACTTTCTAGAAAGCAGGTTACCTAATAATAAGCATACGGTAGCCATCCCAACAAAGACTGGTCTTGGCAGAATTCATGTGATACTTCACCGATGAAAGACTTCCCATGTGTAATGAGAGGGTTTCAAGCCCGCAGTCACTCGCTTCGGTCAGGCAAATATATCAAGAAGATCTACGCCTTTTCGAGCCTCAAACTTGCGTAAATGCTGCAGCAGTGTGGCTTGATGTTGAATATGTCACAAGACTCGACGTCGGCTCCCAATGCAAAGCCTTGGATAGTAAGGTATATACAGAGTCCATCATGCCTCACCAACACAAGCAAGCGACTAAGCAAGCTCAGATACCTGTATCCTTTCTCTTCTCCTGTCTAGGCCGGTGCGGTGCCCTTCCAGTACTTGGTAGCCACAAACGGCATCTTAGTGACGACGGCCTTGCGCTTGCGGCCCCGCACCACAACCTCGACCTCGGTGCCCGCCTTGTGCGACCCATCCTTGACGTAGCCCATGGCGATGTTCTTGCCCAGCGTCGGGCTGGGACACCCGCTGGTGACGACGCCGATCTTGCCGCCGTCAGCGCCATCAACGATCTCGGCCCCCTCGCGCGCGGGCGCGCCCTCGATGACGAAGCCGACGCGCCGCCGCTCGACGCCCTGACCGCCCTTGCTCTTGGACTTCAGCTGCGCGAGGATGGCGTCGGCGCCGTGGAACTTGTCGGCCGCGGCCGGGTCGCGGCGGTCCTTGCCGATGATCCAGCTCAGCGCGCCCTCGACGGGCGTCGTGGTGTCGTCCAGGTCGTGGCCGTACAGACACATGCCAGCCTCGAGCCTCAGACTGTCCCTGGCGCCCAGACCGGCGAGCTGCAGTCGCTCCGGGCCCGCGGTCTGCAGCAGCGCCTCGGTGATTGCCACGGTGTCTTCGGGCGCGATCGAGATCTCGAACCCGTCCTCGCCCGTGTAACCGCCGCGGGAGACGAGCACGGGGCGCGAGAGCTCGCTGCCGCGCAGCTTGAGCTTCACGAAGCGGCTCTGCCCGAAATACAGCTCGCGCAGCTTCGCCTCCTCCGGCACGAGCAGCAGCTCCGCGAGGATGTCCTCAGCGAGCGGGCCCTGCAGCGCCACGAGGCCCCAGCCATCGAGGACCTCGTGTCGGACCTCCTTCTCCTTGCCCTCCGCTGCCTCGTTGCGCCACGCCTCCAGCTGCTCCGCCAGGTACTTGAGGTCCTTGTCGCGACAGGCGGCGTTGGTGACGACGTAGAACAGCTCAGGTCCCAGGCGCGTGATCACCGTATCGTCGACGATGCCGCCCGAGCCGGGCCACAGCAGCGTGCTGAGCGTGCTCTGGTGCGCAGGCAGCGCTGCGATGCTGCCTGGCGTCACGCGCTGCAGGAATGCGGCTGCGCCGGGGCCCTCGAACCGGTGCTGCACCATGTGGCCGACGTCGAAGAGCGAGGCCTTCTCGCGCGTGAAGTGGTGCGAGGCGCTTACGCCGAGCCCGGAGTATTGCACCGGCATCTCGAAGCCGCCGAAGGGCACCATCTTGGCGCCGTGCGCGAGGTGCAGGTCGTAGAGGGCCGTCTTGCTGAGGGGGCCTGTCGAGAGGCTGTCGGGGGCCGATGCATAGTGTCTGCTTTGGGTGGTTCGTAGAGGAGTGGCGTAGGACGGGAAGGTTCGGAGGGCGTTGTTTACCCTGTGGGAGGGAAGGAGGAGGCTTTGTCGTTGGGACTGCGAGCTCGTTGGTGCTGGAATGCTGGTCGTGAGCGAAGCTGACGATGATGCTGCCCGCGCGAGCAACTGAGTCTGTTGTTTCGACCTGGAAAGGGCAGATGCTTCCTTCCTGGCCCTGCTAAGGGCTTTAGAGGACTTCATCTTCGATCAACTGCAGGTGGTCGAGAGTCAATTAAAAACACCCTCCAAGCCGGATCCCAAAGCTATGAAGCTCCCGGGGGGAGGGGAGGAGCTCTGTATTCAAGAAAGGCGGTACGGTACCCCGTCAATTATGGCACTGCACCCCTCGCACACACAGAAGGAAATCTCAATTGAGTTGGAAATTGCTGCAGCGGACTGATCCTCGGAACTGTTCATTACTTACAAACGCGAAGTTCAACTGTCCAGCCCTTCATTAGAATTTGGGGATATATTCGCAACTCGATCGTGCAGGTACTACGTGGGAGGTCACCTTCGGCCAGGACGCCGATCGCGGCAAGAGCGGGGCAGTTATGTAATAAGTCGGTGTGGTCACTTTGGGACCGTTGGTGTTGGCATGAAGACTGACCCCCCGAGATAAGAGGTTATCACCAGAAAGTACGTCCAAGTCGACCTATGTGCAGGTAGGGTATCTAGGTACCTATAGGTATATATAAACCCTCAGATGACCCGACATCTACTTCAGAGTGCTTTCACTACGTTCAAGCCGGTCATCAATGTCATTCTCGACGATCCTCACGAGCTTGGGATCATGGTCGCGTACATGAGGTTCGACTTGCCCCTATTATATGAGAATGGCCCAGACGAAGCATGGTCCTCTAGAACTCGTCCCAGCACCATCAGCATAGGGCTCGCAAACATAGCAGAAATCGTATAACTGACAGGACCTCCAGCTCATCTGAATCGCAATAACATGGTCAAAAAGCTCAACACCGGAACATAGCACACACACACGCTGGCATGCCAAGCGGTTTGTGGGCGGAAAGTCGAAGCGGAATAAGCAGCAGTTTAGTGGTTATCATCCAGTTGTCCCCGGAATACCTACTCAGTCGAGGTAGGTACGCAATTTATCATGTTAACAGCTTGCGAGTGTTCCCGTCGGGACCCGTGCGTAGTGGCATTATAATAGCCACATGAATAGGGAAGAACAAATCTTATTAGGAGTGAGTACGATGGGAAATGCCTTGAGAGTGAGGTCAGGTCAACGATTGCCCTCCCACGCCCGAACAGACCCGATGCGAGGAAACCTCTCGCACCATATGCCTTGAACACAACGCAAGAAGATCTCTTTTGCATTCCGTAATGTCAATTCGTACAAGTTCCTCCCAGTACGCCCACACCCCTTTTCTTTCCGAAATCAGCTTTCTGTGTCAGACCAGAATAGTAGGTGTCGCCCCGAAAAGGGGAGTCACTTTGTAGGCCCACCAGAAGAGAGGATAGGATACCGAGATGACGCGTAATTTATGGACTATATCGATTGCTCCGGGAAATGACTTGCGAGTTACAACCAGCCCATCACGAATGGGGGGGAGGAGACACTCGGCGCGATTCGGGGCTGTTGCTTTGTCTATTCCTCTACTGGTGACCCGCCTTGCGGAGAGTGGTAGCGAGCCACTCGAGACCCTCATACAGACCATCACCTGAGGTAGCGCAAGTAGATTGGATGTACTATCATGGTTGTCAGCATACGGACAGAAGAGTGGGAACTGGATGGGAGGCGTTGTGCATACCCAGGCGCGCTGTCTCAGACTGTGAAGACCAAGCTTATCGGTGATCTCGGCAGCGTTCATGGCGTTCTGTAGCGCGCGTTAGCATGGTCCGCGACTATCTTCGGCGCAGCATGGGGAGCTCACAGGCAAATCCTGCTTGTTGGCAAAGACCAACAGAATGGCATCTCGGAGCTCGTCCTCGTTCAGCATGCGCTGCAACTCCTCCCGAGCCTCGACGATACGGTCTCGATCGTTGCTGTCAACGACGAAGATAATACCCTGGGTGTTCTGGAAGTAGTGGCGCCACAGGGGACGAATCTTGTCTTGACCACCGACATCCCACACCGTAAACTGGATGTTCTTGTACTCGACAGTCTCGACGTTGAAACCTGATAATCGCGAGCGCGCGTCAGTAACGGGGCAACGCAGCAACTTGGAGCTGAGCCGAGTGCGAGGGTGGCAGGCATACCGATGGTAGGGATGGTCGTGACGATTTCACCGAGCTTGAGCTTGTAGAGAATGGTGGTCTTTCCGGCGGCGTCCAAACCAACCATCAGAATTCTCATCTCCTTCTTCCCCCATAGCTTGTCGAACAGCTTAGAGAACGTGAGACCCATGATTGCGGTTTTCGGAGGATGATGCGACGGGGATATTATTATATGCTCAAGGCTTCGCGGGTCTGTAATAGAGCAGATAAGTCAGTCTCGTGATGGTAGGCCGAGGATGATGACAAGAGTGGCGCGACGGTCTGACGGCAATTGCAGGAACGGTCCGCGGGTTATGGTTGTCGATCGACTTGAGGACAGATCGGTTGCTCTCTTGCGATGTAGCGCAAAAGGTTGAATGGGTTGCAAGTTGTCTGTCATCTGTCGTGCGGTGTGTCCAGGCTGCCACGATAGGAGAGCCGAAGTGAACAAGTAGGCAAGAGTGGGCCGAAGTGCGTGTTGGTAATGGGGAACGCAGCAGGTTGGGCAGACTGGCAGACTGGCAGACCGGGCGTGGCAGGCGTGCGTTTCCACTCTTTGTGCGGTGCTGGCAAAGGAAAGCGACTTACTATACTGCAACAAGGAGACCTGCTCGGCGAAGGGAGAGATCTCGTCGTGATGGGTTATCAAAGGGGGTGCAGTGGGTGGGTTGTGGTTGAGAACCGGTGAAGAGAGATGTGTGGTTTTCAAAAAGGTTTAGGTAGCAAGGCCCTTCGCTATCATTATCCAGCGTCAGTGCAATGTGGCTGGAGTGGGAGGGAGAGGATGGATGGAGAATGGGGAATGGTGCAGCACCCTATTGACCAGTGGGCCACTCAATGGCCAGCGTCAGCGATAACGTGCTGAGAAGGTTATTACAGTGGCAGAGTGCCACCGGTGCCCCCAATGCCCGCAGCTTGGCTGCTAGGCCGAGCATTGAGCACCAACTAGCACGGTACCTGCCCAGTACAGAGGGCCTCTCCAGGAACAATAAGCGCGTCGCAGATCCGAGCATCCTCCAGGCCCAGATTGCTGGCCAAAGAGGGGTTCACTCTGCGGAGTGCCAAGTACCTCCCGGGTAGCCTACCCCTGTCCATCCCAAAAAGCACGCTAGCCTGTCCCGAGCCTGGAAATCTCCTGGCTGCAAATCGCCAAAGTGTCAACTCCAGCATCCGATCCCGAGCTCGTGTGCGCCCTGCAGCTACCAATTCCCACTCTTCAATTATCTTGCCATTGCGTCGCCTGCGCTGCCTTCGGTCTGACTCACTACCCTCGAGGGACTGCCAGGCAGCATGTTTTTCTCGACCAAGGCCCTCTTCGTAGCCGGCTTCTTGCAAGCTGTCCTCGGCCACAACATACAGCTCCCTGCCCACGGCCGGGAATGCTTCCACGAGCAGCTCCACAAGGACGATGTCATGACCGTCACCTTCCAGGTTGGCGACAGAGAGTTTGGCAGTGCCGGTAACCTGGACATCGACTTCTGGGTATGACAGTCAAGCACCCAACTCAATTCCCTTGACCGAGGCTTACAAGGCCTCGTACAGATCACGAACCCTCAGGGCCAGTACGAAACCTTCCAGAAGGACGTCTCCAACGGCGACTACTCCTTCACGGCCAAGCACGACGGAAAGTTCCTCTACTGTTTCGGCAACGAACATTGGGGAGCAAACAGCAAGGAGGTGTCTTTCAATGTCCACGGCATAGTATACGTCTCAGAAGCCGATGCTCCTCAGGACCCCCTAGAAGCAGAGAGTATGGGAGCCCCTATTCCATGGGTACTTGAGCAGTTGTCTAACACACTCGTAGTCAAGAAACTCTCCGAACTAGCCAGCCAGGTCAAGGACGAGCAAGGATACATCGTCGTCCGAGAACGCACCCACCGAAACACGGCCGAGAGCACAAATAGTCGAGTCAAGTGGTGGAATATGTTCGTGATTGGGGTCGTTATTGGCGAATCGCTTTTCCAGGTCTGGTGGCTACGGCGATTCTTTGAGGTCAAGCGTGTAGTTTAGGATTCCTGCGGTTGGCGTCTTCTGCGGCGGGTTGTATCCCATTGTTGGTCTGGGTAGTCTGGCGCATCAAGGACTGGCATGAGAAGGACTACAAAATCAGGACGGTTACGAAGTGGAGCACCTTGTACATTTTGTTATACTAATGAACACAACAGACTTGTCTCATTCCTCAGTCACGGTGTCTGTTGCACTTTGAGTCTCATGGCCGAAAACTGTCGAAGAAAGCGCAGAAAACAGGTTCCTATAAGTCTAGGTATGAAGATAAATCCAACATCAATGATGCTCTACTTGACTTCAAAGCCATTTCCCACCTCTCAAAATCTACCACAGGGCTCTCAGACAGTTCAAGGGAAGCCGTTCAGACCAAGGATCAACTCCGGCGTGTTAGCAATCTCATCCTTCCTCTGCTTCAACTCCTCGACATCCCATCCAGCGAACACAAACTTGTTCTTCAAGAACACAGCCTCATCGCTCGCAGCCCAGACCAGGAACTGAGCCGGGAGATTGACTGCCGCAAACCCATCGTCAGCGGATCCCCTTCGAAACACACCCAAACAAGGTGTTCACCGTGAGCGGAGGGAAATAGGGGGTGTGTCATCAAACTTACTATCGTCACTCGGCCACTCCATCCCAGACTCCTTGGTCATCTTCCGCCCCATCTCCGACTCGCCCACGATGCCGGGATGGATGCCCACGACGCGCATCTCAGGGTTCTCGGCCCCGAAGAACTCCATGACTTTGATAGCGGCCAGCTTGCTCGCCGCGTACCCGGACATGGGCATGGCCGCGTTGGCCGGGAACAGCACGCCCGCGGTGCCGAGCTGGAGCACGACGGCGTCGACGGCAGCATGCCTGGCCACGGCCCGCGCCAGCACGGCCGCGCCCTTGACGTTGGCCTCGAAGCCGAGCCACCAGTCCTCGAGGTCGGCCGTGGCGACGGGCGCCAGGCTGGCCATGTGCTGCGTGTACGTTACCATCCTGTGTTCAAACCCGTATGCCACATTTCCTAGATGAAGAAGAAGAAGGAACAACAAAGCTCGTTCTCGAAACCGAGGCTCAGGGTCTTGTGATGGGATGTTTCTATACGTACCCCGGTGCAGTTGACCACGACGTCGACGGCGGAACCACCGAGCCGGGCCTTGGCGCTCGCGAAGGCGTCGTCCATGCCGTTCGCGTCGTTGACGGCGAAGTCGAGGATCTCGGCCTTGGGATACTGCTTCTTGAGCTCGGACGCCGTGGCGGAGACAACATCGGCGCGGCGCCCGGTCAGGGCGAGGCGCGCGCAGCCGGCTTGCAGGAAGGCGAGCGCGGTGGCCTTGCCGATGCCCGCGGAGCCGCCCGCGATGAGGACCGTCTTTAAGGCGGCGGAGAGCTGCGGCAGGGATAGGGAGATGGCCGCATAGGGCTTGTTGTGCTGGATCTTGGTGTAGTTCATGGTGACGGTTGGGATCGGTCGTACTTTTGTGAGTGGCAGTTGGTGGAGAGGTGATGAGGCTAGCGAGGAGCGAGGGGGTCAATGAAGTTGGTATGAAGCGTGTTGAAGACTCTGGTGAGCTAGTACTGCATCATTTAAAGCAGGTGATGAATGTCCTGCCTTCATAGACTTCTGGTCGATGCGTCCCAGGGTGCGTCGTCTGTCCATATCTCCATACCACCAGCGGAGGCGCGCGCTTGGTTCCGCAGTGTCATTACAAAGAGTATTGCTTTCATCAGCCTGTTTCATAGCAATGTGCCAGAGCAATGTCCATTTCTTCGAGCGACACCAGCATCAGGGACGGATCCTCGATTTACAATCGCGGAATGGATACTGCTGGGTCTGGTGTGGTGGATGTGGCGGTTTGTCATCCCAGAGGTTGGACCGCGGCCGTAGATTGACTTGTAAGCAGCTGGATTGAACATACCCCTGGACCCACGCACCAATGTGCCTTGCAATGTATGTACTTTCTGCGCATATTACAGTCATATACTCCTTGTGTCGAGCTGCATTACATCTCGAGCACAAGTTAGGAAGCAGGCATTTTGGGAATTTAGCGAGGATTAGAAAAGAACGAGACAATAGCCCTGGGAGCTAAGTTGAAAAGTGTTTGGGTTCAGTTTGAGGTGGAAGTACAATAAACGTTCTGTTCCGATGTCCATATTGTTAGCAATGCATTCACCCCGATATTGGGAGTTCTCTTCCTCCTGGTGATGATCACTTTAACCGCAGTTTTATCTCGGCTGATTCCCAAGCCCTGAAGTGATATAGTGGCAAGACTAGCACCTTGTTCTTGTACAGAGACCCTACGATCCATTCACGTGCCATATGTGAGCGGGCCATACTGTATTTACTCTTTCAATATGATGTTTAGACCCCTCTGACCCGTTACATGGTCAAATTGCTATGCGTGCCACCGTTCGAGCAGTGTCCCAGAGCTACTCCCCCTGGTCACATGGCGGTGACGTATTTCTTTGCCTTAGAATCTTCGTACTAGTTGTACTAGATGTGCTCATACTCTAGGAAGAGTCTGCCTCTGAGGGCAAAAGTCTTGCTCAACGTCATGGTCACTAGTCGGGCATCATCTACTATAGGTTAAGGATGGGCTGTATCACATTGCAGCCTCGGACTCTAGCACCGTGGCATATATGATCAAATACAGTGAGTAGCGTAATGCCGGTATTCTCCCACAAAGCTTACCTGTCTTGTATCATCCATGAGTTCTAGTGTTGTCCATGGCATGTCTGATATAAGCATAGCTGATGAACGAAGCCATCTGGCGAGCAATGTTTCCGATGGCATCACACGCACCGAGGATTGGCGGAGTGACATAGTGACAACGTGTGAAGATACACTCAGCCCTCATAAATCTCCGTACGCGCATGGTAGCAATATTCCAGCAAACTAGTGGGATAAATAGAAAAACCGGAATAAGCACCCTAGAATAAGCGTCAGGGATAATAGAGATCTAACTGCTTATTCCGGTGTGCTTATTCCGATTTGATGAATTTACCGTGGATTGTTGGAAGGGTCGTGTACGTAGACTTATGAGGGTGCAGTGTACCTCCCGCACCTACTGCAAGCGAAACTTCAAGGTAGCACTACTCTAGAGGCCTCCTCAAACTGTCAGAGCCGACAAATGTGTCGAGCCGGCGGAGCTCTCGTGTCAATTTTAGCAAGCTTAGTACCAAGTTCGAGGCAGCACCGGAAGCTATCTGCTGATATATCCATCCATCCGTCCTTCCACGTCTATACACAAACTTGCAAGCCAAGCTCACATGTGAAGAGGCAACTAAACAAAGTTTTCCCAGCAGCCACACTACGAAGCCTATCGTCCAGCCCTTCTTATCTACGTGCGTACCAAGAGCGGTACAGGATATATATACGAGTCTATTAGGTTAATTTGGTAGCCGGTTTGGTACGGCCTAGCGAATAGCGAAGTATTATTTATATATTCTTAGGCACAGCGGTTCGATTCCTCTAGCGGTTGACACATTCCCTTTTTCCTTTTTCCTTTTCTTTTGGACCCTTGGCAACAGAAAGACAGTTATTACTTGACGAGAACTGGACACTGACAATTTAAACAGCGTCGAGTTCACCTCGGAATATTTTCTACCCTACAGCACCCTGAAACCACACCATTAGCCACCAGATGAACAATACTGGCTTTACTCGTCTCCGCGTTCCTGGTATGAAGGGTGTTTTCAGGGGCGGGAACAAGAGAAGGCGAAACAAGAAAGCTATAGCCCAATACAACTACATACTCCAGGAAGCCAGTATGATTCTGTCCATATATTCTCCTAGGAATAGAAGCGCGGTTGATAATTACATAAAAAACACTACAGCCTACCAGCATTGACGGAAACAGCCAATTCACCCCCTTGAAATCCAAGGTCTTGCTATTTTCCCTCACCCGATGATCCCGACCCCAGCTCTCCCACGTCCACTCCAGTTCCGCCTAAGTCAATTTCGCCTCCGCCAGCACGGCCTTCGGAGTGTGTAGACGGTGCGCCACAGCAGCGCAAGTCTCACAAGCTTAAAACCCTGCTGTACATCCTCATCATCATCATCATCATTTCGTACGCCGCATAAGCGACCAGCGTGATCCCATCATTATCATCACCACATCAAGTCCAACTCCATGAACCTTCGTTCTGCCGGCCGAGCCCATAAAGTTGCTACAAACGGCGACAAGAGACTCCTTAACCCGCCCCCAATAAGGTTCAAGGAGAACACGCCGGATTTGCCCTGTGCGTCGAATGAGTGAGTTTTAAAACCTGCTAGAAAGCGACGCCCAAGAACGAAGGATCGACTTCCTACGATGCCTTGGAGGAACAACTAGCGAGACCTGGATCCTCCGAGTGGCCTCGCAAGAGCCCTCCAGTGATAAGAGTAAGGTGTGAGAAAAACAAGATGTGTGACGTACTAGGTACCTGAGCAAGACCAGGAAAGGAAGGCGAAGGGGATGTGTATATACATGCCAATATAGATCAAATATTGTTCCAAAGTCAGTACTAAGGATCCCTTGAGATATGGCTCGGCGGATTTGATTCAAGACATTGGCCTCGTCATAAATCCCGAACCGTGCATCTGTGCCAACTGGTTAAAGCATATCAACCCATCCCGTCTTGTATTCTCCCCTGAGACGTGAGGTAAGATCTGGCTCCCTGTCGGTCATGCTACCGCGCGCGACCGCTTCTCGGATATCACGTTCGCGTACATAGGGTCTTACCAAGGACTGGCGGCCGAATGGATGATTGTATTTACAGACAGTCCATGGATCATGTCGAAGAAGTGAGGTGGGTGACCGAACTGGAGACATCACTTCTACTTACACTTACACCTGCAACCGGCAGCGATATAGCTGTCAAGGATGAAACGCATCGATGGTCCGCGTCCATGAGCCTGACAGCAATTTGCATCATCACGAACAGGAGACGAGGCAAGAATACAGTCGATGCAGTAGTGAATCAGCTGCAACTTCAACGCCAAGTATACAAAAGCTACCAACTGACGCAAGCGAAGCCGCCCAATGCAATGCAATGCAGAGCTGAAAGACACGATGCCAACCCGATGCAGATGGGTATCCAGATGCACCTGCTCGCTACATAACGCCAATTGTACCACATACACAGCCCCGACCAGATCTATGAACTTTTCCGTTCCCTTTTCCTCTTCTCAATAGACGACCACGGGGACCGTAGATGTGTCTGTTGATCCGTTGAATTAATTCCCGACCGCCGAAATGTAGTTTGTCATGGCGTTCATCCGTTCGGTTGTCAACTTGAGTGAAACCCTTAGTAACTCCTGCGCGACGTCCTTCTCATCGGTCTGAAGTCGCTCCCAGCTGTCCGTGTCCATGACCCAGACCACACAGTTCTTAGCGGCGCGGACTGTTGCTGTACGGTCTGTCTCAGAGAAGAAGGGCAACTCGCCGCATGTCGTACCTTGAACGATCGGCTCCAATAGTGTACCTTGGGGCGTTTGATACTCAGCGTGGAGCTCGCCTCGTTCCAAGAGGTAGAAACCATTGGCCGGTTCGCCACGTTGGTACAGTACCGTACCGGCAGCATATTCTTTGCGGGCAAAATATGGCCTGGCACGGAACCAAAAGTCCTCGTTTCTCTCGCTCACATCATGAAAGACCTGAAGCATAAGCCGTAGAGGTTCACTAATACTTTGCCACCTGGTGGTGCGTCTGATCTCTTGTTGTGTTAGAACGGTCCTTGCTGCTTGGTGTAAGTGATGCCTTCGCGGAGACTGAGACAGCATATCCAGGGATTGCGTAAGAGAGTCGCTATTGGGGACATCGAGATTGCTTGACGGGGCTGGTCGAGTAACCCTCAGCGCTTCTTGACGCGCATAGAATGTCTTCAGCTGCTCGTTTTCGCAGCTTTCCAGAGCCGAGTTCAAGTCCGGCATGAACTTGACCTCGATACCATCTGAGCCAAGCCCAACGGCCCTCAGGTCGAGTCCCACCCTACTTTCTGCATCTTTTCCACTGATGAGAAGACTGACACCTTTGTTGCTCAGAAGGCGACTGATAGTATTGAAGCCCTCAGCCGCTGAGAAGTCGATACCAGTGACATGCCATAGGTCGACAATTAGATACCTGATGGGGTGTTCCTCAAACCTGTCATCCGATATAAGGGTGCGAATCTGTTCCTCGACACCAACGATAGTTCCGAAAAAAAGGAAGCCGGACAGCTTGATAACGAAGGTCTGCCCTCCGACTTCGCGGAGGTAGTAATGCTGTGAGGGGTTCCGTCTAACCATTGATCCGACTTGGTTTCCGGTATATGTAGCTCGGACCGCCGAGACTTGAGATGCGTGAAAAATGGCCGAAACGAATGCAAGGATGATGCCGACGAAGATGCCAACGACAAAGTCGTAAATCCCCATCGTCAAAACAATTACTACGATCTAGAATGGTATGTTAACGACGTGGGTAATATGACGATTCAGCAAACACTTACCGTCAAGTATTCGACCAGTTTCAATTTCCGTCTTGGGGCTACTAATGCATCCATTAAGAGCTCGAAGCCGAGGACAAAGATTAGGGTCCCAACCATCATCACGGGAATGAAGCCTATGAGGACAGGCCCAATGACCATGACGCCAAATGTCAATGCAGCCAGCAAAACGCCTGCCAAGCGGCTGTCGCCCCCCGACCTGACAAAAAATAACGTATTGGCGAATACCAGGTAGTTTTGGATACTCCCCGCGATACCGGATAGGAAATTCGAGTACCCGTGCAATTTGAGCTCTCGGTCCAGATCCAGGTTGTCCTCGCCTATATTCTGGGCCAAGGCAGGAACATTGATGGGAACGTGAAGTATGCTGAAGAAAGTCAGGGCAAACATAGCACCGACAGTCTCCAATATGGCTCCCCAGTGAACCAGGTGAAACTCTAAACAGAAGGCCAGTAAGCATTGGACTCAGCTGGAACAGTGGGCACTTACTATAAAGTGTCCAGAAGTACCACCAGGGTTGGCCCGCCTCAGGGGCCTCGAAGATCCAGCCCGTCTTTCGTAGATTCGCCGGCTCTAGGCTATCCATCGACAGTACAAAGAAGTAGAAGATCATCGGGATACATAGGATATAGACTGGCAAGAGGTATCGCGAGCTGACCTTCCTCTGAAGGCCAAAAAGGAAAACGGCGAGAGCGAGTGGGATGAGCCAGAGAGGTAGCGTGTCATTTTGAATCAGTCGTCGACCAGTCTCCAGGTCGTAGTGAAATTCACCCAGGCGTGCCGAGACTTCGAAACCCGTAGCGATGAGAAACCAGCCCACGCCACCAATGCAGCCGATCAGAATATGCCGAGGGATGAAACCGACAATGTATCCCAGCCTGAATCGACCCATGAGGTAGAAGACGACCCCGGTAAGCATGGAACTGATGGCGAAGGATGTTATCGTCGTCGCAATGACGGCGTCTGGGTTGTCTTCTCCAACTGTCGAAGTGATGGTCATTGCCATACTATGGAAGAAGGGGACAACTTCGATCTGAAAACTGTAAGCTGGATGTCCACCAGTCACCAGGGGCAGCAACTTACAAGTTCAGACCCAACGCCGCCTCGGAATATACTGCCAAATGAAAACGTCAACTGGGAGATGATGGTGCTGACGTAGAATATAGAGATGCCGGCAGGCCCAAGATTTGCAAATACTGGGTTACCAAGTGGGAAAAGAATCATGCCTAGAAGGGAGTCAGCGTCGAGCACCCCAGAGATTGCTTACACCTATGACTTACCGTATGATAGAGCATCTAATATGTTGAGAAGGAGCCCGACTACGACCGCTGGTAGGCAGCGGATCGGGTCCATAATAACTGTTTCCCATACGGTCTTTCTATCCCATGTTTTCGGGTTCGCGGTAGCCGCAAGTCCACGAACTTTGTCTCCAGCTTTTTGCCGAAGTGCGGTCCACCCGGTTGTCCTTGGCTTCTGACTTTCAAGGTCATCCAGCGTATCCGACGACTCGGACCTAGGAGACTTCGCGCCTAGAAGGGGCGTGAACTCGGACAACCCAGTCCGTGCGCCATTCTCGATCGGAGGAGATTCCTGCGGAGGTATAATGTCTGGTATGCGCTGCGAAGAGGAGGACCGCTCATTGATGGGACTCTCGCCCTCGAGCGATCCGTAGGAGGTCTGGGGCGGCGATCGCCTGAACATACACGTGAGCACGGAGGGTCCGTCGTCGACTGCGTCCTCGATCTCATTGTCTAGCGACGATGGTTCCGAAACTTCCGTTATAGTGTCGGCGCTGGAGACCTGTGATTCGTCATATGTTGATGGGTCATTCCGGAACTTGGGCCGTTCGCGGGATTGATGTGACGAGGAAGACGGTCGTTGGGAGAGAAAAGAAGCTTTTCGCTTGTCTTTCTTGTCGGATAGGACGTAGGATGCCAGCTCTGCAGTGTCTTCGCGCACACTTCGAGCAAAGCCAGCGCTGTCGACGGGAGCTGGGGATACGTCAGTTGGTGGTCGGATAGCCAAGCCTCGCGTGAACGTACAGAGATGATCTTGGACAGATCCAGGTATGAAGGACCTGGTGGGGTCTCGGTAGCCTTGGGAACTGACGGAAGACGACAGCAGCCTTGGATCGGCCGGCATGGGACCGGTTTGCTCGGTTGGACTCATGGCTGGTCCGCGATCGCCATGTGTATAGGTATCTGGGCGCGAGCCCACCGAAGGCGACCTTCGCCACCAGGAGAGGCCAAAGGGTAAACTGGACATTGTGGTGGTCGAGCGTCGGCTCTATGAGTGGTAGCTACCTATACACATGAGAAATACACGGTGCGCAATCACGTCACCGGCAAGTGGTCGGTCTCGGATGTCGATATAGCACAACTTCTCCCGTAATAAAACAGAGGTAGCAAGAGTAACAGAGTTAAGGCATATTGACAGTGAAGAAAATGCCTATGTAGAGGCGGCGAAAAACGGCAAACGGGGAAACGAAGGTGTCATAAAAATTACCTCGGGTCGAGAAGATAGGCGACGATAACAAAGTAGGTTTATTATTACCGTTTTGCTCTTAAAAACGCCGTCACTAATAAATTTGCCGGCCCCGCGCTACTGTATGGTAAGTGGTGCTACACGCAATTATAGCAGTGTGGCAGAGATTCGGAATCCAGGCCTCGAGCTGTCATTGGGCAATGGCTCCGCGGATGTCAACGTCGAACTGGAGACATGGTGACGAGTCTGTGAGTCCCCGCCTCAGGCCTGCACGAGGGTGGTGACTCTGCAGGTGGTGAGTTATATCCATTGCCCAGGGCAGCCAGGGTCGGCTCGAATCGTGCATGCCGCGTGTAGTATTGTGTACGGCATCATAACGCAACCACGGTCCACCTCATCTACCTCGAATACCTCGTAGCTTTTGCTCTGGGACTCGGAGAATGCTGGAGATTCGCCATGTGTGTTTGGAGCTAACTGGAAGGTCACGACCCTCCGCTGATTAGTCCATAGCATTAGGATTTCTCGTTGAAAGACTTCAACGCCGTTCGGCCATAGGAGCCCCTCGTTCCTGGGATTCTGGAACCTGCAGGTGGTCTGCGGCCTGCAGGTTACATGCAGCAGCAGTGCATCAAACCATCCCTGCTCTGCCTGCGTGCCGCCGACATGCCGACTGCGGAGACCTTTCTCAGGTCTTCCTCAAAGACAAAGACAGTGTGAATTGGATTTGGAACAACCCAGCAACATGAAGCCTTCATGTTGGAGGCTGAATTGGCTGACTCGTTCTTTAAAAGCAGCGGACCGTCGATAGGTCGAATCGCGACTCAAGCTTTCTCGGAAGACTCCGCGTTGCAGTTCCGATCTGATAAGAACCCGTCCACCGTCCGCGAGCCATCCTCCACGTCCGGACGGGAGCCCCGTCTTCTGAAGGCTGAAGCTCTAACTACCCACTTTGGGAAGTGTGCAGAAATTCCTACTCTGATCCCGGATTCTCTTACGTACCAGGAGACTTTGGCATGCATTCGTCAGGCCTTTGGATGGCACGGGGGCACCACAACGGGACGGGGCCTCCCAACTCGGTCGCGGTCACTGGTCGGTCCATTTCCCACGCAACCAACCGAGCAGCCCGAGTGGCAGCTTCTTAAAACTTTTCATCGTCAGCTGTGTGACCAGACACACCAGAGCCTCCAACTTTTCTCCACCTCCAATTCGCCTATTCGACAATGCTACTGGCAGAGTGAGCCCCGCATCCCCTCACGCAGGCCTGTGGTCCCTCTGTCCCTGTGATACACTCGATTCGTCGACTATAACACGCTAATATGTTCTGTCCTGCAACATGAACCAGCAAGAGGCACAGGTGGGTGAGTATGCCGCAGCTGCAGCTCGTCATGTTGTGAGATCAAGACGTCGTCTTGCCTCGCTCACCAACTGTCGGAATTGGGAGATCGTCATATTGTGTGATAAAGACGTCTTGCCTCGCTCACCACCTGACGGAAATTCGCATGTGAGTGACAACTGTATTCTTGCCGATTCTCCAACTCTTTGCTTTTTAAGTCTATATGCCGTCTTTAGTGGCCAGCCAAAATACCTAGATATGGCTCGATGGTGACTGCTTCTCTTGACGAGGTTACGCAATCATGCTGTTCTCCTCACAACCTCACGATAGGGAGGCAAGGGAGGAGGCTGCTTCGTGGATTCACGAGGCAGCCCACCATTTGTCATGTAGCCAGATGTTTTTGGACTCACTCGTATGAGTGGCTGCAGCTCCGGAATGTCCTCAGTGCCAGTTGCTTCCGCACGCCATGCCCTGATCCTGCTGCGTCATAGCCCATGCTGTTTCTATATCACCATGAGTCCACATCAGCATATCACCCAAGGGATTCCGATACATGTGACTTGTATTTCTGTCCGAGCCTGATACGATATGCATGCCTTTCGACCATGGACCGGTCCAGACAACTCGATATGGCAAGCCGTGGAAGCCTTCGAAAGCTCTCAGCTAAGTTTCTGGAGGTATCCTTGGGCGATCAGGCGTTCCACGTCACCCTGGCGAACGTAGAACTGGCTGTTCTTGGTTAAGGTGATGGCCCTTGTCGAAGCGTGAGCAGTGACCACATAAGCGGGTGTTGTGGTGCAATTGGGAGCTTACCCGTATTCGGTCTGGATCTCGCCAGCGTCTTTCAGCACCCGCACATCGATGAACAGGTCACGCGGGGGCTCCAAGCTACCCGTCAGATCGATGTCGGTCCACTGGCCCTTGTACGCAGCGAGCAGGTCGCTGTACTGCCGCATATAGTCTTCCTCCTGCGGACACAAGCTGCCCGTGCCGCCATCGCCGCTGCCGCCGCCGTTCATGCCTCCCGAGCCGTCCCTGACTTGCTGCCCGGCCAGGTCAACGACGTCGTAGCTGTTCCACACCAGTTCCTCCAGCCGATCTGTCCGTACCCGGTGGTAAGCGAGCAGGCATCGCTTGTTCCTCCGCATGGACAGGTGGTTCACCAGCAGCGTGCAGGCCGTGGCCTGGTCGTCGGACGGGTGGAAAGACCCCTGAAACGGCTCCAGCAGGTCTGCGACATCTTTGTCCAGGTCGCGCACCTCGCGCGTAATCGTGCGGACCAGTTCGGTCAGGTACGGCGGAAGGTTTGTCAGAGTCTGAGCTCTTTTGGCTTGCCCGACCTGTTGAGAAGCTTAGCCAGGTGCGTCAAGGGATATATCATATCGCGGCTTCTCACGAGCTTGGCTCCCGCATCGCCGTACATCTTGAATGGGATCGGCCGGGTACTGAAATACAACAGGCGCTAAATGTGTCGATAAACACACCGCGAGATCAATTGATAGCGCAGGAGGCGAGGATGAGATTGGAGACGTGTGTCATGAATTATGATGTACACTGGAGATCGACCGGTAAGGTAAACCTCTTAACGCGTCGACGCGGTTGCGAAGGGCTGAATCTTGGTGGGACAATGCTTACCCCAAGGGACCCACTGGCTGGCTTCTGGCAAACGGGGATCTTACGATTTGCTGCCAAAGCCCTGCTTACCTCCTACCTTGAGAGGGTAACAGCCATGCCCAATACAACATGAAGTATCTAGCAGGGTTGTGTTCACGGTCTGTTACTATTTCCAGCCAGATTATAAAGTTGTCGGGAAAGCTGTAGGGTTGACATTTAGGTATACAATTCATGGGAGTTTCCTGGTGGTGTGAGTGTTATAACTCCGACCTCATCAATGTTAGGTGAGCCTTGATATTTACTTATTCACTTTTTCATTCATCTACTATCTCCCAGTAAAGTACAGGCATCATTCTGGTATTTCAGTGGCATAAGCAGCGATTTAGTGATCATTCCGGTACTGTAGTTTTGCCCTGGACCAATCGCGATATCCATGTGATTATACCAATTATTACGTCAACAGCCTTAAAAGTTTCTTGGTGGGGTGACAGTCCCTCGACTGACAATCGACCCCGCCACCCCGCCACCCCGCCATCATCCAAATTTTATTTTGTTTACGGCCATCAGAGCTTGAAGCAGCGGCGTCGAGATTCTGTCATATACAAATCGCATCAGGGAGCTCCAAGTGGATCTGCGCTTCTGGTTTCCATTTCGTTGAAGCATCGCAACCATTCATGCCACAGTAGCAGCCCAAAATGTCTCAACGAATCGCCATCCTCTCTGTCTACGACAAGACGGGCCTTCTGGACCTGGCCAAGGGCCTCGTACAGCAGAATGTACGGATTCTGGCCTCAGGAGGCACGGCTAAGATGATTCGCGAGTCTGGATTCCCCGTCGAGTAAGTCAGGTTCTTTTTCGTACAGCATCGTGTGCGATTCTCTTGTTGGAATTAGCACTGTCCTAAGCAGCAGTTCGGTGCTTACGAGCTTGTCTTGCTGCTTATCCCTCATGTTGACTACCCCGAAGCAAATAAACCGTGGTTCTGACCTCCGAACAGGGACATCTCTGCCATCACCAAAGCCCCTGAGATGCTTTCAGGAAGAGTCAAGACCTTACATCCAGCGGTCCATGCTGGGATACTCGCACGCAACCTCGAGGCCGATGAGAAGGACCTAGCCGAGCAGAACATCAGCAAAGTCGACTATGTCATCTGCAACCTTTACCCCTTCAAGGACACCATTGCTAAGCCCAATGTCACTATCCCCGAAGCGGTAGAAGAGATTGATATCGGAGGCGTGACCTTGATCCGAGCCGCGGCCAAGAATCACTCGCGCGTGACGATCCTTAGCGACCCCAACGACTATCCCGAATTCCTGAAAGAGCTCGAGGAGGGAGAGATCAAGGAGTCTAGCCGTCACAGATACTGCGTCAAGGCTTTCGAGCATACAGCAGACTACGATGCCCACATCTCTGGGTTCTTCCGAGCGCGTTACGCCGAGGGTCAACAGCACATGCCTCTCCGATATGGAGCTAACCCTCACCAGAAGCCAGCTTGCGCATACGCTCCTTCCGCAAACCTCCCTTTCAAGGTACTGGGCGGTTCTCCTGGATACATCAACCTTCTGGATGCCCTGAACAGCTGGGCACTCGTGAAGGAGCTGAAGGCGGCCCTTGGCAAGCCAGCTGCTGCTAGCTTCAAGCATGTATCACCTGCTGGTGCCGCCATTGGCGTACCCCTGAGCGCTGAAGAGCGAAAGGTCTACTTCGTCGACGACATCCAGGGCATTGAGACCTCAGGGCTTGCTCAAGCCTATGCCCGTGCTCGTGGAGCCGACCGCATGAGCAGCTTTGGGGACATGATTGCTCTGAGTGACATTGTCGATGTGCCCACTGCTAGCATCATCTCCAAGGAAGTTTCTGACGGCGTCATTGCACCCGGATACGAGGATGCGGCTCTGGAGATCCTGAAAAAGAAGAAGGGCGGCAAGTATCTCGTACTCCAGATGGACCCCGACTACCAGCCCGATCCTACCGAAACCAGGACCGTATACGGTGTGACCCTGAGCCAACACCGCAACGATATCGTGCTCTCTCCGGACTCGTTCAGCCGCACCGTTACGCCGAAAGACTTCAACCTCCCAGAGTCCGCAGCGAGAGATCTGACGGTTGCGACCATCGCGCTGAAGTACACCCAGAGCAATTCAGTCTGCTATGCCAAGAATGGACAGGTTGTAGGACTCGGTGCTGGCCAACAGTCACGAATCCACTGCACGCGTCTTGCCGGCGACAAGGCCGACATCTTGTGGATGCGCTTCCATCCCCGGGTGCTCGGCCTCAAGTGGAAGAAGGGAACCAAGCGCCCCGAAAAGAGCAATGCCATCGATTTGCTGGTGAGCGGCGAGCTCCAACCGTCCGGACCTGAGCGTGACGCATTCGAAGCCGTCTTCGAGGAAGTACCTGCCGCATTCTCCCAAGAAGAACGCAAGGAATGGCTAAACAAGCAAGGCGATGTCGCTGTCTCTAGTGATGCTTTTGTATGTCCCCCGGCTTTCCCTGTTGCACGTATAAGCAGCTGTGTTGGGTGATTATTCCTGCGTTACGGCCTGTGATAATCATCAACCAGCTGCTTATACGACTTTTTCTTTGTGGTGGTCAATCGTCCATTCCCTTGAAACAAGGTCACTGACGCTGAATTAGTTCCCGTTCGTCGACAACATCTACCGTGCAGGTCGATCCGGTGCTAAATACATCGCAGCTCCAGGTGGAAGTCAGAACGACTCTGCTGTCTATGAAACGGCTGAGAAACTCGGAATCGTGTTTGTGGAGCAGAACATTCGTCTCTTCCATCATTAAGCAACGGGCACGATCATGGGCATTTATTGGATCGGAGACACAGGATTGTACATCTCTCAGGGGCAGTTTCAGACTGATGGAATAGGCGCTGTCATAAGCAGCAATTGACTGCTTGTCTGGTGCTTAATTCCAGACGCAGTTATCACCATAGGAAAGGGATAGACCAAAAACTATAAAAAAAGCGAGATACCCAATGTAAGAGCTTGAGGCCTTCGCAGAGCCTCTAACCCATACCAAATGTGTCTCCAGGTGGTGGCATGAGATTGGAGCTTCAGTCCTAACAAGTAGCCTGGCTACAAAGGTAGGGGTACTATTAAACGGATTGATCATGCCCAGCACTGATCATACCAATCACTTAAGTCTGTCATACCCAAGGTAGGTAAGCGTATATATAACTCATGCTTAAGCCATTGGAGGAAAGAGCCCCTCGTCGCAGGGATGCAGTACTTGCCATATGGCCAATGCCATGCTTGGTTCCTATGAGCAGAAAGGTTCGACATTAACGATGTGAGGTTGAGCTTGCCCACTCAGCATCGAGTCATCAGCTTCAAATGAGTTTCGGGCATTTCATAGACTGACTTCGTTGCAAGCGGAACGCAATAAGGAAAGAGTTCCCAGCACTGTGTGATAGAGACGAGGAATGTTGCAGGAGGAATTCTCCTGGTGGCATCTGGCATTGTTCTCGTGGCCTTCTGGCTTCTATGGAACTAGTCTCACAAATGGGTTTTGCCCGATATCATCCCGACACCCAAATCTCATCATAATCGTCAACCACGTTCATGGCTCTATATTCGTTCATCATGAATTGAATCGAATGCAACGCCACTGTTCACCTCTTGGCACAGTTTTACAGCTTCTGCATGGCAATCTGTAGACTCAGTTAATATTTGGTTGACCAATTTCAAGGAGCATGGGTGAACATACAACGTCCGCTGACTGGACGTAGTCCTCGAAGCCTACGATATCCTCCTCAAGCTCCTCGAGGGAGATCTTATCGTCCTCGACAACTAGCGTGATCTGCATTTTCTTGATACCAAAACCAACAGGGACCAGCTTGGAAAGACCCCAAACCAGACCGTCCTTCTCGATTCCTCGGACCGATTTCTCAAGGGCAGCCATGTCAGTCTCGTCATCTGGCAGAAATACGGTCAGCATGGTACGTGAGGTAACTGATGTTGGTGTAGTGTGACTCATACCCCAAGGCTTGACGTCCAAGGTGACAACAGACTTGGCGGTGGTCTTAGGCTTGGCCGCCTTCTTCTCCTTGTACGCAGCCAGGCGCTCCTCACGAATTCGCACGGCCTCGGCGTCCTCCTCCTCATCGGAGCTGCCAAACAAGTCGACCTCCTCGTCCTCGGCGGCGTCCGGCGCCTTGGCAGGGTTCAGAGTGACCTCGGATTTCTCAGGTCCGTAGACGGTGTAGGCCTTGGAGCCATCACCGGGTAGGGTCGCGAACTCGTCCTCGAAAGAGGCGATGTGCTTGTACCATCTCGCGGCGTGGGGGAATTTGGAGGCGTCCGGGGCAGACTTGATGGCCTTGAAGCAGGCGACATCGGCTTGGGAGGGAGAGTAGCTGTTGGATGAGTCAGTGACGGATGTTCCAACTACAATTGTCCGACAGGATTGAATGAATCTTGGAGAATCAGAGATGCACAGAGTGCTGGTATATGTCCTCATTGTACAGGGTCTTAATCTGCTCGGAAACACGGACCAATTTGCTCATCATGGTAAAGGGAGGTTGGGCAAGCAGGGCGTTTTGCGGTAGGGTACGAGCCATCGCCACTTGGGACGTCGCACTCGAAGAAAACGGTTGCTGCAAGGGAGAGGTAAATAGTGACTTACGTGGCGATGTACGATCGGGTGGTCAACCAGCTGTTGAGCACTGAGTCATCTTGTTAGCTGGTGGTCGCCCAGACAGGATGCGTCGACGCCGCAACAGCCAGCGGTTGAATTGGACGTCGAGCTGCGGGGGCTGGAATCGTTGGAGAAGGCGCAAGAACTTACTGGTCAGACCAGCATCGGAGACGAGATCGGTGAAACCCATGTTGGCTGTGGAAGAACGAGAATCTGTGCAATGGAATTCGGGGTATCTGGGTGAAAAGGAAGACTTGAGACAAAGAACACGAAGATTATGAAGATGGTAGGTGGTAGGTGGGGTTTGCTGAGAGTGGTAGGTATTTTGAAATTTTTGCGGTCCGTGTCAAGATTGCTGCCAAATTCATCCCCACCTTTTAGCCAGCCGCCCGCGTGTGCGGTGAGGCCCTAAGTGGGATAGTGGCATAATCATCAAGGTCGATATCCGCCTTAGAAGGCTGTCGGCTGTAAGGTTGTCAACACCCGACAGCCTTGGCCCGAGGTTGGAATTGGTGGAAGCCTGGGACAGCTCAACTACGTCAGGGTTATAGATAAGAGGCGCATACCTTACCAGTCGGGTACCTAGGTAGCTCCATCTGGATATTTCGAGAACGCTCTGGAGCTCTCGGCAGCTTCGAACTTATTACTGTGCCATCTCTCCTGGCCCAGTTGGAGCGGTTCTTTCTTTTGTGTGATGTGTTTATGATCAAGAGAAGCCTGTATAGACAAACTTCTGACCTTCCCCGTCATTGCGCAAACCCGACCAAATTCACCATGTTAGCCCCGAGGCAAATCCTCGCGTCTTCGCGCCGAGTCGCGGAAGCGTCCGCAAGAGGAATCGCACGTCTGAACAGACAACCTGCCCTGCTATCAAGAGCTGCGGCCCTGAGTTCAGCAGGGGCTGTCTCTCGGATTCCCCCATTCTCGCAAACATCTCGAGCCTATGCGAATGGTCGACCTCACCCACCCGGTGGAACTCACCGAATGGACCTGGGCGGCGAGCCCGAGAAACCAGCGCTGGAGCAATACGGTGTCGATCTAACGGCGAAGGCAAAAGATGGAAAGTTAGATCCAGTCATCGGAAGAGACAGCGAAATACAACGAACTATACAAGTCCTGTCCCGACGAACGAAGAACAACCCAGTCTTGATCGGAAGCGCTGGAACGGGAAAGACGGCCATTCTGGAAGGTCTGGCCCTTCGGATTGTTCGAGGAGACGTCCCAGAAAGCGTCAAAAACAAGAGAGTGATATCGTTGGATCTGGGTTCACTCATTGCCGGAGCCAAATTTCGTGGCGACTTTGAGGAACGACTGAAGAAAGTTCTGACCGAATCGGAACAGGCCAAGGGAGAAGTTATTCTCTTCATCGATGAGCTGCATACACTTCTCGGACTTGGAAAGGCCGAAGGATCCATCGACGCTTCCAACCTTCTAAAACCTGCTTTGTCCAGAGGTGAACTACAATGCTGTGGTGCGACTACTCTAGCCGAGTACCGGTTGATCGAGAAGGACGTGGCCTTAGCACGGCGTTTCCAACCAATCCTGGTGAACGAACCTTCGGTCGAAGACACAATCAGTATACTTCGAGGTATCAAGGACAAGTATGAAGTGCACCATGGTGTGAGAATCACGGATGGCGCTCTTGTGGCAGCCGCCACATACTCGAATCGTTACATCACCGACCGTTTCCTTCCGGACAAAGCCATCGATCTCATGGATGAAGCGGCGAGCTCCTTACGCTTGCAGCAAGAGAGCAAGCCAGAGGACATAATGCGTCTTGACCAGAAGATCATGACGATCCAGATTGAGCTGGAAAGTCTTCGGAAGGAGAAGGATGTGGCGAGTCAAGAACGCCGGGAAAAGCTCGAAGCGGACCTGAAGATGCTCCAGGAGGAGGAGAAGGCCCTCAGCGACAGATGGGAGAAAGAAAGGAGCGAGATCGACGCGCTCAAAAAAGTTCAAGGCGAGCTGGACAAGGCCCGTATTGAACTCGATCAAGCTCAACGAGAAGGAAACTTCGGTCGCGCCTCGGAACTGCGGTTCGGTGTGATCCCCAGCCTTGAGCAAAAACTGCCGAAGGAAGGTGAAACAGGACCTGAAGCACTGGGACCTGACACGTTAATCCACGATTCGGTGACAGCTGACGACATTGCGACAGTGGTCTCCAGAGTCACCGGGATACCTGTGACGAAGCTGACCTCGGGGCACATCGAGAAATTGATACACATGGAAGACACCCTCCGCGAGTCGGTCCGCGGACAGGATGAAGCTCTCAAGGCCGTCGCGGATGCTGTTCGAATGCAACGCGCCGGATTGAGCGGAGACAATCGCCCAACGGCCTCCTTTTTCTTCCTTGGTCCCACCGGTGTTGGTAAAACGGAGCTCTGCAAGAAGCTTGCTAGTTTCTTGTTTTCGACTGAAACTGCCGTCGTCAGGTTCGACATGAGTGAATTTCAGGAGAAGCACACAATCTCGCGCCTCATCGGTGCTCCATCCGGATACGTGGGCTACGATGACGCCGGCCAGCTCACCGAAGCAGTGAGGCGGAAGCCGTATGCGGTGCTTCTGTTTGACGAATTTGAGAAAGCTCATCGTGACATCTCGGCACTGCTCTTACAGGTGCTCGACGAAGGCTACTTGACCGATGCTCAAGGTCACAAGGTCGACTTCAGGAACACCATTATCGTTCTCACATCTAACCTGGGCGCTCAAATTCTTGTTGGCGCCGATCCGGCACACCCCTACACCGAAACGCCCGACGGCGAGATCAGTCCCGACGTACGCCAGGCCGTGCTCGATGTCGTCGCCAACAGCTATCCGCCAGAGTTCCTAAACCGCATCGACTCCTTCATCGTCTTCAAGCGCTTGGCACTTGACGCCTTGCGAGACATAGTCGACATCCGCCTGCGGGAGCTGCAGCAGCGTCTTGACGATCGTCGTATCACGCTGCACGTCGACGACAAAGTCCGCCAATGGCTCGCTGAGCGTGGGTATGACCCGAAGTTTGGGGCAAGGCCTCTGAACCGGCTCATCACGACCGAGATCGCGAATGGCCTTGCGGACAAGATCATCAGGGGAGAGCTGAAGAGGGGCGAGAATGCTGGAGTCCGAATCAAGGAGGATGGTTCGGGTCTGGAGGTATTTGCAGAACAACCTTCATCATGATTTACAATATTTTTTGCGGAGTTGGTGTGGACACATGGTTTCAATGGGAAAGCATGGTAGGCGTTTAGGGGGGAAAGATGCGCGGGCTTGCGGCCTGCTTGTATAAAATTGTATCATGATGTATGTATTTACTACATGAGCCTCCCGACTCAGCCCTACATAATCCTGCATAATCTGACAACACTTTGAAACTCATACTGCGACGTTCGTGATTATGTTTACATGTTGACCTCGGTGTCCGAATAGGACCGGAACGACTACCGAGCCAGGCCGTAAGTTTCCAATTATTGAGACGATCGTGTCGTCGTCTGATAGGGCGGTGCTCTGGACAGGAGCTATGTCTCTCAATTACTTGGTGCTGCTGCGGTGGGATGCCATCATATCGTTGTATTAATATATTCGAGAGGCTGACGTTGCTACCGCGCCGCCTTGGCGGCCTCCAATGCACCAACGACTGCAAAGGATACGAAAGGCGTGATGATGTACGAGAGCTATCGTATATTAGTCACAATTTAGTCTTGAAGTCGGGAATTACGCACCGTGAGGAACAAAGCGATTGACATTCGAACTTTTTCGCTCGCACCACTGACATCCGCCAAGGCAAGTACTTTCATGGCTGTTGGTCCGATGGGCATCATCATCATGGACCACCAGAGTATCGGGTCGTTGGGCAAGATGTTGGTGTGGGCGGCGAGAGACCAGATCAGGGGTATGCTTATGCTGAAGAGAATGTAAGCGTGCTACACTTCGGATCAGGTTGGTTGGACTTACGCTGGCCAGAGAATGAACCTGATGAAGATCACGCAGAGTACAGTTCCCAAAGGTACCGTGCCAGATTCCTCGCCCTTTCTCCAGAGTCGCAAGCTCAAACTGAGCTTGACACCAACGACGACAACTTGGAGAGACACGAAGAGCTCGCCGACGTTCTTGATACTTGACGTGAGCCAGGCGTTGAAATATCCGCCTTCACTCATGTCATTGAAGAAGATCCGATGGAGAGGAGGGGTGAGGCCTATGATCGCTCCAATCGCCGCACCGATGAATGGAGGATTGAGAAAGACTCCCAAGGAGGAGAGGAAGACTTGTACAGGCTTGGGGCTGGCGTCGAAGGAACTGCTGAGCCTTGAGCCGACGCTCTTCTTTGCTCTTCGCTCCCAATGGACGACCCTGTTGGGCAGAAGCGAGGTCCGCTCATCCGCGCCGCTTGAATCTTCTTCGTCGCCGTTGTCGCCTGACGAGGCACCGTCATGGTCTCCTTCAGAGGATTGAGCCCCATTTCCGTTCCGCTCTTGGTGGCTCTCAGGGTCCGATGAGTCCTCCTGGTCTTTAGATCGCGGTGTGCCCGTCACCCATCTGTAAGCCCGGATGAAGAGCGAATCCTCGGTCGAGCCGGTCAGGATTTCGGGACCCAGTCCGAAAGTAATAGTGTTGTTCACCACAGAACAAGCCAAGAAGAACGTCCGGGCCCGGTTGATACCTTCGGATTCCTCACCAGCTCCTGTCAAGGTAGCCAACACTCCTGTAGTGCCGAGTGACTGAAGTAGTAGCAGCGGGAGAGATTCGGTGTTGTTGAATGCTATGGCGGGCGCCGCCCATTTGGGAAGGCGGAAGATAGCTGTCACAACTCGTCCTATGAACAGGGACGTGACGGTGAAAAAGATTGCCCAGACTGGGTAGCTGAGTTAGTCTGAGCCCCGGGAGCCGTGTTGGGGAAACTGGGGCGGCTTACTGATTATAGGCACGTAAAGTACCGCCGTGTCGAGGTGCAGCTCAGAGCCCAGGTTCACAATCAACAGGCACGGCAACAAGAGGTTTACGCAAAGTGCGCTGATCTGCTTCGCTGCATCAGTGGTGACTAATCCAAACTGGGCTGCAACAACGCCAAAGAGGATGGTCAACAACACCGACAGGGCTGCCTGTACGGCGCCGAGAAACGAAACTAGAATTCCGGACGCCATAAAGCTGGTGATGATGATGAGGCACACTGCGAGATATGTCGAGGTCGGACAAGGCCAGGAGGCACGCGGAATTCACGATGTTTATTAAGGACGGGAGCGGGTCGCCGTTCGGTCCTACCGCCCGTCTGGACCAAGGAACCGACGTCATACTCATCGGGGCGTCGGCGGCCAACTTCCAAGTGCATCCATCGTGCCTTGCCTAGGCTCGACGGTCCCGTCTACAGTTCCCAGTCGTGACCTTGATCAACGACCTCAACATACTATTCCTTGCGGTCACACATTTCAACTTATAAAAGTTCTTAACTAGAAGAATCTTGGCGAATCTTGGCAGTATACTCAACTGTCCCGCCCTGGGTTCACCAATGCCTATGGCCCCTGACTCGTCACTCCTGAGTGTACCTGCATATGCAGATACCTTACGTGGGCTGAAGATTTCTGCGCCGCCTTTACATGCCACTCGGTCTCTCTTCCAAGGTTATTATTATGACGGATTGCTGCGGTGCCATTGAGCTCAATACAGATGGCATCAACGAGTATCAGTTTCGTGAGCAAGGGCTCTTGAGAGTTGATCATGAACTACCGCATTTTCCGTGCAAGCTGACTACGTCGGACACGGTCCACCATGCATTATCTCATCGCCAAGCCAGACAATCCACACCTAATTCCTTATTGTGTTGACGATAGATCGGCATGATCGCAGGCTTTTCCAGGTTCCCTGTATCTTTTAGCCAATGAAGACAGGCATGGCGATGAGATAATGCATGGTGGACCGTGTCCGACGTAGCCAGCTTGCACGGAAAATGCGGTACAGGGGATTCATTGAACAGCCAGAGAGACTTTTATGAAGTACCAGACTCCCACACAATTGTCGCCGTGGAACGTTGTTCATAACGGTACACGGCGGTTGGACTGCGTGAACCTATTCCTGGGTAGTAGTATCGTGGAGTTGTACAACACGCGATTGGCTGAATGTTTAGAAGGGTCAACAGGAGTGAGCCCCTCATGCTCCGGAAATCGCAGGCCAGCAGAAAGTTTTTCTTAGCTGATAGTTGGATTTTTTGCTCCTTATCGGCTTATCTGTCCGCTAACATGGCAGCGCTGTGTGCTGCTATCGGCCGCCGCCAAATTTGAACTTATTATTATCACACCTTGCCTTGCCTTGTATGAGTCGACATACCACCAAAGCCTGTCAATCTTCCCGAACAGAGCTCAATTGACTTCAATTGAGAGTTGGGCACACTTTCTGCCGTCTTGCGAGACGTTGATACTTCAACCTCTCCAGGACACGAGCTCCTAGACCGCCATGGCTCTCTCCACCAAGCTTGTAGGCCGCGCGCCTGCTCTGCTCCGACATGGTCGACGTCTGCCCACCACCCTGCCCCGGAGGCAATTCACGGCCGCCACAGCCCGGGCACCATCACAAGCCCTTGCTTCAAGTCGAGCCTATGGCTTTGCCCAGAAGCGAACCTTCACTGCGACGGCAGCTTGCGCCAATGCCAACGCCGCCGCCGCCCAGGAGGCCCCTAACCCCAAGGCCTACTTGGAGAGCGGCGTGATCAAGCCGCGGGATATTGTGGATGTCAAGAAGGTGCTGGTTATTGGAAGCGGTGGCTTAGCCATTGGACAGGCTGGAGAGTTTGACTACTCAGGTTCGTCACCCGAATGCCGCAGACTGGCAGTTAAGCATGAGTCACAGTACAACTGATCCTATGAACGCTAATACCTCGCGTGTAAAGGTTCGCAGGCCCTCAAGGCCCTCAAGGAGGCTGGCGTAGCCTCCGTGCTTATAAATCCGAATATTGCTACCATCCAGACCAACCATGTCCTCGCCGACGAAATCTACTACTTGCCCGTCACCGCAGAATACGTGACCCACGTTATCGAGAGGGAACGGCCAGATGGCATCTTCCTGTCATTTGGTGGACAGACCGCGCTGAACCTGGGTGTGCAGATGCAGCGCATGGGCATATTCGAGAGATACGGTGTCAAGGTTCTGGGCACAAGCGTGCACACTTTGGAGTTGAGTGAGGATAGAGATCTTTTCGCCAAGGCCCTGAACGAGATCGATATCCCAATTGCCAAGTCCATTGCTGTTGGTACAATCGACGAGGCCATTGACGCAGCCTCTAAGATCGGATATCCCATTATCGTTCGTGCCGCCTACGCCCTTGGTGGCCTTGGTTCCGGGTTCGCGAACAACGAGGAAGAGCTCCGCAACATGGCTGCTCGATCTTTGACTCTCTCGCCGCAGATTCTGGTTGAGAAGTCGCTGAAGGGCTGGAAGGAAGTCGAATACGAGGTTGTCCGTGACGCCAACAACAATTGCATTACGGTGTGCAACATGGAGAACTTCGACCCCCTGGGAACTCATACTGGTGACTCTATTGTCGTCGCGCCCAGTCAGACTTTGAGTGATGAAGAATATCACATGCTTCGTACCGCTGCCATAAAGATCGTGCGTCATCTAGGCGTGGTCGGCGAATGCAACGTTCAATATGCCCTTCAGCCTGATGGTCTCGACTACAGGGTCATCGAGGTCAACGCCCGTCTTTCACGATCATCAGCTCTCGCTTCCAAGGCTACTGGATATCCCCTAGCCTACACGGCCGCGAAAATAGGCCTCGGCCATACCCTGCCTGAGCTGCCCAATGCCGTTACGAAAACGACGACCGCTAACTTCGAACCTTCCCTTGACTACATCGTCACAAAAATCCCTCGCTGGGATCTGGCCAAATTCCAACACGTTAAGCGTGACATTGGCAGTGCTATGAAGTCTGTGGGTGAGGTCATGGCTATTGGACGTACCTTTGAGGAGTCTTTCCAGAAGGCGATCCGGCAAGTTGACCCCAAGTTTGTGGGCTTCCAAGGTGACAAATTCGACGACTTGGACTATGAGCTCTCTCACCCGACAGATCGACGATGGCTGGCTGTTGGCCAAGCGATGATGCACGAAGGTTACACGGTCGACAGGGTCCACGAGCTCAGCAAAATCGACAAGTGGTTCTTGTACAAGTTGCAAAACCTCGTTGATTGCACCAAGGAGATGGAAGCTGTCGGCAGCCTAGAGGGTCTCAAAAAGAATCTCGTCCTCAAAGCGAAGAAGATGGGTTTCTCTGACAGGCAGGTCGCCAATGCAGTCAAAAGCGACGAGGATTCTGTCCGTGCCCACCGTTTGAGCATGGGCATCCGACCTTGGGTGAAGAAGATCGACACACTCGCGGCTGAATTCCCAGCGGACACCAACTACCTGTACACCACCTATAATGCCAGTTCTCACGACGTCACTTTCGAGGACAAAGGTACCGTGATCCTCGGTAGCGGTGTGTACAGAATCGGTAGCTCGGTCGAATTCGATTGGTGTGCTGTCAGTGCCACTTTGGCTCTGAGAGAAATGGGCCAGAAGACCGTTATGATCAAGTATGTACATTCTAGAGTCTCTTTCCCTTATGGCCATGTCTTGGGGGCGAATTTACTCTCCTGGACTGTGTCAAGTGTCTTGGCTCCCGAGACACGCATTACGGCACCTTGGCTCTCGAGAAAACATCTAAAAGGAGCAATTACTGACTGTTTTAACCCAGCTACAATCCCGAGACCTACAGTACAGATTTCGACACTGCTGATAAGCTCTACTTTGAGGAGCTTAGCTACGAGCGAGTCATGGATATTTATGATCTCGAAAATGCTTCTGGTGTTGTTGTGTCCGTTGGTGGCCAACTCCCGCAGAACATTGCTCTGCGTCTGCAAGAAACAGGCAAGGCCAATGTCTTGGGCACAGACCCCAAAGACATTGACAAGGCTGAAGACCGACAGAAATTCTCTGAAATTCTGGACAGCATTGGTGTAGACCAGCCTGCTTGGAAGGAGCTCACCTCCGTTGCTGATGCGGAGAAGTTCGCTCAGGATGTTGGCTACCCTGTCCTCGTCCGCCCCAGCTATGTCCTCTCAGGTGCTGCGATGACTGTCATCCACAGTCAAGAAGACCTCAAGGATAAACTCGAGGCTGCGAGCAACGTGTCTCCTGATCACCCTGTTGTGATTACCAAATTCATCGAGGGCGCTCAAGAAATCGATGTTGACGGAGTTGCTTCTCAAGGCAGTCTGATCGTTCATGCTGTCAGCGAACATGTCGAACACGCCGGTGTACACTCCGGTGATGCAACCCTAATACTACCTCCAGCCAACCTGGACGAACACATCATGAGCCGCCTCAAGGAGATTGCTGAAAAGGTTGCCAAGGCATGGAAGATTACTGGACCTTTTAACATGCAGATTATCAAGGCAGACAACCCTGAAGGTGGAGAACCAGCTCTCAAGGTCATTGAGTGCAACCTGCGTGCCTCCCGCTCTTTCCCGTTCGTTAGCAAGGTTCTCGGTACCAACTTCATTGACGTGGCTACCAAGGCCCTCGTTGGAAAACAAGTTCCAGATCCTACTGATCTCATGGCTGTCAAGCGAGACTACCTCGCTACGAAGGTTCCCCAGTTCTCGTGGACTCGTCTCGCTGGTGCAGACCCCTTCTTGGGTGTTGAGATGGCTAGCACGGGCGAGATGGCTTGCTTTGGCAAGGACCTCGTTGAAGCCTACTGGACTTCTCTTCAGTCGACCATGAACTTCCGCATGCCAGAGCCGGGCGAGGGTATCCTCTTTGGTGGCGAAGTCTCCAAGCCGTGGCTCAGCACGATCGCCGACTACCTGGCCCCCCTCGGCTACAAGTTCTACGCGGCTGGCGACGACGTCAAGCAGCACCTTGAATCTTCCACCAAGGACAAAGTCAAGGTGGAAGTCATTGAGTTCCCCAAGGAGGACAAGCGTGCGCTTCGCGAAGTCTTCCAGAAGTACGATATTCGCGGAGTCTTCAACCTGGCCTTGGCCCGTGGTAAGACGGTGATGGACGTCGACTACGTGATGCGACGAAACGCTGTCGACTTCGGCGTTCCTCTGTTTATGGAGCCCCAGGTAGGCCACATCCCAGCGCCCCTGTTTCTACATCATGTGCTAACATCCCTTCCAGACCGCCATGCTCTTCGCGCAATGCATGAGCGAGAAACTGCCCCGGAAAGAGGGCATCCCCACCGAGGTCCGCCGGTGGTCCGAGTTCATCGGTGGCAAGCCCCTGTAGATATGTGGCAAATGCTTCTTACTTTCAACGTTAAGTTATTATAAGGAAATCTAACGCCGTGACGTCTCGCAATTTCCGACGATATCCATTCATCCCAACCATTCGGGCTGGTTTGGCTAGGCTAGACCAGGTTTGGCTCTAGCAGGCGTTTGAGTCGGGATTTCATCTACTGGGGCCGGCGATGGGATCTCTGTTTTCTCTATTCATGTAGCTTGCATTGTTGCAAAAACAAAAAGGAACACAAGAGATGGCGCCTGGCATAATGTCGTCATTCGAATTGCAACGAGAAAAGTAAATACATCGCCACCAGCCTACAACGTGTCGTTCCATGCCATGAATGCCAATACCTACTAGAGGATCCGCGTGGCGTGGCGGGACCCTCTTCAGCATCATGTTCGTGACCTGTCGACATTAATGTCATATTCGTATAAATAGAATAAGCACCCCGGAACAAACAGATTTGATCCAATTAGCCATATTCCATGCTTATTCCGGAGTGCTTGTTCCATCTATAATCAATACACAAGGTTTCCGCTTGCTGGATGAGGGGTGTACGGAGACTTTTGGAGGTTCAGTGCATGTGGCCTAAGAAGGTGCTTTCTTTAGTACCTGTTCTATAAACAATGATGACTCTACGTTGCTCTAGGACTATGCTGGACCTTAAAATAGTCACCCCTCATAAGTCTCCGTCGGTCATGCTCCTGTTAACTCTTAAATATTACTACTACATTCGTGTTAATGGAGTAGGCTCCTTGGAATAACCAGGTCTAATGCAATGAGCCATATTTGATGCTTATTCCATATTCAATGCCACCTCATTGGTGCCGGCAATATGGCGCTTCCTGTACTCCTTCTCCCAGTCGCTACCAAGGTTCTTCTCATAATCGTCACACGCGTCCTTCGCAGTGACCTATAGCTCCCCAGCGTCCTCGAACTCGTCGTATATCGCAGGCCAGCCGAGCCATCGAGTCTTGAAATCCGAGCGTAATGCTTGACGCGTGCGAGCGAGGGTTGACATCCCGCCGGGTTCGTCATGATTGACCACTTTCCGATTTTGTTGTGGAAGGTGGTATCAAGATGGATTCATATGTGAAGTATCACAAAACATTGTGATGGATATTGATATTTAGTGACGTGTGACCGATCCAGGAGAAATTGAGATGTGTTCGGGATGGAGATATCGTCGAAACACGGGTTGCAAGATTTGGCTTTATGCAGCCCAATGAACACAGCTTTCGCTTGGTGAATGAGGCGTGTACTGAGACTTCAAGAGGTTCAGTATCAATAAGCTTGAGGTTATTCATCCCAACCGTCCTGTACAGTCACGTTGGATATTCAATGACCGACTGAACATTGTGTTTCAGAAAGTAGAAACGATTCGTCATGATGCTGAATTTGGTTTTTATTCATCTCGCCACCCACTCGATGCCCGAGGGGTGTCAATGACCCGAGTTATCAACAGTATACTCAGGTGGTATATACCCTCTCCCTATGTATAGTAACAATTACCTGCATCTCTCGCCGAACGCCCAGTATGTAATGCGCAGAAGCCCGGCCTCCGCATTTCCATATCACCAAGTGCAGCACCTCCGATCATGTCTCGTGGCTCACGAACTCGGCCGTTTGAAGACCGGTCGGCTCTCATTTCGTCCGTTCAGCCTAACGGCAGCAAGACGCTTAGCAAGCGGTTCACCGGATCTGAATGGGGCAATGGCAGCAGAAAAAGAAGACGCTCCACCGTTCGCTTGAGCGCCAGACACGTTGTTCTCATCGCCGCCACTGGGAGCACGGGGCCGCTTCTTGGGGAGTCTCTCACCAGTCGATTGAAGAATCGCTTCTAGGGTTTGCCAGCCGGGCATAGAGAAGAGTTGGTATGCGTCGGCAAGATCGTGTTTTGTGGCAGCCCGACACAGGAGTGCCTCCTCCTCCTATATATTTGGTTAGCTCGTCTACGAAAGAACGACGACGAGAGGCAGCCAAGAGATACTGTGACTCACCTTGGATAGTATGTCCATTCCATGAATGAAGTTGAGGAGATGGAAATCCGAAAGGGACCCAAGCTTGTTACCACCACCGGTATCAAGAGCTTTGGCAACATTGCTGAGCTGTTGGCTCTCTCCGATGGCTTCGCGATTTTCGATGGGGAATTTGGGAGTATTGAACATGGGTTTCGGCTCTGCAGGGAAACCATGCGTCAAGGTGACGAACAGGTACTCGACGGGGAAGGATGGCTTTGCGTTCTCTTGCACGTTTGCCCCATACTCGTTGATCTTACGGTAGAATACGTCGGGGATATATCGGGTGCGACTGGTTGAACCGTCGTCTTCCTCCTCTTCTCGCACCAGCATGACACTGGGATCGGCCGATGGCTCGACAAGGTCCGCCCGCACCATTTCGACGGCCTCATTCGAGACTTGATATGACGATACCGCAATCTGACCTGTCTCATCGCCCGAGATGATGCACGTCACGAAATTGGAACCAAATCTACCAGTATCACTCCACTTGGTAGGCTTCGGATGCTGGGCTTGTAACCGCGCGGCGAATGTGACCTCGAGAGAGGACAGGTAGTATGAGTCGGCATGCCTCTTGCAGATGACACTTCCGTCCCCCTTGCCGGCATCAAGCAAGTCGCTGTAAATAACGCCAACACGCTCGAGCCCACACAGCCTGGCGACGTCATTCACGGCTGATTCGTTCTCGAATGGGTTCAACGAGACCCCGTCCATCTCGTCCACCTGTGGTATCTCGTATATAGCCTCGACGATGGCCTTCACGCCGAGGGGTACCTCGCTGTATTCCATGTATCGCCCATACAGGTAGCCTATCCGCTGAGCGCCCGTCTTGCGCCAGGTATCGATGAAGGAGTTGACGATGTCGAAGGAGGCAAACTCGACATGATCGACCATGCGAAAGGGCTGGGGCTGCAAGGTGATGGCGCTGGGCTGGCACTTTGAGCAGATGCCCTCTGGCCATTGAGGATGACCCGAAGGGCAGTCCCGCTTGACTCGGAAGTATGGCTCGTTCAAGGGCGGGATAAACGAGCTTCCAAGCTCCGGCTTGTTGGTCGCAGAGTTGATCTTTCGGAGGTAGGAGTGGAAGGAGAGGTACTTGATCTTCTTGTCGGCGAGGTACTGAGGGTTGAAGGGGTCGAGCGGCATGCAGTAATCGCACATGCCCTTGAGGCCGTGCTTGCACATCCGGTGATCCCGCCCCCGAGGGATCTTCCCATCCCGCCTGTCTAAGCGATCATCCAGAGCCGACTGCCGCACGACCTCCCAGGGATTCTTGATGGTTTGTGACGGAGATGTGACGGGTGGTTGGCTGATGGGCAGGTCCTCTGTAGGTAAGATTGGCTTCCCATTCAAGCGGTTGGTCGAGGCCAGAGTATGGGAGGATTCGGGGGCACCATCCGCGTGTCCATTAGTGTCGCTATCCTTGTGCTTGTAGTTGATGAAGATCAGATCGCCGTGGCTGTAGGGCACGTTAGCACGAGCCGTAGGAAGCGTGTATGGAGTGCGCATAGTAGTACTTCAAACCAATTTGTCTCAGTTGAAAGTTGGCTATTTCCATCAATCTCTTCGAGTCTTTGGCATGCGGGTCTGGGGACATGGCGATGGTATTGGGATCGACAGTCGGCGGCAGCATGGTCACGAGCTGCATCTCGGGTTAGCAGCAGCACCAGTGCAGGGCGAAAAGACGAAGCGTACCTGGCGACCCAGCTCTGCAAAGGTATCATCCTTCTCGATGTTGACCCGGAGCATGCCATCAGGCCCTCGGAGTCGTAGTAACATGGCGACTGCGCGAGTCTGGATTATGCTGAGGAGTGGATGGGTTTATGGTGGCGAAGGGAAACGGACGGAGGGTGCGTTGGGCCAGCTTTATAGAGAGTCATAGGGTTTGACAACTGACTCTGTAGAAGGAGAGAGTGAAGGTGTGAAGGTGTGGTGGCGGAGAAAGAGTCGGAAGAGGCCAGACGAGAATAGATGACATGGATTGCTGCACACATTCGGAGCTCGAAGCTACCTCCTACCTCTGAGCTTTCCAGTCAGGCACTCACGCTGATGACGCGCCTGTGGAGGAGCTAGCTGAAATGCTCGAGCTCGGGCTGCGTGGTCCGAGCTCCTGCCTGCGTTACCTAGCGCCCCTTAGGTACTGCCTATGTTACGAGGACGACTCGGACACGATAGATAGGGGCCAAGGCAGCCGACATTTAGGTATGTAGTCAAAATGGGCAGTGAGACATCATTCAAATTGAACTACCTGTAGTTATTCCTTCTTTATCCAATATGTCGGCCTGTTCATGTCAGATGTGACAGGTTACCTTTCATGCCTCATTCAGCTGCAAGAAATGCTTTACATATAAATCACCAGGCCACTGCAAATCACCCTCCCATAGAGACCAAACAGTCATGGGCGTATAACGACTTTTATTGCAAAATTTGCCGTTTCCTCGCAACTCCCTTGTCGACTTAGAAAGAAGCATCATCGCAACCCAGATACTGATGTAAAAGTGTCTGCAAGTGGATAGATGCAGCCGGGGCACGACCGTCCACTGAGCGAGCCTAGGGCTTTCCAGGGCTTGTATCTACCCGAGGCCCTTCCTGACCCAAAGTCAAGATCACCGGATCCCGATAATAGCTGCCGGGAAGTAGGGTAAAATACTATCTTACAGAATAAACACAAGCCGAGATCGTCTGGACCCAGTCCCCAGCCCGGACCAGCACAAGCCGGCGTCTAGTTCATGTGTGTAGCAACGTAGCCTAAGAACCACGCCTAAACGCCATTGTTCTCACTACCTAGCTGGCTCTCGTCGCGCTCAACCCCATTCGAGAGTCTTGCCGCGTCCTTAGATCTGTCACTTCAGGCAGCAGACTCGACCTTTGCCTCTGCGTCATCAGCGGCCGCGACCTTCGTCTGTGGAAAGTTAGCGTCATGGGTGACGATAGAGCGTAGGGTAGCCCTCCAAATCATACCTCTGTGGCTGCCGCCTTCTCTTCCTCCAGAGCCTCAGCTTTGCTTTCGCCTTCCTCTTTGGCTTCCTTTTCCAAAGTCGCCGGCTCCGCCTTGCCTTCGATGGTCTCTTTCACGCCGTTGGTAGCGGCCTTCTCAGGCTTTGAAGGGGTTGCCGACGTGCCGTTGACGCCGTTGGCTGTTGCGGAAGCTGCCCCGGTAGCAGGTGTAGCAGCTCCTGCATCAGTCGCCAGAAGGAAATTCCACTTGTCCAAAAGGGCCTGTGATCGAGGCTTGAACTTGAATTCCTCTTCCTTCGGAATGTTCTCCAGCTTCAGGATCGCCTTCAGGACCTTGTTGATCTTGGTAGCGCGAATGATGCTGACCTCGAGGTCCGGGAACGTCTCCAACTTGGCAAGGAATTCCGACATTGACTTCATCTCATCTGCCTTGGGCTCCTGGTCGCGAAGCAGGAGTCCCTTCTGGAGGCGGTGGCGCAGGAACAAGATCTCTTTCTGTGAATTAATTAGCACATGCCTCATTCAGCGAGGAACAGACCGTACATACCTCCTTGCGTGTGTGTTTCTCCTGATCAGTCAGTTCCGGCTCCTTGGGCGCCACCGGCTCTTTCTCTTTCTTGCTCTCTGCGTCCTTGCCACCCTTGGCCGACTTTGCCTTGACCTTGACAGGCTTTGCTGAGTCTTTCCCTGGTGTCGGTGACTGTACACCATTGGCCGTCTTGGGGGTCGAGGAAGTCGTCAACTTTATCTTAGGCTTCTTGACAGATTCAGAGCGCTGAGGAGTCTAGAATCGCGGTTCAGTTAGCATCGGAATATCATGGTGACATGATGAAGGTCGAGGAGTCCTTACGCTGGTCTCGTCTTCGGCTTTGCGCTTCTTGGACTTGGGCTTCTTTTCGACTACCTCTGCCACATCATCCTCGTCGACATCGGGCATTTCCAGATCACCATCCTCGTCAGCTGCCACAGTCTCGACTGCCTTGCTAGCCTTCTTTGGCGTCTTGGCCTTGGCCTTCTTGGCCTCAATCTTAGCAAGACGTTGCTCTTCGAATTCTCGAAGCACATTCTTGTAGTAGTCCAAGTTGTTCTTTTCGGCAGCAAGTACGTGAGCACTCTGGAGATCCTTGCGCATTTTGGTTGTGACCAAATCAGCGACCGTGTCGGGGTCAAGTTCGCTCAGGTCAGTGTTCGGGGTCCAGGAGCTGCAGGGTAGACGTCAGTTGCATCCCAATGCCCAGTGGGTGGGTGGATCAGACTTACAATTCGTTCGTGTGAAGGTACATGACGGCAAATGTGCGGTCTGCAACACGCTTGCCGCCATCTGCGAAATCATCTCGGTAGGTCCCATCGGGGCGCACGGCCGTCACTGGTCGGCTGTTGAGCATGTTCTGGGGCAACATGTCCTCTTCGCAGACGACGACGGGCCACGGTGGGAAGCCCTTAAGCTTTGCGAAAAAGTGATCGCCGGGCTTCGCGTCCGTATGTAGGATCTTGGCTTTGGAAGCCTTCTTGTTGAGCTTCTGGGCCTTGGCTGCGACACCAGAAGACTTGCGACGCGCTTTGGACTTATCACCGCCGGGGGTGGCGCCCTCTGCTTCGATCGCAGCACCTTCAGCGGCAAGGACAGCTGCCTCGTGTTCGGCATTCGTAGCGGTCTCGGCGGGCTTCTCATCCTCGGCTGCGACGTCGCCAGCAGCCTCCGTCTTGTCCTTCATCTCGATGTCGGCGTCGGATGGTTTCTCGTCGTCGGCAGGCTCGGGAGCTGTAGCGGAAGTTTCAGGTTCAGCTCCAGGTTTGGCCTCTAGAATAGTGAATGTGGTAAGTAGATGCGTCGCAACAGTGAAATGCTCCTGAATGGGGACAGAACGGATGTGGAAGGACCAGGCAGCTGCAGACTGGCCTTATACGCAGGTGGCGCAGGGTGGGTCGGTGTTGGTATGTGTTCCGAGTTTCCAGAGAGGATGCAGCGCTCGCGAAGATCGGGTGCAACGTCAAGCTGGTGGTGGCAACTTACCCTCAATCTCAGTCTCAGCGGCCTTCTCAACGGGCTTGTCCTCCTCCTCGGCCTTGGTATCCTCAGAGGCAGGTGCCGCTGCAGCCTCAGCCTCAGCCTCAACCACAACCTCAACCTCAGTGTCGGTGGGCTTGGCCTCTGCTTCTGCGGCAGGCGCGACGGGCTCTGGCGCAGAAACATCAGCTGAAGCAGCTGCTGCAGCTTGGGCAGGCTGCGCAACGGTGGGTTTCGCGGGTGCCTCGTCAGACATCTTGATGGACTAAGACAATGATGCCAGTTCAAGGTAGCAATGTTGCGCGAGGACAGCGTCGCAGTTGTGATGGCTGCGCGCGGTTGTGAAAGGTGGCAGAAGTGGTGTGTCGATGCGATAGAAAAGTTGACGGGAAAGAAAACGAAACGCGTCGAGGCAACTTTTTAAATGGGGACGTTGATAGCACCAATGACCACCGGGCCGGGGGATGGGTGTGTGGGTGCAATTGAACGGTGCGGCAGAATGGTGTTTGTTGAGAGAATCACGCGGTAAAAGCAGATCATCAGTTCAAAGGACGTGATGATGGTGATGTGAGATGGCGAGAAATTTCACAGGCGAGACAGGATGGCTTCGAAGTAAGTAACGTATGTGCAATAACTTAGCTCACGGCCGCGCACGTGACTTGTTGTAGATGGCTGAGCTCGGGAGGTTTGGAGTAGCCAAGGTCAAAGAGCTTATTAGGTAGAGAGCCGGCGTGGGCTCTGGCATCTGGCAGGTTGGCTGTGCGCCTGGTGGGTTGTGGGCAGCAGGACGGGCGTGGGTCTCGGGTCTCACATCTCACATAACCAGCCAGCCATCCAGCAAGCAGGGGAGGTTGTCAGGTAGTCTGTACATAAGATAGGGCATGTAACGCCAACACACACCATCGTGTTGGACCGTCAGGCACAGCCATTGGCATCCATTGGCATCCGTTTTCATCAAAGACTCGACGTCTCCTCCGTGTATCCATCACGTCCCTCATCTCCCTCATCTACAAACAACGTCCCCATCCCCATCGCTCTGCCACATCTGTGCCCTATGCCGCCCAACCTGACACATCACCAGGTCTACTCTTCATACCTGGGCACGTCGTGCTGACCAACAAGGATCGTGACCTCGAATCTACCCATGTCCAGTACATTCCAGGGCCGGAGGTCCGGGACACATCGAAAACAAACTTGCGATGCCTGCTTTATTCTTCCTCAATCCTACCCTAAACCTTCATCTCTGCGTGTCTTGCTATATGTACAGTGAGTTGTTCGTACAGTAATTGGAATATGTCGCACCTGGACTATGACCACAAACCCGGGCAAGCCTTCACTCGTCGTCCTCGTCGTCCTCGTCTTCATCTTCATCAACATCCATACCCTCCGCCACGTTGACTGAGAATGTTGGCTCCTGGTCCACGCCCACGTAACTATCGCTCATCAAAAACAGCTTCAAGTCGTGTTTGCCAGGCGTTGGGACAGTGTACTCCAGCCGGACCTTCAATTTCTTGCTGATAGTAACCCTCTTGATTGCGAGCAGCGTCTTCGTGCTCTCTTCTCCCACGATCAGCCACCAGTTCTCCAACTTCTTGACCGGGTAGAATGGAGCATGGACCGTAGTGTCAACTTCTCCGTCCTCTTCGTCAACTTCACGCTCAATCTCGACATTCAGGTAGGCCGGCTCGCCAGCGTGCACATTCTCCTCGTCGAGAACCTCAAACTCGAGTGAGATGTCGGGGTACTTATTGTTGGTGAAGGCCGCGGTTTCTGCCAGCTGCTTCTGAGATAAGCCGAGTCGCTTGATAAAAGTGCCGTGATTGGGGTTCTCCTCTGGGTTCATCGCATCCAGGAATTCCATGATATCCTTGATCCTACAGCAGTCCAGATTAGCAAGGGGACTACCAGCACCGTCAGAGGCTACATACCCGAACTCGGTTGCCACCTTCACCACATCGGGCGAGAAGTGAGGTATCTGTTTCAAGGGACTATCACGGTCCCACATCGCCTGCACCACCATTTGCGACATCTCCATTGCGTTCATGGCGTTCAGATGTCCATCGGATGAGAGAACATCGACAGTGGCGCTCAGGAGACTTAATACCTTCGCAATGATCACCTCCTGATCCTTGGCCAGATCGATGGGCAGTTGCATCCGAGAAAAGTGTGCCTGCAACAGCACGAAAGCCTTGAAATGGGGGGAGTCATAGTCTGGCTCGGACATCTTGACAGGCACTCTATCATAGATGCGCCGCAGTAAGGTGTCTTCGTGACGCCGAATCTGAATGGATTCAAACTCAGTCGCCGACGTGACAATCTCAAGGATACCCTTCAACTTTGTCCTCGCACTTAGTGACAGAAGGAAGGTCTGCATTGTGATGTACGAGATGTTGTAGTAGGCCGCAATCATCGCGGCATTCTGAGGAGCAACTGAGCCATCGTCTTCGTCAAAATCAATGATCTTTGACTCTGTGAGTTCCTTGAGGGTGGCCTCCACCAGATCTGAGAGGTAGTTGCTCAAACCATCGTGTGTGGCGCTCGTGAGACTGTAGTAGCTGGGATTTGCTAACAGTCGACGGTAGAAATAGGTGAATGTTGTCCAGTTGATGGCATCCTCTGCAGACTCGATCATCTTCGTACTGACCTCAGTAACGAAGGCGTCATGCACGTAGTTGTGTAGATGTGACTCAACCGGGAGTGCCTCATTGAGGAATTTCTTGAAGTATTCACGTCTGACGGCAGGAGCCATGAGAACTCCCCGACTTCGACCATCGCGGGAAGAGCGCAGAGCTTTGCCAAACATCTGCAACACTTCACTGAGCTGGTAATCAACGTATCGATGTTCTCGACCCTCGAAGTATTGAGTGCCCATCACGACTACCAAATGTGCAACACAGTCGAGCTCCCAGCAGACGTCGCGAGATGCTACCAATACCTGGATCGCGCCTTGATTGAAAAGATGCGTCACAATGCGCTTATCGCTTTGGCTGAGGGCTTCGTGATAGTACCCAACACCGTGTGAAATAGCTTCGGCCAGAGCTTCTTCGTTGACCCTCTCCAGCAGTGGACGTAGTTGATCGACCTCAACGTGCAGGAACCGGTCCTCGTCATCGTCTGCAAGGCAGGCTGCGAGGATATCACGAGCACTGAATCTGGTTTGTTTTCTGTTGGGAACGAAGACAAGTGCAGGCTGATCGGGAGACAGCTCTGTAATGGCAAGGTAGGTCGGCTTGGCCATGGCGAGCATGAGCGAGGGGAAATGGGGAACAGAGAAGGACTGGATCCTAAGTTCCAGTGGCACTGGTCGGACGTGCGGGCTGAAGTTGTAGATGTCCTTCTTCTTGGCATCCACCCATTCGCCAATGTCTCGAGCATTGGCAAGCGAAACGCTCAACCCAACGATTCTCATCGCCAGACTGGCTGTGGTGCGGATGTAATGCATTCGAGATACAATGATCTCATAGATATAACCTTGCGGCCCACCAAGCAAATGGAGTTCATCAGCGATGAACAGTTCGACTGTGAGAATGTTCTTGCGCCTCTGCCATTGCCGTGAGAGAACATCCCACTGGGATGGGGTGGCTAGGATGAGATCTCCCTTCTCCAGCAACTTCAGATCAGTTGCCGTCTCACCAGTAAGCTTCACTATTTCCTTGCCACCGCGGAGGTGAGACAGTCGCTTCTGCCAATCTTGGTATCTGATGTCGACAAGCGCTTGGAACGGTGCGATATAGACAGCCCGCCCAATTTCCGGCTTCGACCAGTGTCGCAAGATGGCGAACTCGGCACAGACCGTTTTACCACTACCGGTTGGCGCTCCAATCAAGACATTATCATCAGTATCGTAGAGAGAGTTGAAGGTTTGGGCCTGGATCTTGTTGAAGTAGCTCCAGTCTTCGTATAGGTTGGAGAAGTCCTTCGCCTTCAGAGCTGCAACGGGGAGAGGCTGCCGATCGAGGAGCGGAGTGTGAGGGGGGAATTTCTCCGGAAGTATCAGTTTCTGGAATGAGACAGGCAAGCGAGTCTCTGAGTGCATCCATCTGTCAGAGATGACGGAGATGAAGTAGTTGGGAGGCATAGGCTCCGTGATTGGGACGGTGAAATCGACAAGGTGCTCGTTCGATTCAGACACGGCATAATCCTTGCGCAGGATAAACTGGTCCTGGAATAAGATATCCTCGCCGTCACAATCCTCAACCATGATCCAGAAGCTCTCTGCAGTCCCGTGGATCTCGTCGTCCCACTCGAAGTTCGGCGTGATTGACAGTTCCACACGCAAGACGGATCGAGTCATCGGCTGTGCCTGGGCTTGTATCTCAACACGCGGGAACTTGGACACTAATTCGCAAACTTGGCGGCCGGCTTTGGGCAATCCAAGCAACTCACCCATGCGCGGGGGGTCCAGGTCAAAGTAGCTGTTCCAGGGGACGTCTATCCTTTCGGCCTTGGCGATAATGTCTCGAGAGCAACGAGGAAATTGTCTCAGTGGTGTCATTGTAGGCCACATTCGCTTCTCCGCCATCTTGCAGAGATCCAACGCTGTCCTACAAACGTTGGACCATCCCTTTTGAAGCGTGATTTCGAAAATGGCACGAAGGATGCGACCAGCAGACTGCGTGACGTAGACCATATCGGCCATGAGGGCCAGCCCGTCAAGCTTGAGGCGAGAGATGTACGCCTGAAGCAGCACGTTGATCTTTGCGTGAGGCTCTTCGATGCTCTCCTTGACGGGAATTGGCACCTTGCCCAGAAGCTTTGCGAGTTCTAGCTTCTCATCTTGGCGAACGGGTATGAACTTGAATTCGGCACTGAGAGCGAAGACTCGGAAGAGTTCGATCGTCGTGATAGAAGGCTGGATCAACTTGTTGTACGTATCCATCGACCCATGCGTTATGTAGTAGTGGGATGCGATTCTTCCAAGCTCGGTTGCTTTAACTTTGCCAGTCTTCTCATCGTAGGTGATGAGATTGGACTTCTTCAGCACCACGGCCGCAGAATGTATCAGGTCAACGCGCTTCTGTTCGAGAGCTTCGTCGTCCTCGTAATCAGCACCGACACTGTACAGCCCAGGCGACCGCAGCATTCTGACAAAGAGGTATGTGTAGCCAAGCCACTCGACTCCTTCATCCCGACTTCGAACATTGCCCAAAACAATCTCTGCGTTGAGGTTGTCAACCAGCTTGCTGGCGAATTGACTTTCAATTGGCAATTGCTGGTTCAGAAGTGAAAGGTAGTACTGCATCTCGTTTTGCGACGTGATGATGATACCTTCACCATAGGTATCGTATTGAGGACGTCCGGCACGACCAAGCATCTGAAGGACATCTTGCGGACTCAGCTCGATCCAGCTGCCCTTTTCGGGCGAGTAAACTTGGGTGCCCTTAATGATGACAGTATGCGCTGGCAGGTTGACACCCCATGCAAGAGTTGCAGTGCAGACAAGAACCTTGATGAGACCAGCCGCAAAAAGACCCTCAACTTCATCACGGTCAACACGATTCATACCTGCATGATGGATGCCGAACCCGTAAGGTAGGAGATCTTTCAGGTCAGTATTTGAAATGTCGTTTGCGACCTCGTTCAGAGCTTCTCTCGACCCAGCCTCATGATTCAAGATTTGACCGATAGTCTCCATCTCCAGAGCCTTGTCGCGGACGTATTTCGCAGTCTTCGCAGTCTCCTTTCGAGAGTGGACGAAGATTAGCATCTGGTTGTGGTGGGTTCCAACATGTTCGAGGACCTTGTTGTAAGTGATGTCGTTCATCGTCTTGAGTTGCTTGATGGCTTTCTTGTCAGTCACCCCAATGAACTCCTGTTTCAGAGGACATGGACGGAATGACCCATCGAAATGGAAGAGACCCTTCATAGGGTCCACACGAAGAAAGCTGGCTACATCTCTGTAGTTGGGCAGGGTAGCTGACAGGCCAACAAGCCGGACCGGGTCTCCGGTTTGCTCTGTCTTTCGTATGGTTCGACTGACTATACTCTCGAGAACGGGTCCACGGTCGTCGTGCAGCAAATGAATTTCGTCGATAATGATCAAGCGCACCAGATTTGTGTATGTCAGATCTGTGGCTTTTCTCGTAATGACATCCCATTTTTCAGGTGTTGTGACGATAATCTGCGTTTCTGTGATTTGCTGCTTGGTAAGTTGGCGATCACCAGTCAACTCAGACACTGTAATGCCGTAAGGCTTAAGACGAGCACCGAAGTTTCCAACTTGCTCCTGGACCAAAGCCTTCAGAGGTGCGATGTACACGATCTTGAAAGCATCCAAGTCGATCTCGCCCGTTTCCGGATTTCTATGTTTTCCCAGCTCCCGTAGAATCGTCAACATGGCTACGTTGGTCTTGCCACTACCAGTTGGTGCACATATCAGCATATTGCCATCGTCCTCAAAGGCAGTTGGATAACACTTTGACTGGATCTTGTTCAAAGCTTTGGCGGAGCTAAAGGGCCCCCGGGACCACTCAGGCATCTCAGTGATCGGGATATGGGCATCACCGGGTTGGTTGCGCTTCTTCGGAGCCGGAACATGGATTTCTTCGTATCCCTTGAATGTCCTCTTGGTGGAGCCTTCGGGGAGTCGAACCTTGGGGTTCGTCATGAGATGGTTACCTTGGTCGAATATGAGGTTCTCTAGGTTGATGAGTTTTCGTGGTTGTAGACCGCCCACAAGGTGACCTTCTCCCTTCTCGGCTTTAGGGGCCTCGCCGAATGAAGCTGGGACGTCGATATCCATTTTGATTTCCATCTTTTTCGCCCCTTCATTGCTCTTTTTCCCACGGAATTCATCGAGGATCCATCTGACACCCTCAGAGACCATCTCACGCTCGACGACCCCCTTTTCTTCCTCGCCCTCTGCCCTGGCTAATCGGGTGAGCCATACAACCTTTTCCCGGTTCTCTATCAGCTTCTGGACGACTTCGTGGTGTTCGTACTCGAAAAGTTCCATCAAGTCGTTCTCGATTTCTCGGAGCTGCTTTTCTTCTCCACCAGGCTCGTCAGGTTCACCGGATAATATGTGCAATGCCTCAGCTGTCTTGTCGTGCTGTACGTGGGCGTCGGCGTACAGATTACCGATTTCTCTCTGCAGCCAATACGCGTCGATTTCGCGGGCGGGTATATAGTTCTTCTCCTTCGATGCTCCCTTTCGCTTCTTGTCCGACACACCGGAGTCGATGACCATCGCGTCCCCGTCAGCCAAGCCAGCCTTTTCAACGTCTCGATCTTCACCAGCACCTCCAGCCGTTGCACGTTCTTCCAGGCCAGGTAGGTCTTCCTCATCTCCATCAAAGACAACCTCATCGTCTGACGATTCGTCGCGGACTTCGTTCACCACGGCATCCTCCTCGTCTTCGCTTTCCTCGTCGAAAACAACAGCAACACCCTGGCGGTCGTCCAACTCGGCGTCGTTCTCGTCTCCGCCGGCTCCAGTGTCCATCTCCTCGTCGTCATTTTGGGTATCATAATCTGTGAGCTTCTTTCCGAGGTTCACCAGCTCGTTGAACTGCTTGGGATTCAGGGTTGCCCCTAACAAGTCGTCAACCTCCTTTTTCTTGTCGAAATCTTTCATGTCCTCATCCTTGAGGTATTCGAGCACGGCGTCGGCGGCACTGAGTACGATTTCATGCGACACGTCGCCGAGATTATTCGCCACGATGTGAAGTATGAGATCGAAAGTGGCACGGGTCGCCGGTGTCCGCGGCCGATACCTCAGTCCCTCCACGAGTAGGTCTGCCTGGCCGAGAATGCCTGTCGCTCTCATCACCGACGGGTCGGCTTTCCGTTTCTTCTGCTCGCGGGCAAGGATGTCCCGTCCTTCCTGCGCATCCCCTCTCTCAATGCCTGCAAGACCGGAGGCCTTCTTCGATTTTGGTACTGATTCGCGCCCAACTCTCGAGCCCATGTCGTTGATTCTCAGTCGGCCGGCGAGGGACTCGGGGTCGCCAGTGGCTTCGTCGGTTCGCCGCGTAACGAATCGACGGTCCGCCTGGAGAACCAGGTTGGACATAGCCGAGTACTTGTACTGCGACACATCTCGCTGGTGGTCGGCCATCTTGACAGGTATTCGTGCTTGGTATGGCCACTCGAATGCCGGGTCGTAGGTGGCGTGCAGGAAGTTAGACGGCTGGTCCAATGCGATGGGTCAAATGGACGTGAGCGCCGGGTTCGTGCACAACTATCGCATCTGAGAATACAGCGCCAAAAGTGTGCGCTCCAAGTGTGAGGCAGATTCTGCTGCTCGGCGTGTATCACTGCGTGGTGTTGGATGTTGTGGTAACAGAGTTGTGGCCGCTGCCTTGATCGAAAAAATCAGAGGTTGACTGCTTCAGTGCTTTCCCCAGGACATGGAGCTAGAGGGAGGGCTGGTGGGGACAATTGGTAGCCAATGAGCAGCTGGCTTCCCTGCGACATACCGCCTCTGATTGGCCGGACGCCACTGTTTACTTGCAAGTTGTATCGAGTCCAGTGCTGCAGCCTGTAGGTTGATGATAAAATATGCGACATGAAGTGGTGAAGGACCTGAGGACCTGGCCAGCTGCTGGCAACCTGGGGTTCGATCGGTCGGTCTTGCCTAAACATCATTCGCACTTGGTCTCCAGTTAGAGATATTGAACAAGCTAGAGATCTCACAAGAGATCTCACAAGATAAACTCTCAACGGCTCCAGTCGCTGTGCTGTGCCACCCCACTACAACCCTATCCCTTTTCCTGACAGTCTACCACCACCATGGATGAAGACGCTGAGCACGATGCGTGGCTGCTCGAGCAGGCTCGCGCGGCCCTCGAATACCGCATCCGGCCCCAAGAAGAGGTCACGGAGCTGAGACGACTCCAGGCGCACCACCTCTCCCAGAGCCTGGGCACGGAGCAGCTCAACAGTCCCTTGTCACTCATCGACGCTGACGCCGAAATCACACCCTCAGACGTCCTCCAGGCTTCCGCGAGAGAGTTCGCCGAAGCGGCCCTGAAGAACGTCGAGTTCCGCCAGAAATGGACCAAGATACGGGAAGCCCAACTAGCAGCCATGCCTCCTCCCGCTCCTACTCCGGCTGAAGACAAGGCCAAGGTGGAGGCCGAGGCGAAACTGCTCGAATTACAGCTCGAAGTCAACGCGCTGGAAGAAGAGCGCGACCGCCTGCTCGCCATCGAAAAGCACCTGGTCGAGCTGGAAAAGATGCCAGCCGCCTCGCCCGATTTTCTGGACCCGGAGGTCATGTACAAGGACTGCCCCCCTCTGCCCGAGCTGCCGAAGGAGCTCATGGAGGGCTTCACCCAAGACCGCACAGCGCCGGACCAGGAGATCCAGGAGCTGCTCTCGCGGCTGCGCAAGGAAGACCTGCGCCAGAAGCTGATACTGCAGCGGGACAAGCGGAAGCTGGCGGAGCTGAAGGCCAAGTATCCGATCGACCCCCGCAACCTACCGCCGGAGGTGCAACTGCATGCGCTGAATGCTGTCAAGGACACCCTCATCAACTGGATCGAGACCATGCTGAGCAAGGCGGGCGAGGACGGAGCCGAGTCGGAGGCGGGATCACCGAGCAAGCAGCGACAGACGGAACGCGAGAAGTTCGATAGCGAGGCCCAGCTGGCCGATATCCAGAAGGAGTTTGTGCGCCACCTGGAGCTCCGCAAGGAGGTCATGACTGCGATGGCCCAGCTGAGACAAATATCGATCAACGACAACCCACTGCCCGAAGTAGTCGAGCCCGAGAAGAAGCCGTTGCCCAGCAAACCTGACCCCCAGGCCTTCCTGCTCACGCCCTACCTCGAGCAACTCCAGGCCATCTCGCGCGAGCAGAAGGGCCTCATACAGGAGAAATCGCACATCAACGCGACCCTCGCGAAGCAACAGCAGGACACCAACAAGGTGCTCGACCGCCTTGTAGACGAGAGCCAGCTGCTCCCGAAGTACCCCGCGGCCAAACCCGGCGACAAGTCCAACAAGACCAGCAGCAGCAGCTTCAGCGAAGCCACGAAGGGAGCCAGCGTCACGGACCAGGTGCAGCCGTGGCTCTTCGCCTCCGACTCAGCCAAGCTCGCGACCCTCGAGGCCGTCGCCGAGCAGGTCGAGGAGGGCCAGATGGCCATCGACGATGCGATGGAGGCGCTGGACCACGTCCGCAAGCTGCTCGGCAAGGAAGCGGCTCAGCCGCCGCAGGCCCAAACCAACGAGGGACCGGCCGAGAGCGATCTGTGGCTGGCGGATGAAGAGCGCAAGGTTGGTGGAGCTCCGGCTAGGAAGAACACGGAGAAAGAGCCGGAGAGGGAAGAGAAGAGCATATGGGCCAAACTCGATGGGAATCTGGGCTTGATCAATGGTGGATAGACGTGAGTGATGTTTGCAGAAACGACATTCACGTGGTCACGTAGACGAGCACGACATGTTTGCAGAAGAGGGCATGGCCCATATGATTGTTCATGAGGCATCAGATTTGCCATTTTTGGCGTCCTGTATGTGTAGTAGTACAAAGGCTACATAACTCCTCGCAAGCACATTTTGCCCCATCCCAACGCCATGACCGTAATGACGCCTCTTCATGCCCTGGTTCTCATGTATCTGTGCAGCATTGTAGTTTCTGCCAAAGTTGCCTTTCCTGCCCTTAACCTTTACCAGCCAGGATATTCGATATTCTCAGCGCCAAATCCAGGATCGAGAGGTGCTCATCAGCACCATCCACCAGCCGCTTGTCCACCTCGGAGAAGATCAGCGTGATCTTGTTCTTCGCCAAATCAGGGATCATCTCGTCGAATATGACGGCTTGGTAAAGCTGTTCGACCTGTTAGAATTCCGTCTGCCGACGGTTTGCGGATGTGCCTTGGATGGGGCAGCTTACCTGTGTGACGACCTGCCCGGCACTCCACCCATCCGCCACCATGTCCTCGACCACCTTGGCGATGGCCTGGTACGTAGCGCCCGCCGACTTGGGCTGCATAGCCTTCTGCAGCCTCTCGATCGTCGACTCGGGTATGACGCCCGCAATCTCCTCGACGATCTTGACCGACACCGCCGTAGTCGCAGCAGCACCATCCACATCCATCTTATCCGCACCATCGTCGACGTCCTTCTCGATCGCGCCGACGAGCCTCGCAGCACTTTGCAGGAACGTAATCGCCTTTCTCAGATCGCCCTCGCTGCTCTTAATCAGCGCCTCCACAGCGCCGTCCTCGAGCCCGACGCCCTCGAAGCGCGCAATGTCCTCGAGGCGCCGGCGTGCGTTGCCCTGGTCCAGGCTCTTGAAGCGGAACTTGCTGCAGCGCGAGGCGAGGGGGTCGATGATGCGCGTGACGTAGTTGCACACCAGGCAGAAGCGCGTGATCTTGCTGTACGTCTCCATGGTGCGGCGCAGGGCGCTCTGGGCGTCCTGCGTCATGCTGTCGGCCTCGTCGAGGATGATGATCTTGAAGGGCGGGCACGGGTAGCGCGACTTGTAGCCCGGCGGCGGGTTGGTCAGCTGCATGCGCGCGAAGTCTTTGACCTTCTCCCGCACGATGGATATGCCGCGCTCGTCCGACGCGTTGAGCTCCAGCACCCGCGACCTGAACATCTCGGGCCCGTACAGCTCTTTCGCCAGCGCGAGGATCGTCGAGGTCTTGCCCGTTCCGGGGGGCCCGTAGAAGAGCATGTGAGGAAGCTAGATAGATAGAAGGGCACATGTCAGCAACCGGCACTTGGGATTGAGAGACTTGGTGGTACCCAGGAGTGGCTCACGTTGGAGGCTTGTAAAGTCCGTTGTAGGACATTGATGGTATGATCTTGGGCTGTGACATCGCTGAGGGTCTTCGGTCGGCTTCGAAAATAGTTTAGCTGTGATACTCCAACATGGGGATATTTCGAGCTGTATCGCATACTATTTCTCTACCCAAGGTTGTCTTCTGGCAGACTGCTTTGATTCTTCTGTTTTGGGTGCTGTTGATCCGTTCGCTGCTGCGGCAGCCTTGCGGGCCTTGAGATCAAAGAAGCTCGACATGTTCACGGCGAAAATCTGACAGTCGATCAATTGTGCTGGTAATGACGGTAGAGGGCAATGATCGAACAGCGTGGCGGCGTGGCTGGTCCGGCCTGGGTTTCTTGGACCGGCGAGAACAGGAAAGTCTTGACGCGTAAAGACGCGCTCCAGTTTACTGCCATTCATTAAAGTCTGGATTAGGCAGGCGGTGGCTTTCATAATACTCTCCCCACCAGAGCACCCAGCAACCAGCTTACAATGACATCGTTAACAGAAGTTACAGACGCGGCATTGAGCAAGATATTAATTAATTGATAAAGAAACAAGTCCATATCAATCTCAAGGACGCAAAGCCATGAACGCCTCCGCCAGCATATTACAAACATGCCTCAAGGTATCAATCTTTATGCAAATTAACCCACACCACCGACTTATGCAACCCCGTCCAACAAACGTTTCTCGGACTTCTTTCCTCAAGCATGATGAACCAGCTGTCGGAGTCTCTTCTCCATGATATCCCGTCCCTCTTGCGTATCCCAGACTTGATGAGGTGCCTCATTGACAATGTCCCAGTGCTGCAGCTTGTGCGTAATATGGGTCAAGTCTCTCTGCCTGTCCTCCCACTCACTGTCCTCCCGAATCTTGTCGCCAGAACTGATCAGGCCGAGCGGTACACCAGGATACTGGATCGCTCTGCTGCTCGCCACATCACGCTTCGACAGTGTGTCTGCCACAAGGTTTTCCTGTAGCTTCGCGAAGACATACTTCCCAGTCTGGTAGGCGGATTGCCCCCAAACTCGGTCCGCCTTGGTTCGGCCCTTGAACAGTGCTCCCGGGATGCGGTCGAGTCCAAGTGGTGAAAGAACTCCCCTGATCCAGAGCATAAAACCTCGTCCTGGTGAGCCTACGTGGCTAAGATAGTCCTCGTGTAACGGGTCGATGAGCAGCAGGCCCTTGATCTCGCTGCCATGACGAGCAGAGAAGATCCGGGAGTAGATGGACCCAATGCCGGCGCTCATAACAACTAGGCATCGTCAGTTTGTGGTCTGTAACGGGATTCAGATTCACATATTGTGCTTACCCCAGGGTCCGTCTTCGCCAGCACGAGCTAGAGCTTCGCTGACAGCTTCTACAGCCATTCCTGCAGATAGGGGTGATGGTGCCGTGTCGCTCTGTCTCTGATCAGTATTACAGCTTCCAGATCAAAGGGCTGTCACTTACCCAGGCGAATCCAGGACGGTCGACAAAACAGTATCGACTGATCGACCCACCCTTGATGGCGTTGTCTGCGAATTGCCACAGACCATCCTCAACAGGACCCTCACCTCCCTCGAGTAATACCGTTGGCAGCTTTGTGCCGTGCGAGTCTGTGCGGTTACCACGGCAGTAGACGTGCATCATGTACTTGTCCCCATCTACCCAGTACAGCTTGCCAGGTGGGGCGAGTCCAGCATCCAGAGCTCGTATAATCAGTGTGCAAGTGATGAGAAACACGACGATGGCGAGTACGATCATCGAAAGCGTCGACACCAGAACAGCAACCCATTCGCCCAGGCTGCGCCGTGTCTCGGCCCGGCCGGTAAGTCGCTCCTCCTCTTCGGTCTTGCCCCATTGGACAAGACGATCGGTGACGAGGGTCCATATGGCCATCAAAAGTGCCCCTAATCGAGAATGTCAGCCCCCGTAGACAGAAGAAAGCATAGACTTCTGACTTACAGAGGACGCTGGCCATGCCGACCCATCCCTCCTCATGTCTCGTTTTCTCCACGGCGAACAACAACACGGTGTCGACCACCAAAAGTGCTCCGGTCACGACACTAGCGATCCTCACAGCCTTTGACGGTATGGCGAAGAAGACGAGCGTAAATAGCAGGTTCGCGAGCGCCAGACTGGTATAGCTGAAGGGGAAGAAACCCGAACCGCGAGTGTGGAATCCAGGCGGCGTTATGAAGGTCGACACGATCAGGATCACCCACCAGATGAAGGTAGCGAGAGTGAAGAAGATGGTCAAGTATCTGACCAGTCGAACACTCCATAGATTGTATGGCGACACCTGGGTCTGTCAGCACAAGCACCACAGCTGGCGCACTCGCCATCGGAGTAGGTTGCCTACTGCTGGGTCGTCGGGACTGAGGTAGTGGGAGCTCTCGACTCGGTTCGGCAACAGGCGGGTATGCTCGTTCGGGGCCGCATCTCGTCCACCGTCCTGCGAGTCCCTCGCCGGCGAGCCGCCATCTTCCTCGTCTCTCTGAGACGTTCCCCAGAGTTTGTTCATCTTTGCCGTCTCGATATGGATTGTATGAAAGAACAGAACCAGAACAGGAAGCAGGCTGGAAACTGGAACGGGAGTTCTGGTTTCGCTACCGATGTCTTGAGACTCTTGGTTGTGCACTGAGAACCGAGCTCGGTTGGCGCGGCCGGTGCAAGAGCTAGACTAAGGTAGCTCTAAGACTTCCAAGTAATAGAGGAGCTGGGCTGCAGCACTATGCGTCACTGGGAGACCTTACTCTACCTGAAGATTGAAAGCAGATAAAGGCTGGACCACGACCAGCAGGAATATTGTGTTGATCTTCAAGTGCAGGACAATGGTAATTCTGAAGATAAGACACTGAGCACCAAACCAAACCCCTGTCATCGCAGGAGACTTCGCTCCGACGTGGTGATTCCTCAATCCCAGTGACAATGTCCAGGTGCACATGTGGGAGCACAGCTGCTACGAGCTCCAGTTATCTTTACGTCATGACTACGCGCGCCCCCGCCCATCTGAAAGCTAAGAAAGTTGGCGATGGGCAAACATCTTGTCTGGGCTATCGAGTGACAAGACGACGCCTCACAGACTAGCTTCACTGGCACGCACAGTAGCTCCGATCAAGCGACCAAGTCGGGTCACCTGTGCTGCAGAAAGGCTGGAAGACGTGATGGGTGTGGGGGATAGGATAGGACATCCTTGAATGGCATTTCGACAATCCCCCCAGGTCGTATACAGATGGATCCATGGATGGATGCATCCAGGTGTGCCCCTGCTTCCTTTCAGCTGCCAGCTGCGCATCTTCTAATTCATGGAGAGAGAGACCCAGACCCGCGGGATCGATCCCGCCCCCAGACCTAACCACTTTGTTAGCTGGCCAGAGCTGGCTGTAGGCTGCCGGCTGTGTTGTTATATTCGTCCGCAGGCCCTAGGATCACGACCCTTCTCCTCACTCTGGACTCGCTTCGAGTCGCATGCATCCAGGCAGCTCCGCATTCGAAACACCTGCGTCTGACAGACCGCTGCTGGGAAACCTGATCTGCCACTCATGAATGGGCAAGGGTCATCCTGACAGTCTGAGCGGGTAGCGACGGATAGTTGGTCTAATAAAAGTTCTGGCCATTTACCGATTTCGAAGAAACAACTTATAGTAGCATCAAGTGACAGCACCGAACACACTCACTCAAAGTGAGGACTGGTGTTTTACATGACAAGGCAAGCCACGTGATGAACGTATCCCCTTGGGATCCCAATGTGCCCATGGCCCGTGCCACCACTCTACCTACCTACGGCTTGTAATCTCGCTACCCGTTCGTTTTTCTTAGCCATGTACTTGATCCGTACTTTCAGCGTATTTTCGCGTTTTTTTAACGCGATATATAAACGGAACGTATTTGTATAGATATCCCTATTATTAGCGCCGGTTAAAAAATTAACCCTATTTTTTAACTTATTTGTATTATTATTTTACTGACTACCTTATTAAGCCTTTTATTATTTATAATAAATTTATCGGATATAGTGGTGGCTCATGGTGTGTCTCTAAGTGGTCTGTGCGCTGTGGGTGTGATGGTTGTCCCTCAGCTCCGTTACCACCGCGGATAGACGCGCTGCAGCCGTATTTAGGTGTAAATCCGTCCGTACCAGGTAGACTTAGAACAACCAACAAACACGCACGCATGAACCGAATATTCCGCACGACGAATTCTTACAAAATTAGATTAAAGTTTTTGAAACTTTTAAAAATAATGAATTTGCTTTTTATAAGCTTGAAATAGCTATATTACTACTATTAATACTAATTAATAGTATTTTATAATTAATAATGAGTTTAAACTTATTAAACTTTAAATTAAGTTTTTTAAACCCGTTTTTTATTTTAACGATTTTTTTAATAAAAGTAACAACCTTAACTTATTTTTAAGTAAAAATCTTAACGCCGACGACAGTTTTTAAACTTTAACAAAATTGATTATAAGTAATAACTCGATAATAAATATATTACGAATTTTAATCTAAATAACGTAAATATCGGCTTTAAGCCGTGCTAAAAAGAACCTTTTTAATTTTAATCGTATAATACTTTTACGAATAAAGCCAAATTATGTCTTTTTCAAGCCGTCGATCTGTATTTTTTAGAAGCTATTTTTATAATTATAATAAATATTAATCATGTTGGAACAGGCTTGAACAATCAATCATAATACTCGAGTATGGTGTCAAAGTCACGATGTTGCTGATGGTTGGATTGGGAGGTCTAGCTAGACTCGCAGGTCTGGCTAAGTGACCTTACAATCCGGTATCTAATCTTTTATCTAATCATACAAGTGGGTTTGGTATGGATGGTTTGATTGTGGAACCGCATCGATCCAACAAATCAATTAAAAACTTTTAAAATTAATTTATATTCTTATATTTATACATCGATTTAATTTAATTTAAAACCTAATGAACGTTAAAGAAATACACGTAAAAACGCTCGGTAATATTATCTTAGAATAATTGAATAATCATTACGATTAAAAGATTAATATAGCCAAAACTTACGCGTTTTTCGTAATTTTTATTTGTAGAAAAGTAAATCTTTTTTAACGTCGATAAGATTAATTGACAAAATAATAAATAAGCTTTTTGTTACGCTATGTTTCCCCCGCTTTATACTTCGATTTTTTGGGGATTTTTTTAGGTAATTTCGTAATTTAAAACCTTGATTATTACTATATTATTAAAAGCGCGGTTTACAAGGTACACTTATAAAACGACTATATCTTTAAATAAATATTTGCGTATAAATAATACTTCATTAATCTTATTAATTAATAAAACAATAATTAAGTTTATAACTTTTTATAACGTTATTGTTAAAATTAAATAAAAGCCGATGAGAGATAAACTACATATATTTATAAGGCTAATTAAGCGTAGCTTAATTATATATTAGCTATATAAACATATTCTTCAATAAGCCACTTTAATCGGTTAAAACCGTAAACTTAAATAGAATAACAGTTGAAAATAATATATTTAGATTTAATTGTCAGATGTTGGACCCCAGATATGGTGCCCTTAGGTGCAGTACCCACTAGGGGGCTGTCAAGGGAACAGTAGATCCACTCTGACATGGTGCAGTATAGTATTTAGCTGCAGATTAGCCCTGCCGAGCATACTTGAGAATGACAACAACATTTGTAGCGATCCCGCGCACCCCCAAGGCTTGTGGCCCTTCTAGAATCTCACAAGTTTAAAATTAAAACTACCGTTATAAACAATTATATATATTTAAAATATATTAAAATAAGTCTTACATATATCAATATTATATTAAAACAAGTTTAACCGGATTTTAATAAACGATATTCTTATATATACGTAAATATTAACTTTTTTATACTAAATAGTACAGCATACATAGCTAGTTAAAATATTATAAAACTTCAAAATATTTTAACCGTGTTAACTTTATGAAGTAAAAATGAAAATAGGAAAAAATTTAAAACAAAAAGCTAAATTTATAATATCGATTTTGACTCGGCTTTTTTACGGCAGGCTAACTATAAGCGTGATATAAATCGGAATATAAATTAACGATGATAAGTCAAAGCCATATTTATTCTTCAAATTTAAAATAGACGATAAATATTATTTTAAAATTAATTACTTTATTAAATAAATAAGCGTGAGGAATGTGGTGGCTTTGGTAGTCCAAAGGGTGAATGAAAGCAGTTGGCTGAAGGAGCTTTGCTTGATGCTTTAAGGATGCGCCCTGCTTTGTGGTTTGAGTGTGTATTTAATAACAAATCAAGCCCCCCTAACCCATAATAAGAAGTAAGCAAGCAACTAGAGAATCAACCCTTATTCTGCGCCAACACAGGATTCTTGACAATAAGAATTAAATTATATGGATTTTTAATAAACTTTTTATAAATTTTTGAAGGCGGATCACATATTAAAAAAATTGTCTTTTAAATTACGACTAAGTAGCTAACAAGCGAGTTGACACTTGTCATGAACTCTCTAACTGCAATGTCAAGTAACTTCACCACAACGCATTCAATTCAATTCAATTAGTCGGATTCCTTTTTCTCAGAGGTTTTTATCTTTATTGTACAAGTTTGCGTATTATAACCAGTATTGCCGCAAATTCCACACCGTCACTCATGCGCTGCTGCCCTCCTTAAACGACGACTACCTTCACCCATTTCCTGTCTTGCCAGCTCAGTACTACCCTTTGTAGTCTGAAGACCTATTTAATCTTTAACAGAAAGTATTCCCCATTTTATTAGACGTTTATTTTTTATTCTCTGGCATTTATTCAGTAAGTAATTGGCCTTTTCTAGTTTGTGGACCCGGAAATCAATCAAAGCAACCTTATACATAAGACTATATATAATCTTCAAAAACGAGTTCAATGCATCAATAATTGATATTGTTGGATCTATGCGATTCCAGCCTGCAAACCATTTATACCAGGACCCACATGTATGATTAGATAAGAGATTAGATACCGGGTTGCGAGGTCACTTAGCCAGATCTTCAGGTCCAGCTAGACCTCCCAATCTAACCCATCAGCAACATCATAACTTTGACCCATACTCGGGTATTATGATTGATTGGTCAAGCCTGTTCCAACACTGATCAGTGTTGTCTTCCAAGGCAACACAGATGAGCAAGGAAAAGAAGAGATCTTATTGTATCAACGTTCCTCCGTGAGGCGACTCGGGATACAACTAAAGATCTGGATCTTCTGACGCAAACGTTCCTCTGTGAGGCGACTCAAGGCCTAGCACGAGATCCAAGGTTTTCTACAACAAACGTTCCTCTGTGAGGCGACTCGAGGCAGTAAATTACACTGCAATCACAGCAATACCACCTACGCGCTGCAGTCCCCAACTACTAATAGAACCACCTCTTCACAATCCGCAAACAACGCGTAGATTCCTCATACACGCCTTTCGCAGTTTTTGATTCATCACGCGTACTGTGCCTAACTTCAGCAAGATGTCCAAAGACAGCACATAAGACCCGGC